TTCTCTGGAAACTTTTCAGCGAATGGTCATTAACTTACCGCGCATATCGCGTCGTATTAGTGAGTCTATTTCTACTTGTACAACGTTGGACACTTTTGACATAATTTTTCAGAGCTATACAGCAGGCCTTTGATTGCTCTTTGCATCATGGTCTTAGATTGCAACAAATATGTTGCCGCCGGCACTGAAAAGCCGAAGTTCAAGACGAACACCACAAAGCCGGCGCATGATATCGCCAACGCGATCATAAAGAACTTCTGGAAGGACCTCAAGAACGCAACTAGCGTGTATCGCAAGAAGCAGATACATGGCAGCAATAGCCAGACGCATCCGGGTGAACCCATTAGTAGAGATGAACTGCTGAATTGCTTGAAGCGCTTCACTGCGCTGTAGTGTAGTTACTATATATTTACTTAAAATTGGATTTGACATGCTGTATGAATAGACTGTACAATACATTCTTATTAGGTGGGATGTGCAGGTATGACCGAGAAGTTAAACAATCGTGAATGTAACGCTATATTATAACTCTTCAATTCTTTTGCGAGTCACATTTGTGTTTGATACATCATGGGAATTTATCTTGATCCTATTAGTAAATCTATAAGTTATGTTGGACGAAGAAATAGATGGAGCCGAAGTGAAATAATCGATACTGTCCGCACAGTGTCCTCAAAGTGTCCTCAAAGTGTCCGCAAAGTTTATAGTCACCCAAGTGTCTTCAAAGTGTCCTCAAAGTAGCATAGTCATCAAAGTGTCCGCAAAGTCGTATAGTCCGCAAAGTGTCCGCAGTGTCCTCAAAGTAGTATAGTCCGCAAAGTGCCGGCAAAGTGTCGGCAAAGTGTACTCAAAGTAGCATAGTCATCAAAGTGTCCGCAAAGTCGTATAGTCACCAAAGTATCAGTGAAGTGTCCGCGAAGTGTAGGCAAAGTGTCCTCAAAGTAGCACAGTCATCAGTGTCCGCAAAGTCGTATAAGTACTCACCAAAGTGTCCGCAAAGTTTCCACTGTAGTAATATCCAGATGCATTCTGGGGCAGCCTATCAGCAGAGAAGAACTACTGACTTGTTCGAAGCGCTTCACCACTCTGTAGTATTTTTTACTAGATATATTACATATATTGGATTTTTCATGCTGTATGAATGCATGAATACCAACTACGGAATTGTCCAATATATTTTTAGTCGTGATACTCGTCAAATTCTAGTTAAACAAGTGTGAATGCAGCGCCAGATTATAAAGGTTCAACGTTTTTGCGAGTCACACTCGTATTATTACGCATTTGAATTGATTAGGATTCTACTAATAAATCTGTGATTTAAGTGTGCACGAAGAAATACATAGAGCTGAAGTGAAATAATTGATACTCAAAATGAGTCCTCAAAGTCAAACCGGGTCATCAAAGTGTCCTCCAAGTTCAACGACGTCCTCAAAGTCAAACCGGGTCCTCAAAGTCAAGGTACGTCTTCAAAGTCTCACGACGTCCTCAAATCGTTGTTTGAATCTATGAAAAATCCAGACAAGATACAATTGCACTATGATAATTCAGTGCACATTGTATAAATTTACGATAGTCTTGTCACGTGAACATTATCACGTGAAAATTATCACGTGATGGTTCAAAATGTGGTTCAATTTCAACTTCCGCTTCATACGTTCTCTTCCCATTCTACTTCCTTTGTTACACATCTTCTCACATCACATTGTCGTAGCTCCTAACGGGGGCAAAGAGCCGTCGCTCTGACACCATGTGAGAAGTGACATTCGTGTCTAGCGCCTTTATGGGCGCATATGGCTGTCGTCGACAGTCGCATGACGTGTCTGTTCTGTTTGCGTCACTCTTGCACGCGTCCCATCTCCTCGCCGTAGCTCCTTACGGGAGTTTTGAGCTGTCGCTCTGGCATGGCATGATGGGCGACTCTCGCACTTAGCGCCTTTATGGGTGCCTGGCTGTCGTCGACGGTCGTGCGATGAATCTGTTCGGTTCGTATCACTATTCGACGCATCACCTCTCCTTGCTGTGTCTGTCCCATTCGCGTCACTCTTGCACGCATCCCATCTCCTTTCTTTTCCTGTCCTGTTCGCGTCACTCTTACACGCGTCCCATCTCCTTGCCGTAGCTCCTTACGGGAGTTTTGAGCTGTCGCTCTGGCATGGCATGTTGGGCGACTCTCGCACTTAGCGCCTGTATGGGTGCCTGACTGTCGTCGACGGTCGCGCGATTAGTCTGTTCTGTTTATATCACTATTCGACCCATCAGCACATCTCCTTGCTGTGTCTGCCACGTTCGCGTCACTCTTTCACGCGTCCAATCTCCTTGCTGTTTCTGTCCTGTTCGCGTCGCTCTTGCACGCGTCCAATCTCCTAGCTGTTTCTGTCCTGTTCGCGTAACTCTTGCACGCGTCCCATCTCCGTGCCGTAGTTCCTTACGTGGGTTTTGAGCTGTCGCTCTGGCATCGCACGATGGGTGACTCTCGCGCTTAGCGCCTTTATAGGCGTCTGGCTGTCGTCGACGGTCGCGCGATGTGTCTGTGCTGTTTGTATCAATATCTACTATATCTTCTTCAACATGTTATCAAAGCAATTGTAAGTAGTCTTGAAAATATTCCTGCGGACGCCTAGCAGAATTGAGTTATCACTCTGGAGATGAGCATTTCAACAAACACAATTAAGTGATCTGAGAGGACAGGGGAAGAATTGAACGTATGATTGTGTATCTATATCCCATGACAGAGCTGTTCCATGAATTCGAAAATAAACTTCCTCAAGTAGTTACAAGACAATGAACCGACTTTGGTGAATTGTAGACTCACCCACGATACACCTCATACATTCATTAAACATAGTATTTATAAGCAATGAAGCAGTTGATTCACCATATGTACATGGAATACTGATTGATATGTGGAGACATGCACCATCAACATAGTCACCACCTGTGATGTTCTGGCATATGGCCGCCACTATTACACATTACTGTGACTTCCTCGAGGTTTCACAAATATTCACGTATTTATCACACAAATTGCTTGATGCTTGGAAAAAATCATTTGTTGTATGTGGATATTGGAGTGCTAATGCATTTGTGCTCACAATGGCGGCCAAGCTAACAAGTAAAATAATGAATATCCACATGTTGCACAATGTACATGATTGTGAACGTGACTGCTCAAATTTGTGGGTGGCATAATGCACAATACTGATTCTGGACTGGCTCCTGTGGATATTTGTGCGTGGGAGAATACAATAGAGGGATTTCGGAATGGCCATGGTGGATATTTATTACTCTCGAGCATTATTAAAACAATCTCGCAAATTATTAATATATCATTCCCGGTCCAAACCAACAACAGGTACATGTATAATTAAGCTCTGATATTCAAGTGAACCAATTGCCTCATTGAGGCTCTTGAGCTCTCACATAACGGGTTTGAAATGAGAATATCGAATTAATGGGAAAGGAAAGTCATTGTATTGAGTCGTTTATAGAATATATGAACTAAACCACACATGCGTCCAAATTTTCAATTTTGTGTATTGAGATACAGGGAATGACAGGATGAAAAGGATCATCTAAGAGCATAATGTACATATGATGGATAGTTGGGTACGTATGATGGGTGTGCTACTAGTATATAATTTTACTAGCTAATTAGTCCCTAAGTCGTCAGGTATCAATCAGACACCGTCAAATCTATCACCTCTGGCTTTTTTTTGGCTTTGGCCTTTCTGCGCATATTTCCAAGACCAGATGGCTTTATGATTCTCAGCATCATCTGAGGCCGAGGGGAGTACAGAAGGAATTCAACGAGAGTTGTGACGCGCAGGTTTCCCTCTAGGTTTTCTATCGCATGTCTTAATCGTGGAACCTAAAAATCAATTAATATAACCTTCCAATGAAAACAACGAATAAATCTCACGCAATCCCAAATGTCTCCCTCTTCGGGGGTATCCCCGACAATCTCCATCTTCAAAAATTTAGTCAAGAAATCCTCGTATTCCTGTCCTGGCTGGTCTTTAGCGGAGGACACGATCGTCTGGATTATGCGGTACGGTAGGAATATCTTTCTGAATTGACTCCTGTATTGCGCCGATGGAACTCCCAGACAATATCGAGCTCGCTCGGTTTCGATATACATGGAACTGTAAAATGAATGTCATAAGATATCAAGCGAGTTCAAGATAAAGGCGACTTACCCATCAGGGTCAGCAAGGTTGATGTCGTAACTCTGTATGGGTTCAATACGAATAAAGCCAGGCTCGTGTCCTTCGACACAAATCATACCAGCCCCGTTGATATCGCGAGACCCGAGTTCAAAATGACCGTCTAGTTCTGGAAGAAGAACCATGTCTTGCCACCAGTCGAAAAAAGCAAAGTCCTGTAGTAAGTACACGGTGTCTTTCTGTCCACCGCTTTGCCGCTTGACAGGGAAGTACTTATGTTCCGGTACTAATGTACCGGACGGTGGAAGATAAGGCTTCCCATGGTCAGGAACTTCAGTAGTACTGTTGCTATCTACGGTGAGTATTTCGTCCGGAAAGGACACCTCGTATGCTGTCGGTTTCCTTCTTCCTTTGCGATCAGCTGGCATCCTGGCTTGTCTTGGTATTGAACAAGTGAGTAAAAAAGACGAGGGTTGTGTGGTTGAAAGCTGAGATGATTTATTGGCTGGTAGGGGAATTTCTTTGAGCAAGCCAAGGTGTGAGATGCAGGACAAGAAAACTTGACCGTTTTTATATCTATCTGGTCCTGTGGCAATTTTTGCGACTGCGCATGTGGATGATTCACAATTTATTGAACACGAAAGTTGACACAGGACAATAATGATTTTGTTGTGGGACTCATGTTTGACCACGATTTATTCTGCCATTGTAGTATGGACCATTATGCTCCCGAGCACTGCATCTTGTGCTTGGTGTCTCCTTGAATTCATTTGTTGACTTTGATATTTTTTTTTCTGCTATTATTACGTAGAATCACCACTACAGCGCTACCGTGCTCCATAATACAACAATGTGCTACAGAAATGAATTTTTGCTACAATTACTACAGGTGCCTCCAAGCACCTTAGCGTTACATAATTTGGCTATGTAGCACTATGTAACCAGTCACTGGAGCTCCCAAAATATTTGTTTTTTTCCCTCCATAGTAAGTGAAAGTCTCGCTATGCAGTCGTAGTTAGATAGAATCTTGGCCTACGATGTATTGGTTGACTTGCCTCATACTGTTCGCCTCCCCCGGTCTGTGTTTTGTATGTGGATTATGGAGTGCTAATACATTCGTATGTACAATGATGGCCGAGCTCACATGTACAATAATGAATATTTACATGCTACAAAATGCAATGGACAGAATTGCGAAATCGGCGCTGCTGACATGTGCGCGTGGCAGACTGCATGTGCCCAGAGTAATGTTTAGCATTGACGGGCCCGTTTGTCCATCTGAAGAGCTGCCCAATATGCAGCTCATATAGATGGGATCAAGCAAAGTTATGAGCGAGTAGGGGAAAAATCAAGGTCGCGGCACAAACATTTGTTACTATCCCACTTGAGCCGCAGCTACAGCCGCTCTATCGTGACGCGGCGAGTGCGTGTCATATGCGATACCTTTTGGAGCGAACCCAGGAGGTTCTAGATGGTGTGAGGCAGATAGGAAAGATCCCCGTTGTTGACGATATCGCAATGTGGTTTGATATTCTTGGTACTGTGCTTGATGGTGAGATCAAGCAGGATGTCATTCTTCTGATGGATTGCTCTGGCGCTTACGGTGTTACTGCTCTCTATCGTTGGGTAATTATTGCTCTGTCGCGTTGGTGTAATTCAGTTTAAAATGTATCTGTAATTATTTTCTATCGTCGATGTTCATTCTATAAATGAATAAATATAGTATTACTATAATGAGTGGACACATTTATCCCGCTGCAGGTTGATCTTGGGGCTTAGTATTCAATACGACTTCGATATCTTGAAACTGTGTCCTCACAAAATTGATCTCACAGTTTCTGCATGGTACAGCAAAGCCTCATTTATATCCAGCAATGAAATAACGAGTTGGAAAGTATGCATATATTTTTGGCTCTATGAATTTATTTCGAAATGTAGATTTCGAACCCATCTGAAAAATGGCATCTCGCATGCGCCGACGAATATACTCGTATATTAACAACACCATCAATTTTTGTCTTCACCCCCACAATGTTAATTAAATACGATAAGGTGACAAGTTTTCCCTCAGCGGTGTCCGCTGCTCCAACAACAAATGACAGCAGCCATGGGAATATCTCACTTTATTTTTTAACAGGGCAATAATTTGAGCGCATATACTGCATCTACTTTGTGATACAAGCCAAAGGCGCTATTGAATGTGTACATTTTACAATTGGCGAGTGCCATCACAAACATGCAGTGAGTGTCTACTAATTCCATTCTGCATTGAACGACTATAAGCTCTTTACAAACGCTTTGTCCTCGCCATGTTATAAATCGGAGATAGCGCTCTCACCATCATCATCAGAATCAGCTTCTGGATCACTGTCGAGATCGCCTTCCTCGCACTGGTTATCACCTACGAGTCCCATGCTGCATGTGTCTGACAAGCAGCGATGCCTTTCTGTGTAAAAATTTGAGCAAAAAATACTGGCGATTATTGCAAGGAACTACTTACTATTCTCAAGTATTGGTAACCGGACCCTTTCTTCCAATAATTCCCAAAATAAGATGTCCTGCCTCCGACGCAGGTCACGCCATTTGACCATCATGCTGGCCAATAGTACTATTCTATCATCGTTAATTCCAAACAACGCTAGGAAAGATTCGATTTCACGGTGGGATTCTTTGATGCGAAACGCCAGTACGCAGATGCGCGGATGACGAAGCAGACGCTTGATTGCAATTGGCTGACAATTGGGTGTCTCAAGCGACAGACTATTTATTTGGTGGGGCGGGTGCACCCCTGCAAGCGTCACCCCATCTAACTAGGTTGATGAGAGAGGGCGACCACTTTGACCTTGACTTAAGGACAGTTCCCATGGTCGGGTCAAGGTGAGGACGACTCATCCTCCAAGGATCATAATACATTAGAACGATGCTGTGTGCAAGTGCGTCTGCATTCTGACGGATTTGATACTGAAGTCTGGATGCAGTGTAAGTGGGTCAGGTGTTGGTAAGGTGGGTACTCAAAAACGCACTCTATGGCAAAACGTTGGCGAGCGAGAACACTTTGCTTACTCATGACTTGAATGCCTGGCTAGCAGCGTCGACTGCCTGGTCAAACTCCTCCATGGTGGTCTCAGAGACGCGTGTGAGCAATGTTTGGGTTGACTACCGAAAAATGATTAACACACGCTCTTACACCGTAAAATGGGGCATAAACATACAGGGTCAAGCACGTCATGCCATTGGCTTGTCTTGCTGTCGAAGAACGCGCCACCAGTGAAATTCTTGGTGTTACCTCCAGTCGCACTAGTACCCTTCCATGTCGCGCTGAGACTCTCTGCCTTAGGACGGGCAATGGCATTTAAGCCTGCTGTCGTAGCATAAGAGCGCGAGGGACTACGGAGGGTAATATGGGCAAGACGAGAAATCGACATGACGAACGGATCCAACGGGAAGTCACCAAGCCAAGTCTCTCTCGGAGTCTCAAGTGTACTTCAGTGAGAATCATCTTGTCATCAAGCCTGTTGAACTCTGTCAAGAGTGCGTCGATTCGCGCTAAGGCTAGTTTGTACTGCGGTGCTTCAAGTTGCCTGTACCGATGATCAGCATCATCGTAAGAAGAGGGAGTGGTTCTTACAGGAAAACAGAGTGAGTGCGTGGGTCACTGTAACGGGAGATAACAAGTGAGGTGGTTGGGTACTGCATCCGCAAGATGGAGGGGCTTATCGAAGCCAACCGTGCACACAAAGAAGGGCAGAGCTTAGTGAGACTGATTGGATCCAAAGGAATCTCAAGGTAGTGTGAGATGGGGAGATCGAGTGTGAACGCGAGGATGGATAATGACAAGATTGCGACGCTGAAGTTGGAACCAAGTGCACGAGGTGAGAAGAATATATGACTGAATGGCGTGTGCATGAGGATATACTAACCAACGACAATGAGCAGAATGTTGAGCGAGTCCGCTTTCTACATTGCAGGTGAGTATGACGGGAACATGGCACAATATTTTTCGGCCTATTGACCTCGGTAAGCTCCCAGAACCGCATGATCAGAGCTCCTGCAGCGTAAGTACTCACCGGATAAGAGCACCAGCCAAACACACGAGTTCCAGCGCAAGGTTTCCAGATATATCTTGGATTCTGAATAGAGACTGTCGTTGCCAACAAGACCTGCGTTGGTCTCGTGACAAAGTGACGAGAAAGGTCTTCTTGTTCTTCACTGCACCGAGCATGCGCAGCAATTTTACCAACATAATGCGGTGAGCAAGCTCACATGTTTCGTCCAGGCCGTCCATCTCGCGCCCATCCTCAAGCACTGCAGCAGAGGGAAGTATGTAGTCCAGATTGAGGCCGAGCGTGGCATAGATGTAGTCAATGAGTGCTTTAACGTACTGCTTCGAACCTTGGTTGAAGGGAATAACAGTCATAGCCGATCCTCGAGCGCCAGAGCTCTGGTAGATAAATTGGTAGTATTACACGGTTGCTCAGTTGTAGCAGGAGGTAGTGATAACGACATGCGCCTCACCCGACAGAAGATCTCCACGCCAATAGAGCACTTGCCAGCAAGAGCATCTCGAGACGATGATGGGAATCCGCGAACAGTTCGCCTCGATGGGGTAATGTGTGCCAGTTAAATTCCGACAAAGTGGGAGGAAGCGGTGTGACGTTTCTTCCGTGTTCATAGTCATCTATCAAAATTCCAATAGCGCTCGCGCAGAAAGCCTTGGACACAGACGCCATGTGGAATAATGTCTGGAAATTGCAACTTCAGAGGTCATACAAGAAGCAGTTTGCACGTCTTCTGTGGTCTCGTCACCGTCCTCTGTCATGTTTCCCCATGAATGAAATTCCGGTTCGCCGTACCTAGGGACAACTGCGACAGACAGTCCAGTGATGTTCCAAATATCAAGGGTCTCTTGGATAGAGTTGGAGAGTTCTGGGGTGATAACCTGGCCATTATTTACCCAGACAGGACCAGCTAAGAACAATAACTGAGAAAGATGAGTGAATGGCTGGCTCAAGAAGCCTAATGCTACGCCCAGTAGTTTAGCCATGATGCTAAGAAGGGGTAAAAGAATGTTCATTCGATGACCAGGCCTGCGAGATCTTACGCTCGAACAAGACTAGAATAAAAGCGCGCATTGTGGGAGCGACTCGGACATGCGGAAACAAAAGATAAGATCTGAAAAGTCTACCAACTTATAATTATCTCCTTCCAGTACGGACCGTCTCGACTCGAAGCCATTGATCAATGATGTGCGGGATCTGAGCGTAATTCATGATGCTTTGCGCATTTTTGGCCATTCCACGTCACACTAGCTGAAGCTGTGAAAACGGAATGAATATGTGCAAATAACAGCGAGTGAAGGTGAGAGCACAAACAATATGAGATCACAATAGGAGTAAAACTGGTGATAAAGAATAATACGGTGGCAGCCTGACCAATTTATCAATATTGAACTTGGGTGTCGAGGGCGTGGGGAGTGGGGGTCGTTGGAGAAGAGGAGTCTCTTCATCATCTTGGTGTGTTATCATGGTGTACGAGAGAAAGATGACGATGGGCGCAGCCTATTTAACGAGCCGGCAATTGAGCGGCCCCTCGATTGGTCAATCGATAAGCCCTAAGCCCAGATCTCACGAGGTGAAGACTAGAAGACAGGAAGCTCAGTCTCGGTTAGAAAGACTGAACTACGACAAGCGCATACCTAGAAGATGAAGAATAACTGTGTATCGTCAAGTATATGTATGCAGACATAGTAACGATTTATGCTCACCTCTTGGTTAAAAAGACTGAGGGAAAACGATATCGTACGGAGGACATCAAAGAATCGTTGAAACGGAGAATGAAACATGAACGTGGATGAAACGTGTATCAATAAGTGAAGTGTATGTAAAAGAAAGTACGTACCATGGAGAATGCACATCATGATACCAAGGGTACCGTCCATACGAATATGCTGCTTCTGGAACCCAGTGACAGCTCGCACGAACGAAACCTCCTAAGTACTATTATTATCCAAAGGTACCGGCATGTCTGAATTAGGCTGAGCCGGTGCGTACCCCCTAGTTGCAGCCAAATGTGAATGTGCAGCATATGAGGTCATATGATTTCAAGCAGGCATAACACTGAACAGTACAAAGCTTAGTGATCTGTGGAGCATGTTTAAATATGATAGCAAAAGCGACAATCATGACGGTCCCGCAGTGTGAGCCATGGCGCATGCGATGGAAGTCGCGGTCAGCTCGTGATGATGACTGGCCTTGTAGTTCCTCTACAAGTTCAGGATATACAATGTCAGCACTGTACTCCGCTGGTCAGCATCACAATTATGTGGACAGAGTCTTCGTGCAATCCGCGTCGCTACGTGGCAAATGACGGCGGAGTGTCATGTCTGCAATGACGAGCATCCAGAAAAGACCATAAGATCCTCGACATCTCAGTCCTAGTCGCTTGGGACAGTCGCAGTCGCGAATATGAGTCAGGACTGTTATAGCATCGGAGGAACACAACAGATCACATACCATTCACGTCTCCATCTTCACAATTGCTTTCATTGAAAGCGCTCAGAGAGCTCCAGGAAGAAGATATCTTCAGTGTTAAGTTACAAACAAGAAAAGGTCTCTGCTCGACTACTGTATGATTTATACCCGGAAGATTCACTGACAGGCTGTAAACAGATAACACGAGGTCGTTCACTATTGGTGATCTTCCCATAAACTAGGATCTCGGGGAATCAATAGAGAAACACCTATAGCGAAAAATGCAATTGCAATCAAAAAGTAGTATACCAACCACGCATCATGCCCTTCCTGGGTTGAATAAGAGAAGACCGAAACTACAGATGCTGGGCCAATGATCCATGCTCCTGCGAGAAACATCTGGGTGATTCCATTAGTTGCTCCAAGTGAGGCACGTTTGGGAGCAGCCACTCTGATGAATAATGCTGAGGCCATGTTCTCTTCTCAGTTCAGTAGAATGCACGAAGTACTGGACTGACATACGGTAGCACATAATCAGGCTGATCGTCAACGCAAGCTGTATGGCAACGCACAGCCATACTGCCAGACCTATCCCATGGGCTCGAGCCAGAGCGTTGATCACTGGGAATAAAATGACGATGGGTATACCGGAGCTAACGCCAGTGGTATGGATGGGTCCTGCACCGAAGCGATCGTGTAAGCGAGCGTAGAAAACCACCTGAAATATGCCATGTGCGGCACCTTGTGCCGCAAGTATAGTGCCAATGCGAGGAGGGTCCAGGGAAAGACCACCAAGTTCAATTGGTGTTGCATGGAAAACAGGTAGGACTGAAGTAAACGCCATGTGAAACAGGCCTGTGGTGGCATAGTTTGCTGCTATGGTCAAAACTTTCGGGGTTAGCAAAGCACGCAGCGGAAGCGGCTTTGGTTGGACTTCTTCAGGATTGACTAGCACATTGCTCGAAGGCTGGCAAGACTTTGCATACGACTGTCGGAAGAATCCTCCTTCGATTAGCTCCCAAAGTGATGTCCTGCGAGAAACGGTCTTGTTACTGCACTTAGTGTGATCCAGATATGGGCTTTCAGCATCACGCTCACCTCTTTAAGACGGAAATACGTGACTACCCAAGCTATCGATACAAAAATTGTCGAAATAGAGCATGGCAGGAGATATGGGTAGGTTTTCAGGAGTTCTGATTGCCCAAAGATGTCAGGGAATCTGTTTGCTGGTCGGGAGAGCGATCCCCCAGTGAGTGGCCTAGATCCTGTGAACCTCAGCGAGAAGATGAATATAGTATATGCCTACCCAGCAGTAGCAGGTTGAGTATGTGATGACGATGCTTGTGCTTAGCCATACGATTGGATTTGTTGCTCATATGCTCGTTTTACTTTCTTGAATTTTGGCCCCCGAGCAACAACCAAAGTCTGAACAGAAATCATTAAATCACGGCGATCGTAAACGCACGAAGGTGAGACATACCTGCCTGTCCCACATTGCACCCACTTCGACAACACGAGGGCGGCTTGGGCGATGCGTGAGTTCGATTTCTTCATTCGTCTGGGGCTGAGAGTGGAAGAGTGAGGACAACAGGCTGATGAGTGCATATGGGCGTGAACTCAAAGGTGTTGTGGGATGCGGTTTGGCTTCTTCGTCGGTGGTGAGTCGAGATCGGGGGAAAAGTGAGGAAAGGCGAGCTAAAAGCATATGAGGATCTGTCCGCGAAGGCATCGAGGGTTGCTGAAGGTCGTCTGGTGCATCATTTTCAGGTGGAGAGTGGTGAACGAGTGACAAAAGGCGAGCGATGAGTGGGTGTGGATGGAATGCAGAAGGCCTTGAGGGTCGTGGAAGATAGGTCGTTTCACCATTTTCGGGTCGAAAGCGGTGGAGGAGTAAGGAAAGGTGGACGAGGAGTGCATTTACAGAGGAATGAAGGTGGGTACCACCCATCGGGGAGGACTGAGGGTAGAGGTCTAGATAAGAACCAAGTAATAGAAATCCTGATTACGCACATCAATATCAGCTTCCATGTTGTCAAAAAACCTTGGTGGAAGTTCATCCACAGCGCCAAACTGATTAGGACATCGCGTAGCATCAGCCTGCAGAATATCACTGTTATAATGAATGAGAAGGATTGCAAACACGGCACGTACTTCCAAAAATGATTTGTCATCGAGCGAAGAACGGGGTGTGTGTTGCATTCCTAACCAAATGACTCACGCATGGTGTCCTCGTAGTCACTCCCCAATTCGTCTGATCCGTAACCGTGGCCGTTACTAATCGGCCGACCAGTCTTGGAGTCACGGAGGATGCCAGCATGATCAAAAATGGGGCAAGGCGTTCATTTGCGGAGCGATGGAGCTGGATTAAGATCCTCTGAACCTCTAGCAAATATCCTTTAAGGTCACTCAGCCGCGTCTCAGCATATCGAATGCCGACTCGAATTGAGGGAGTCAAGGTCCACATGAGTTTGGCAGGCGAGGTATCATATGAGAAACTTTGAGAGGGTATCAATGATTTGCCGTTGTTGCCGTTGGGTATCGACTTGGGAGGCCTGTATGATTTGCTGTGTGGTGAAAGGGGTGCATGGAATAGCGTGGGTGTGGAGGGATTAATTGAGCGCGCAAGCAGCATTAGGCCTTCAGTGAAGACATCTGCGGAAAATCTGATAATAATATGAGCATAATAGAAGACGAGTTTGAGGGCGACCGGGACGTACCTCAGAACCGTGTGGCCGTCAACGCCGGTATGTTCAAAACTGATACCGGCGGCACCATCTGCACACACAATGATTTATAGCTTGGATCGAATAACGAATGAGACCGATTATCGACAATCTTCGTGATGATTGACTCACTTTGTCATACCACCAGTTGGTGCACGTGCCAACCTGCACACCTCCTGCAGGTCATAAGTTCCGCAGAGGAAATTACTGCACAGAGCAGCAAGGTCTTTTCCCTTTTCACCGTTTCGAGCGAGCGCGCCGATGCCATCGCGGCCTGGAGCTGCATCATCCAGGCAGACCACAAACAATGCATCGTCGACCAGGCGCAAGCAAGCTGCATTGGTCTTGTCCTGGGCGAGTTCTTGTCGAAGGGAAGACCAAGTCTTTTGGTTCTCAGTAGTGAGAACACCGATAGCCGTGCGAGCAACCTTAATAAGTCAATGTCTCTGCTAACCGACCATCCGAGTCAATCTGACGGGATCACAATGCCTGCAGTTCTGATTTGAGCACTCTCTTGGCATTTTCCACATCCACGACTGGACGATGTATTGAGTTAGCAGCAGTCTGGGAGGAAGTGAGGGCAGCCTAAGCATTCGACTGATGTAAGAGCACAGAATGGATAAACTGGGATAGCGCCCGAAGGACTAACCTTGGCCTTACAAGAGGTCTCCAATGTCACGGTAGACGCGGCTCTCGAGCAGGTGCACTTCGGTGAGGGTCATCTAGCCTATCAACTCTATAGGATAAAATGCTGAGGGTAGCATTCAGCACAGTACAGGAAACAGGTGACGGGTACTCACATTGAACCGCAAAGAACCGCAAAGACAGAAAATGGCGTGTCGAGCCAGCGGAACTGGCTCTCTGTCATTGTATCTTGAGCGTCGTCGCAAAGCACATAGTACTTGTTGAGAGACCTGTCGTTGGTGACCGTGGTCGCAAGCACGTGGTTGAACTTTGCCCTGGACAGTGTTCGAAAGAGGGTGAGCGTGTTGGACAGCACATAGTTGACATGCGAAAGGTAAATGCTAGACTGTGAGCCTTCCGGGAAACGAGGAATAGTCATCCAAGATTGAAAGTGGAGGAGTATTGGCACCATAACTCATAGATGTAAGTTATGGACCATTTGTGAAAAGAATATGTACCAGGATTGACAACACCGTATGAACATCTGCATCGCTGAGGGAATGTCTGAGTCCTTGATAAAATGTTGAGTCAAGGCGTAAATTGTACAGAGAATAGCACCATAAAATGTGTGCACTGACGCATGCATGTAATTGCATAGACACGAGCATTATAATCAAGCAGTCAGACCGCCCAAAACTCCTGTCAAAATGCCTTATGTAATGGGACTGCCGCATTATGATGCAAAAGATAAAACTTCCGACAAGAGACATCTAATGTAGAGTATGCATTGTGTTGACTGTAGCATCGACGGCAATATGATACAAGTGAGGGCGAAAGCAATGAAAGCAAGTGCGGAACGAACAGATGAAAGTGACAATTAGTACAATGATATTGATGATAGGTATGCAACCGGCGAATCAATGATCATACATTCCGCATCATGATAAGCTTGCCTTGTCACATGCATGTTGTTCGCTGCAATGAGAACGAATGGATCCCTACATAAATCCGTGAGATTAGGGGATATCTTCAACGCCATATGACATGAACATACCGATTTCTGGTCACCTGCATAAGATTTGCTTGCTTCCTCGATTTCGCTACCCCTGCTGTTCTCCCCCTGCTGCGAAAAGCTTAATGACTCTTGTGTCTAATAATACGTTAGCTTGATGTCAGTGTCGGATGACTGGGTCTTAAGCCGTGACTCACTGCCTTTCTATCGCGGAAGCGGAGCGTGCCTGGTACATCGTTTTGGGAATTGTGTTGACCAGACAAGGTGTCTTCCTCGTTGAGACCGACACCGTGTTTGACTTCTCGAGTGTTCAAGCTGAGAAAAAATAGGAACACGGTGTCTGATGAGGTGTTAAGTAAATGACATACAGACCCAAGACAATATTGGCGTAAACTATGACTTGTCATGAGCCTGTGTGCGAGGTAAGTGGGTGACAAAAACTCACTCCTGGGTGTAACCATCTGGACTGCTATCCAGTATGGTTTTCCCGGTGAAGCAACAAACTATACAGATGAATTATAAAGTTGTGCTTATGAAGTATCCACGTACTGTACATAGATACACCAGCTGAATGATGCTGACCAATAGAAACATGGTTAGATTGCAAAAAAACCGATACAGAATAAACCTACGTGAGCCCCAGGCCACGGCCGACAAACAACACCGCAAGGTTTTCAAGCACACCCTCAGGCCTGAAGACAACAATGAGTCAGTAGTTGCTTGTGTTTCATAATACGAAGCACCGACTGGAGCATGTCCGGATAACGTGCTGGACACAATGACCAATACATCATAATAAAGATGATGATGTTTCCGACTGCTGCAAATCCTTGGCTGATGCCAGCGATAATCTGCAATTCTGGGCGAGAAATCTCTGAATCAACCAAAACCCTCACTGGTATAGAAGGTAAAGCGAATGTGGATAACTGCCCGTGCTGGAAGCTGAGAAATGAACGAGAATCAGCGACGGCATCCAAGATCGCTCTTAGAATATTGGCTTACAATTGTCCTACTGAAACTGTACTTCTGTCAATAAGATTCAATTGGATATCATACATACTGACTCGAACCGAAAACTAATCAAAATCCACGTCAGATAAGGTTTACGCATGCAGGAAATGAAGGCACAAAGGAGCTACGGCGTGGTCAGTGGAATTGACTGGATTTGATTACAAACACATACCACTACCAGGCTGATGGATCTCGAAGTGATACCCGTAAAGCTACTGCAAACTATTGAGCAATGAGATAATGAAACTCACAAAAAAACTTGGCTCACCAGTATGAAGTCGACTAGCGAAGAATCTAAGAGGAAGTAAGAAATGTCACATGTCATATCTGTGATCGTTGCCTTGCGACTGCGTGATCAGAGTGAGAATGACCTAGAGTAATGCTGTGAAGCACGCTGGAAGCCACTGCTGAGTATATACTCACCGAAAATATATATTGTATCTTGATACGGCAGGCAGTGATAAGCAACCAAGACATGCCTGCACCAAATTTACTTACGCAAAAAGCTCTAAAAGCATGGTTATGAAACTCTGTAACACGTTTCACAAACTAACACTTACGGCGTTGCATATAGAACCTCCATGGACACGTCGAACATCGTTATCAGGTAGTGGTATGGTCTGTTCAGATGCGTTAGAGATTGTAGTTAAAATGGAGATGACGCCCATACAGGTCAGATACTATGAATCTAAGTCAAGAAGACAGACAACACATCTGAAAGTGATCGTACCTAGGCTAGTTGAAGCAGTATCGAGGACACTGGATATGTGTAAGGCACAGTTCAAGTTTAAAGCTGGAATACATTACAATAATGCCTCAACCTGCGAGAAAATGGGAATGTCAAACGTGTACTCGACAAATAGGGAAGAAAACTATACCAAGAGTTTTGTCCATGCATAATCATTCGAGTATCGAGAAAAATATATGTACATCTCTGCAACGACATGAGAGAAATTTGATGAGACGATAAAAAAACTCATGAAAGAAGGTCAAGCCGTATAGGAATGTCGCAAGCACGAAACCCATGAAAATAATAATGAGATTCTCTACTTCAGCAGGAGACGGGGAGCTGGGGTCACTCATCATATCAAAGAGAGAAGAAGGATTAAGAAATGTGGATGAATGAGCAGATCATCATCTCGACATGGTGCTTATCATGTGAAGCTCAATGACATTCACATAATTACTAGTACACTATAGGCAAAGGGACGGGAGACAGCAGTATTGCAGCAGTAGGGTTCACTTGCCACGTGGAAGTATTATGTAAGCACGGCATGCGGCAAATTTCAAACTCTGCATCGCCTGCCAAATATAACCAACTCCGCTGACTTGGAACGTAAATAAATAATATGAATGCTGTATAGTGGCCTACACTCAGGCTGAACGCGAGTGTTCCATTTCAGACTTGTCGTCTGCTTCTTACAGTAGATCATTCATGTTTGATGAATTTGATTTTGGAACGAGTTGCTCATTTCAAGCAAAGCTAGTCTTCGTTTCTCATCCAAATTTTGACTAATAGAGGAGACGGACCCGGATAAAGCTCGGAGTATTTATGGTGTCATGAAATATTGCCGCAGTGTCAAGCACACTAGTACAAAGAAGATCCATGAATATAAAGGCGTGAGAGTCTCGCAGATTCAGTGTCAACTTCAGCTCACTCACTTTCTTTAATATATATCGTGTTTCCCCTTCGTGTCCCATGGCGCCTAATTCCATTCAGGTTATGTGGGGGCCAGGGTTCATTGGTGAGCATTCCGGACCCGGTGATTCACTTTACCTTGCAGCTGACTATAGGCCAAGGATGCATTATAGCTACAGTGTATTGACTCGCGTCACTCATGCTGTATCCAATACTATTGACCTGCAGAATTGTCAAGGCTCTACGGGATATCCTTTGGGCAGTATATGTTCTACCTGCGATCTTTTCCGCGAGATTCGAAAACACTCAAGTTATTCGTGAGCACTGCTTTTTATTTTAATGAAAAAATCGGCGATGTCATTTTTCATTACTAGATAACAACAGTCTTGTGGGTGCCCTGCCCAATCTTGAATGCATGCTAATATCATGACGATGTCAGTCTTTTCGAAACAGTTCACCAATGCGTAATGATAGGGATATATTGGTCTATCCTCGTACTGTGTCGACGTAGCACGTCCCTCGAGTGCACCACTAGACTCCCCTGGTAAGTCGATAGACTTGTTCCTAGATCCTACACGGGCTTATCTGGGAAACAGGCAGACGCTGGCAAGTACATTTGTGTTATCATAGTGTACTTTGCAATCATCATCGACCACAAAGCTGGGAATGTTTATGTCAGTAAGTCCTCCATGTTTGGTCGTCCATGAAGTCTAGTAACAAGTTATCAGTATTTCATCGTTTTCTTTGTTCAGTGGTATGTGTCTCCTAGTCACTGGCGCTAAGGACGATACTTATTTTTTTCAACAACACAGTTTTTATGCGTACAGGGTGTGGATAAGTGAGTCCTTCAGGATTTGCGAGAGTAAGGGTCTCAATGCGCTCTGTTAGTTACGGGCAACAATCACTGGATCACAGGCATAGTTGTGAGTTACGTTTTCATCACTTCTTTCGTGGAGAGTTATAACACAGATCATCAGTGCATGCTTACTACTACAACATTCGGTGAGCTCTTTCGAACAGTTGTGTCACTCTCTGACGTGTGGACACTATAGTTTGTGGCATGAGTTACATCAATCTTTCAATTCTGGTGTCACTATTCTGATATGTTGTTGTTCTGATTTCTAGTTGCCAGTGGTTTGGTGTGAGTTCCTGATTTGATCATTGTACTTATATGGTCTCTCACTTAGGTGCCAAAGGGTATATACAAGAAGCTCTGAAGTCATGTTCAGCACGAAGGTCCGCCCAGTCATAGTATAGTTTTGAATAAGTCTAACGAGTACATACCTTGAATCAGTGGTTACCAATATCGGCATTCATCAGTGCATTATGTGATTCTGTAATCACAGGATCCATATGGTTGTTCATGCGACCAGCACGAACAGGCAATGTTCGGTGGGTGGTCTCTCTGCTTTGCTTGTTGTCTGACTCATTCAGGATTCTATGATGGAAGGAGAAAGTCAAGAAATTATATCAATGACATGATGTGGATTTTTATCAACATGGGTTTATTTTCGTGGTATGTGCAATCCTCCATACCTGCGTATATTCCATTTCACATAGTTCCTAGTGTTGTTGCAATCACCGTGACTGTGGTCGTAAGTGGTTGTTTTCCATGCTTGCAAGATGAGGGACCAAGATTGTTTCAGTATATGTTCCAAGACGGTCTTATTGGACAGTTCTATACCGCTGCACCCGGAGCGGTGATAGGGAAATGTCAGTACGTTTCCTTTGTGGTATGCATGCACTAAAACTCTTGTCACCTATGTGAACTCGATGATGGCAGTGTGAGTGAGATTGTTTCTGTGCGCGAAGCTCATTAAGACAGTAAATTGGTGGTCAGGCTTAATGCTAGAACGTCCATCCGCGAACGGGAACAACTTGGCTACAACCTAACGGAGCTTCCTACAATACCTACAATACAGTGATAATTTTGGGCTTGGAAGACATCAGATGTGATATTCATATACACTTATGACTCCGTAATCCTTGGCTAGCGTCATGTCTGCTTCTTGTATGGGGGATTTGCGTTGCGTCTCACAATACCTCCAACAACATCAATATTACATGCAGACTGTTCCCCTCGGTCTTGTTATCATGGTCCTCTTCTCGCTCGTCGCTGCTTCCATTGTGTTCGATCATCATAATGTGTTAGTCAGAGGTGTGTGTTTTCGTTCGTCTATCCCTTTCATGTGGTTCTTGTTTTGTCCGAGTTTCGTTTCGTTTCATCTGCAGCCCCATTTCATACACTGTTCCATTGGTTTATTTGTCCTTCCAGTGGTTGGGTGCACAATGATGTTCATAGCACACATCTGAGCACTTATTACATAGTCATTCTGACACACACCCTTCCCTCTTACTCCTTTCTCCCCTTTCCCTCTTCCTTTCTTTCTCCTTAAACCCCAACTAAACACTTCCCACCAGTGACGAACAAATACATACACCTCCCATCCCACTCTCTATTACAGCGCTCCTGACTCCATTCATCGTTCTCTATCCCAAGAAGAGGATAGATGCAACCTAGAATCCAAAATGGAGTCCTTCTGCCGCGTCGTCCGCAAAATAGAGCGACACGAACATGTCACAAGTCTCCCTGCTCCGTATGTGGCAGATGTGTCCAAGGGAGATGAGGTCTTCCGGGTTACAGTCGGCATGTGCGTCACAGTCTGCACTAGGGTCCTCTTCTTCGTCGGTGTTCCCGTCTGCAACGATTTGCTCTCTCATCCTCTGACCCTTCATTCCTTTTGTCTATGGCGTAATGAATTTTAATGAGCTGCTCGGGCGCTGCAACAAGCGATCCAGTCGTTGACTTGTGATACGGACATGCCCTTTAACCAGCGCATAGATTTTGTGCATATTTGCATACCAGTTGTGCCGCACGTTTGAAGATGTCGCTAAAGAGGCTATAACGTGGCTACTCTATGCGGAGGATGAGGTTGGTGCTAGGTTCCTCTATTGCATATGCAGCACTTACATCGCTTCAGCGTAAACTTAACATCCCTGTTACTGCGACACTGCTACGCAGCGGTCTTGTCAGCACTTCGCTTCAGGATCTACAGCTAGCGAAGAATTTGTTTACTGATCCTCGCCCCAGTTTGCAAAACTTCGCAGCAGGTCTCATTCGCGAATATCTATCAAGTGACCCCCCGATTGCTTCTCAGAGTCAGTTCACATACTCCATTGAAGTTCTTGGACAGTTGGCGCAACTTGAAGCTGGCGATGCTAATGAAGAGTACGTTGTGACCGAATTTACTAATTCCTTAGCGAATACTACTTCAGTCTCTGTGATGCCATCCCTCCGCATTGCATCCAGCTTCGCAATATCATCCTCAGCGTGTTCCCTATGTCTATCATACTCCCTGACCCCCCCATCGACGCAACATCAAATTTGACTTGATTCCCGAAATGGGACCGATACCACCCATTCGATCAGTCTCAAAAGCGCTGACCTCCGCAACAACCTTGATCAATACCTCCTTAATCGTGGAACCCCTTCATTCCTGACAACACTCAAAGATCGCTTGAGGCTGCCCGGCGTGCCAGAGAGTTCAACCGAATCGTATAACCTGTCATTCAAATAAATTCCCTTGTCGTGTACATCAGAGTATCGTCAGTTGGTCAGGCCAAGGCGAGTGGCTCTTCTGTATTTGTCACGAGCGACCCTGGCGTCATTGCTCTACAGTATCTTGCTGCTAATTTAGATGTTGAAGGTGAGTTCAACGAATCCACTAGCTCATATGACATAGATTGACGCGTTATGTAGGAAAACACCACCTCTTGAGTTCTGTAATTCTCCATCTGCGGTATCCCAACGCCCATACCCACTGGTTCAGCTCTTTGCTTCTCCACCTCCTTGTGGAGGTGAAGGACGATCGCTTCCGTGAAGTGATGACTCGCGTGCTTCTGGAGCGCTTCATTGTTCATCGTCCTCATCCTTGGGGCGCTTTGGTCACCTTCATTGAGTCGCTCCGCAATTTGAAGTATGAGCTCATTCGCGTCGCACCTGAAGTTACTTGAGAGCGTAAGACGCCCTGCTGTTTAGTTGACACCTTTACTCAACAGACATTGCAGGTCGCGAGGTCCATCTATTAACTATAGATTCATTTTGCCTTTGTTCCTACGATCTGTCGCGCATATCTATTTCTTTGGGTTTTTCCTCGTTCTCTAACTGCACTCACTGTATTGTAACAACCTCTCACCAGTTTCAAGTGTTGAACAAGGTGTAACGTGAACTTTGATTATAGCAAACATCCTGCACAACCTTGTTGACACACCTCTGGCTTGTTGATGTTTATACAGCCCTTTAAAATCCCCTTACGTCTACAAGAGTACCGATCACTTCGGACGTCGGGTGTCTTTTTACAGTGAATTACAATAACAGGTGTTTGTATACCACGTTTGCCATAGTCTTTTTCTCATCTTCTCTAGGAAATAGCGCTCGAATGTCTCGTCGACATCGCACTATGGGCCTTTCCTCTTCGGGCGCGCCCCTGCAAGCGTCACCCCGTCACCCTTATCAACAGGCTAGTGTGCAGAAGTGGCTTTCGCGCGAAGCTCTAATTGATAGGTGGTGACGGTCAACCGCCACCTTCCGGTTTAGTCCTATACTGGACAGGAAATACTCGTAGGGGACGAAAACCTTCTCAGGAGAGAGACCTTGTGGAAGATGGAAACCCATTGTTGGAACCAGCTAAACAACTTTTCCCTGAGCTGCTCGGTTTCGGGCTTGGCCGAAGGCTGGTGGACTACTACGCCCTCCATCGTGGGTCTGCAAACAACTCGAAGGTCATCCAGCCCTAGTAGATTGGTTTACACACGAGCCCAGTAAATTTGGTCACAATGCACTCTTCATTAGCATCGCCAGCTTGTGTCAATTGTCCATTGACTCTGAGAAGCAATTGGGGGGTCATTTGATAGACGTTCGCGAATGAGACCGGCTGCGAAGTTTTGCAAACTGGGGCGAGGATCAGTAAACAAATTCTTCGCTAGCTGTTGATCCTGAAGCGATGTGCTGACAAGACCGCTGCATAGCAGAGTCACAGTAACAGGGATGTTGAGTTTACGCTGAAGCGATGTAAGCACTGCATGCGTAATAGAGGAACCTAGCACTAACCTCATCCTCCGCATAGAGCAACCATGATATAGCCCCCTTAGCAACATCTTCAAACATGCGGCACAACTGATCCATCACAGAGTACATTCATGGCCGAGAAGACTTTCGGAACAACGATCATCACTGATGGGCATGGAAAGATATGAAGTCCTGACTCACTGAGACCGCATGCATAGTAGAACATGTTATACATTACCAGGATAGAGTACAGATGCCCCTTGGCTGTACGCCAGCTCTGTATGACATGTGTGAGTATGAGGGAGAACAGTCCTAAGGAGAACATCAGTCAGTGCGTATATGTGATTGATGTTTCCAGTTCCCGGCGACATACCCAATCGAGATATAAGTAAGAGAACAGATGACATGGAATGCCAGACACCGCCTAAGCTCCAGTAACAGCCTGTGATGCCTGGGATCACGCTGGTCACGACTATGCCAGAGGAGTGAATATGTGCGAATAGTAGTGGGGAAGGTCCATGAGAGCACCAACCATGTGAGATGGCTATTGCTGTAAAATGAAGACTGGCGGATATTGTAGTAACAGCCTAGCTGATGAGTCAACAATGTTTGGGTGTAGTCAGGGCATGGAACTCACAAAAGAGGTGGTCAGCATGGCTACGCGTACAAGTCGATAAATCAAGAAATGAATAGGTTGCGAAAATGACTTACGAGCGCTGCAATGTCGATCAAATAAATCCACCACGTTTGATGATCTGGGGTCATGTATCAGTATCGTTTGCCTGCCTACCAACATTTGAAAACACCCACTATCCAGCAGCGCTGCATTTTCTGTTTCGGAAAATAGAGGGGAGCATGAATCTGCTTGGAGGGCCGCCGCAACCAGACTGCCATAGCGATATCAGTAATATGCAAACGAAACAAAGACCATGATATATTATCAAGAGACCTACTTTCTAGCCTGATAGATTGGCTTGCAACGCTACTAGGTGTGGTCGAGCATCGAAGGTTGAGTGGTAGAGGAAGGAGAGGAGCAGAGATCATGATAACGACTGTGGATGTAGTTCAGGACCTTCAGGTGAGAGGGAGAGACATTTTTCAGACCTCAAGGGTTCAGGACATGCTGCTCGCGTGTTTCCAATGTCGACGTAAGGCATAGACTTTTCAATCGTCGAGCACCAATGGGTGATACTGTTCCTGGAATTGGAGTCACTCATCGTGGTAGATGGCCCTTTCACCACTCGTCCTAGACCCCGCCTATTCATCACAGCCAGCGGGCTGAAGTCCATCATACACAACTTGTACGCATGTGTCTTTGACGTGATCTTGTCCACCAGCAAAACCCGATTCCCGCAGAGGTGAATTTTGGTTTTGTTTCTTGCTTTATACTTCAAAATACGAACATGTCCAGGGCCCTAATGCTTCCATGGTATATGCCTCCATGATACTCTCGCCGCTTTGTCGATGTCGAAGAAAATCTTCGTGGAGATGACGAAGATCTTTCGAACATCAATTAACGAGTAAACGCATAGCAGTCTGTGTTTAGGGTCTGAAGTGTACACCGACTGGTTTTGCGTCTGCATCTTCGGCTGTGAGCTATGATCTCTCTCCAAGTCCACCAGCGGGAAAGGCAACAGGAAACGTGCCAGCAATTGCGGCGTCTTGGACGTATCCTCGATCGAATACAACTCCAAATCTCGGGCGAAAACGAGCAATCTGTCGTTTCCGAGAAAACAAAAACTTGGCACTGGTGCACATGCTGCTATTGAGGGCGCTCTAAATTCAAAATCAATCGTCAATTCAAATCATTCCTGTTGAAGACTCACGCTGGATGTTGTTGAGTGCCACCAGTCCCAAATTTGCAGATGCCACGTCTTCAAAAACTCACTGCAAGAGTTGCGCCACAAAGCGATAGGCCTCCCATAACACTCAAGCTTCACATCAAATGCATGCATGGACAGCTCCAGGTCCAGCGCTGGTCCAGCAGTGTGAGGGTGGAGATGTCCATCATCCAGAGTTGCTAGGTAAATGCGATAGGCCATGTTGTCAACAATATACATGATGCCGAACAGATTTTGTGCTGGGTCCATCAATATGTACTTTACTCTCAAAGGAAATATTGATGGACACAACGTTCTTGGTGACCACTCGTGTTCGATTGTTTGTTGTGGAAGTTTGGATGGTAATGGGCTGATGGTGACCAAGTTGCTATAGTGGATCCACAAGTAGAGATGTTCACCGGCGATGCATCTTGAGTTAGGAAACGGGATTGGTAGGGTGCCTGTTTTTAAAGCGAAGGCATTAAACTTGAACGCATGCGTAGGCTTTATCCCTCAGGACGACGACGACAACCCACGGATGCGCAACAAAGGATATATCTGCAAGAAAGGAAACCTAGAATGTAAACACGGAGTTCTTCAACAATTGCAAGGGACAGGAATAGTGATTTAGGCATTATTTCGTGGTATATTCCCTTGACAAAGTGGTCAACCGGAATCCGAATGTGTGAGCGGGCTCTCGGTTCGCAATAAAACTTGTCGCAATAAAACTTGTTCGAGACCCCCGAGCGTGAAGCTCGGGGACTCCGCTTGCCTAATCACTGTGGGACCTCACTGCTCAGCGTAAAATTGATTCATCGGGGTTAAACTTGTTTAACCAAGTTGAATCGATTCGCGACGCTGGTCAATAACTTCAGGCCTCAGGCCTCATGACTCAGCGTCATCCTTAGAGGCCTCTTTTTGTCTGGATATAGTGTCGTGATCCTTTCATAATTGTGAGACATTATAAGCAGCGTAAAATTTCCAATTGGGTCAGCACCCCTGAGGCTTAGGGGAACAGCACTGATCTTGACATTGACCATAGTATATCGACCTGCTATGCATCCGGCAGCCTATTGGTAGCAACCACTCCGAAAAGACAAACCGTGAATCACTCACCAAATGGATGCATCGTAGCGCTATGTTGAGTAAGCTTCGGAAAACACATTTAATTGACTGACTATGCTACAAAATATAATCTGATCAGAAATGCACAAGTACTACATACACAACGGGACTGCGAAGTTCGAGGGTCAATTACAAGAATACTAATTATGACGAACCCTTCATGTCCGCGACTAGGATCGCCTCCATAAAGATTCCGTCCGCTCAGATGTGCAAAAAGCATGCATGGTCTTCGCCCAATCCTCACGCTTCTGTCTGCAGGAAGCAAGATAGCTAAGCTGCGCAGGCGTGGGATGATGGGCGTGGAGAATGAACATATAGTCTGACATGTTGCTCTGTTGGACCACCGAAAAGGCACTTTCTCCGCTTCTGATGAATGCGGAGATATCAACGCAATTGTCTGGAGTAACCTGCCAAACAACTTCAGTATGGTTTGCAAGAACATCGGTAACACTCACGAAAATGGGTGGAGCTAGTGGAATAATAAAATCCTTCCCATCCCGTTTTGTCTGCAGTGAAAGGTCCCCAGTTGCGGGCCACGAGCATTTCGAATCCATCGTAAGTTTCTCGAACGGAGTCGGCTGATCATCTTCCGGTGGATTTGGCAAGAGACTAGGGAGATGAGCGAACGACACACAGACACTTTGTTCCAAATCTCTGTGAACCGCTGAATATGTGGATAAAAGCGAGAAAAGGACACATACTTTGGTGACGACTTGCGCTTAGCCCACCGAGCAATTTGGAGATACAGTGTATGATCGAGATCGAACGTAAGGTTGATCGCCTCGCGAGGTGACTCGAGTCCTTGCCGAAACATCATCACAGCCATCCCCCCTCCGAATCTTGCACAATCGACTTGCGGACAGGTATTATCCACTGGAGGTAATGATATTTCGTCTCTTTGGCTTTCTACACCCACATCTGAGGATATCGCAAGTGGCTGCCTTGGAGCTGGGGAATCGGTAGTTTGTTTTGGCGATGTCGTGGTGAGCTCAAGAGCGACATTTCCTGGCGTTAGTGTTTCTGAACCTTGAGGCACATTTTCCGTTGGTGGGCCGGTCATAACAACATCAACTACAGCGGATGTGATTTCTTCTTCGTTGAGTTCTTTGGCAACTGTTGGCGCTGAAATCTCGGAGAAAGGCAAGGTACTCGTCAGATCAACAGCATTCGCAGGAGCTGCAGGCTCGTTTATTGCTGTCAGTTCAGTAGATGTCGGTCATGGAGGTATCCTCCCTGACATGCGAGATGGCCGTATTTTCTCTACAGGGGGCTCCGTTACATCATTTGAAAACTTAAGCGCACTGGGTGGAGCAGCAGGACTTGAAGGCTTAGAATCAGGAGCAGCCGCATGCTGATGGTTTGCTTTGAACTATTCGAGGTCACTGTGTGTTTGAGGTGCTCGGATAGTGAAGATGCCACAGATTGACGCTTTGGCTGAGGTTTTGGAAGGATTCTCGGGATGGAGGCACTAGCTGGGGGATCCGCGTGAATATCTGGGTGGGGTGTAGACGAGGTCGAAGGCTGCGCTGTAGTCTATAAAATCATATGTTAGATCATGAATAAACAGCGCGCGTCCATCTTACGGGTGATTGGACTGACTCCATTTGTGCAGTACTAGGAAACATTGGTTGCGTGCTTGGAGTCGCATCTCGGGTACTTGTGATCATTGAGGTAGCGTCCCTAAACAAGATCATCATACTGATGCTCAGACTCAATAAATGCCCGCGTACTTGTATTCTTGAGCTGTGGCTTCGCCTTCAGCCCAGGTAGGATATATAAAATTAGTCGAAACCTCAGAAGAACTTTGGACCAAGTCTTGGAGTCGGACTACATAAGACGATCGACACAGCCGGACACTTAGAAATATTCAACACGTACGTTGCAGGTCCTCCTCTGTAAAAAAACTGTATGAAAGGAATCACGGCGCGAATTAAGGTCTGATATATATCTATCACAGCACGTGCTGACGATTCTGTTGGGAGAAACCTTCTCATAAAGGTCTGATGGTCAATCTGACGAGTGCAAAAATGAATAAATAGAGCAAGAAGCGACGTGTCTACACACCTCGAGGAGTAAAACGATCTGATATTAGGAATTGAAAGTACTGTACAGCTACGCACTTAAGTTCGTCACACCATCACAGGGCGAGCGAACCGAACCTATTTCGTGTGACAGTCACACGCATTTTGAGGTCATCGAACTTAAGTTGTGACATGCGGTAAAAACACGAAAACATGCAGTAAAAACACGAAAAAAGTCCTAGTGCTGCCAAAAGTCCTTATATTGAGTATTTGCAATGTGTCTCTGCGCTCGTACAAAGAAAGAAATACGTCTGCCTAATGAGACTCCCAGCCCAGTCGGTCATCTCACCCAACGAACCTATGCGCAACATGTCACACGTCACACACCCCTTCGAACTTTCGAACCTAATGTTCATTCGGTCACACCCATATCAGGTCGAACTTAGGTGCGTAACTCTACAGTAGTTTATTGAGCCTCGCTTCTGTCAAGCTGAACCAGGATTCCAACACTTATATTACGTAAGCATCAGGATAGTATGCTTTCGGAGCTCAACCAGTTTTTGGCAGTGTTTATGTACTCGTTGAGGTCGTGTCATGCGAGCCTATTTGCAAAGACCGGGAAGATCTTCGCGTTGGCTACAACGGCGGTGTGTGGGCGAGAACTCATGATAAAGTCGTTGGACGCTGATGCATCTGTGAAATATTCACAGGCTTAGACGGTCCACCAACCTTGTGGTGGTTTTTTATCATACCAAAGGAATTCAAGTTGTGAGTGGTGCTTGTAAGTTTAAATGTATTTCTAGTCCAGTATAGGGCTAAACCGGATGGCTGCTGCTACCTGCGACCAGGTTGGATGCGTGAATGTGACTTCCACTTGGAGGTTTAGTTGAATGGGGTGACAGGGTGATGCTTACGGGGGCATGCCCGGAACACCAAATAGATAGGGCAAAGCTGCAACACAGCTCGATACACCAGGTTAGTGGGGAAAGTTGCCCCATCTTGCTGTTAAAGGTCTCTTATTGAGTGCAAAATGGAGTGGATCAGAGTGAATACACACTGAGAGCTGAAACTGCACTAGCGCATCGAAGACCTGCTAGTGTGAGGGAAATGATATGTTGAGTGCTCATCGATCCCGGGAATTTAACAGCGAGCCGCAAGGCTACGGTGAGGTTGACTGGGTTGACTCACTGAGGCTCTGTTTGAGAACTGCATGGGGCTGGGGTATTGCAGCCTCGGTATGGCAAAGCAAGGCGTGATGGAAATCATGATGATCTACCTTTACCGATATTAGCAATATAAAGTTGTTGTCCGATCGAATTGAATTTTGTTCTACTACGATGATGGTCAATGTTTGATTCATAGAAGACTCAAGACTTGAACGTACGAGTACATGCTAAAGCTTCAAGAGAGGTTAAAGGCAAGTATGCTTCGATCGAGTAAACAACAGGACACAAAGGACATGCACCGTGGACAGTGACCTATAGAGTCAACAAGCGTCCATAACATACTTTCCCAAACACAATTGTAATTCATTCAAATTCGACCCTCAATTGACATTTTCTTTCAATCCTTGATCTTCTGCGCACTGGGATGTATTTCCCTGTGATGGACAAAAACTATTGGAGTTTGTCGGGACTCGTCTAAATCTCGTTCAGAATAACGCAAGGACGATATGAGTTCATTGCCTTCCTAGTGACTGAATTGCAAGTGTGTTTGTGTTTACAACGATAATCCGCCAGGTCAACTTATACCTTCGTCCAAAGTCCCTTGCTAGCGAGTCCAGGAGAAAGCATCCAGAAATACGCGAGGTATGACGGAAAATGCTCATCCCATGTACTGGCGTCTTACTATGTCCACGCAAAAGCAGCAGAGAAGTCGCTTGCGATACTTAGGTCCTCTCCGGAGCAAGCGACAGCATCTTTGGCGTCTGGTACGTGATTCCATTCAAACACATCTCACTTTCTTCATCGTTCACCCACAGACAGCGCACAGTCAGATGATATTCTCCGTCCAGTCTTCATGGGGTGTGCGACCAAAAACGCGAAAGTAGTTGCCATCTCGTTGGGGTCGCTGCAGCGCTTGATAGCCCTCAAGGCTGTACCGCAGTCTGTTGTCCCACTCATGGTAAGCACGATGAACGATGCCATGAGCCAAGGCGTGGACATTCAACTTCGAATCCTGCAAACCTTAGTCTCTTTGATCACTAATTTTTCTTCGATACACGAAGAGCTCCTGGGAGAGGTACATTCTGTCTATACTTCCTGGTACCTGTCTGATGACCTGTCAAAGGCATTGCTTCTCTGTTTTAAGCTGCAGGATTCTAGGATCGCGGTAGTCTTTTCAACAGCAGCAGCCACCCTGCGCCAACTGGTCATGTTTATCCTTGAAAAAATGGTCAACGAGGATCGTCAAGAGAACGACGACACTCTGGAGCTGTCTGAGGCGGCCCTTCCGAACGGTAGCACCAAAGCGCTAGAGCCTTGTGCCAAGGATGCATTCTCTGTCTTCAAAGATCTCTGTCTCCTCGCAAATTCAGAGAGACCCAATTTCTTGAAGCTCGATTACTTACATAAGACCTTCGCCTTGGAGTTAATTGAGAGCGTACTGACGAACTACCACGAGCTGTTCAGGAAGGCAACTTTGTCAGTCCCATTTAGCTAATTCATACTAATGCTCGTCGTAGCACGCGGAGCTTTTGATGTTGCTGCAGCACCATCTCTGTCCACTCATTCTGAAATCTCTCTCCGACAGACATGCCTTTCCGTTGATACTGAGATGCACACGAGTTGTGTTCTTGATCTTGAAGCAGTTCTCATTCGAGCTAGAGACGGAAGCTGAAGTATTCCTGATGCCTCTCATAAGAATGATCTCAGAAGATTCTGACTCGTCGAATCCGGACCATTCTGGCTCACGACCAATATGGACAAGGGTCCTTGCGATGGAGATAATGAGAGGGTATGTCGTAAGCTTGACGTCCCAAAGTTTGCACTCAAGTTTCTTTTCAGGGTATGCAGCGATGCTGAGCTTGTCCGAAACATACGGGATCACTACGATGCACAGCAGCCAGGCTCCAAGGTCTTCAGCTCTATGATAGTCGCATTGAAACGCCTTGTGACCGAGAAGCCTGCTCTACTTGGAGTAAGCGCGCAGATGATGGGGGTCGGAATTTCTCATACGGGTGATGGTGCTGCACCATCGGGATCCAATTATGGTTTGGATGTCGGTGGGGTTGCTGGAATGGTCGCCACGGCTGCAAGTGCTACCGTGTCAGGAGTAGTCGGGATAATTGGGTCTGGTATTGGTCTAAGCGTGCAGAACTCAGCCATGAAGCTCCAATGGTACAGTTCCTATTTCATATCTCGCGGATTACCCTGAATCATCTTTCCTGACCAGCATCGATCAATTAGACAAAGCCGACTCGCCACCAATCCCCGAAGCATACATTTACCTTCTCGCTGTGCAGTGTATTGTCTCCCTATGCGAAGGCTTCGCGTCGTTCACTGGACCACTGTACACGTCCATCATGGTTCAACGCTCTCGAGCGGCTGGAGAGCCTGTCATTCGCGCACCCGCTGCTCTTGACCTCTCCACACTCCCGCAGGACGATCATGCAACCGAGCACTTCATCGTCGTGCGTTCTATGGTTGAGAACGGCTGGCCTGCGCTTCTCGCTGCCCTCTCCTCCATTATCTCAACAAATCTGTCAGACGAGCTCTTCATAGACGTTCTTAGCAGCTATCAAGCTCTGACGAACGTTGCTGGGATGCTCGCCCTGAGTACTCCTCGCGACGCATTGTTCAACTCACTTTCCAAATTTGCAATACCTTTGCGAGTAGCGTCCAGCTTGGAATCCTACGTTGAACCTCCGACACCACGAACGTCAATTTCCTTCATGGATAAATTGGGGTTGACAGCACCTATCCAGGCTCCGGGACTATCCGAGCGAAATCTAGCATGTCTCAAAGCGTTGGTATCCAGTGCCCTTTTCCTTGCCGGCAGCCTGGGAGAGAGCTGGTATGGCATTCTGGAAGCTTTACAGAACGCGGACTACGTCTTGAACGTCAAAGCGTCGCAAGCATCTACCAACCGGCGGATGAGCACACCCGTGACACCCAGTCGATCGGTGTCAGCGATGAGCTCTGCTGAACAGGGGAAAGTGGCTCATCACCCCCTCCTCATGGATATCGATTCAGAGAGCGTGCTTGCTGCCGTGCAGCGCCTCTTCGATGCGTCCAAAAACCTGGAGGATTCAGCTTTTCAGGACTTTGTCACCGCGCTCTGCAAACTTAGCTCAGAGATGGTCGGGATACAATCTGATGGGAGCACGCTGACTGAGTCAGACGATTCCTTGAGTCCTGTACCCATTTCTCCCCATAGAAGGCGGGTCAGCGGAATTCATCTGCCGCGCACGCTGGTAAGTCAGGGTTAATCCTTGTGCGTCACAATCTAACATCTTCTCAGCGCCAGGGTGATTTTGGTGTCGAGCGACTGGGTTCTGTAGCGATGCTAAACCTCCATCGCCTCATCTATCGTGCACCCGAAGTCGCATGGAACACTACTACAAATCATCTTCTGTGGATCATGGGTCTCTCCTCGGCACCGCAGTTGATACGAGTGCAGGCGGCGCGCGTCCTCCATGAAGTTCTTACCGTGGTCCCGCGTAACTTGTCATCCACTGGAGACCTGCAGGCCAAAGTTCAGCGTCGCGTTCTCGACGTTCTATCTAAACAAATAGTACTCGCATCGGGTGGGGCAGCATCTTTGAGATGCTAGGGAGCATCTGTAAACCTGCAGCTCTCTCCAGATCTCAGTCGGTTGATTCCATCAGCATGCTATCGCTTCAAGAGATGCCTCATCAAAAGCCACTGCCTCTGGGGTATGTTAGCGACCGCGGCTACACAGCACTGGTGAAGATCGCCTTCCAGTCCCTCAAACTTGTCTGTGACTCCGTGTCTGTTTTTTCCCCTGAAGACTTGCGGCTTTGCATCAAAACCCTTGGACGGTTCGGTCGACAAGCCGACACGAACATTGCGCTCACTGCCGCAGAAAGCCTTCTCTGGAGCGTGTCGGATTCGATCCAGGCAAAGCGGAAGGATACAGAGATGGAACCGGAATATAGCGCTCTGTGGATGTGTCTGCTGCTAGAAGTTCTAGGTCTTTGTGCTGACGCCAGGCACGACGTTCGTGTAGGCGCCATCCAGACCCTTTTCCGTGCAATGCAACTTTACGGCGCCACGCTTATGCTGGATACGTGGAATGACTACATATGGAAGATCACATTCCCGCTACTCGATACAATATCTATTGAAACCCGGCGCAGTGCCTTTGAGCCCGGAGCTCTGCTGGATTCTGGTCGGGCGGCGCAGTCTCCCGAGCATGCATGGGACGAATCGGAGAGTCTCGCATTGCAGTCGATTGGATCTATTATCAGTGATTTCCTAGTCGCCAAGATAATGCATCTGGAATCCTTCTCAAAAGCATGGTCCGTGTTTGTTACCCACGTTCACGATACCGTATCCTTGGACCGTCGAAACTTGAGTCCACCCGCACTACTTTGTTTGGGGAAAGTCGTGAAAGCGCTTTCTGGCGCAGATGTCTCCCTGCAAGCCAAAGTGTAGGAAGCTTGGGAATGCGTATGGATGGCGTGCAGTGACATAGGAAGCATGGTTCTCTAGGGTGAGAGATCCCAGCTCTCTCCGAGTACGAATACAACACAGCACCACCGTGCATTTACTCAGGAGAGTTTGGTTGCTCTTGTCGACGTCATACGGAGCACACGTTCCATTAGTCTGGCCTAGACGAAGAAGGAATGGCCGCTTCAGCGCCTCAATCGTCTGATGGACATCCTCAAGGGCATGTCTCCCTATTTCTGCTGTTGTCCCCTTTTCTGAGCCACGAACAGGTGTTCTGACCTATCCTGACTCGACGGACTGCCGCCCGGATGTTGATGGTTTGTCACCCGTTCAGGTAGGTGAATGTTCAGCATCCACTGAACACCATTGCCTCATTAAAATGACAGGTAGTGGTCTTGGACGCCATCGCGGATATTAACTTAACGGGATCTGGTAACCCATCTCTCACCTTACGAGATCTCTCGGAATTCAGCACACTTCCGTTTCTGGCTGCTTTTCATGTGCCCATCTTGTCTCCCGCCTCTCCGGCAACGCCTATTGCGGCATCGTCTCAAAAACAAGCCACGTACATTGCGTTGTCCAAGAAGGTCACACCGCTTATCGTTGAGTTATACATGCGCTTCAAGGACGAGCTCGAGATCTATGAAGATGGGACTTTGGAAGCTATCTTCTCGGTATGTGTCATTGATGACGTCCTTGATTTTCGAATGCTCATTTGGTTCCGTGTTCAGGCTTATTCAATACCGATAAAGCTAAAGTACGAGTGTCCTGCTCCATCAAAGTTTGGCAAAGATCCTCCTCTGTGGAAGACTGCTACAACAAGTTTCCTCCGTATAGTCACTGACTCGGTCAGAAGGATGGCAACATTCGGCGATCGTACGTAGTTAACGATCTGGTTGACTTCATAAAATACAGGTATATCCGATACACGAATTGAAGGCATATGGCGACAAATCATTGAGGTCTTTCGGGGTGGCATTTTGGCTGATTGGTGCGCATTTTATCCTTCTCTCCTTCTCATTCCGTCGTCCTCTTACACCCCATGACTAACTTGTTTGCAGCACTGCGATAGAGAGTTTCTCACTCGAAGATCAGGAAGCGGAGGAAAACTTCGATCTGTCTTTCATCAGCTCACTGGAGATTCAGCTCATTGGAGATTGATCTCGTGCCACATTTGGGAGACACAAGAGCCCCTGATCACCTCATCGCACAGTTCGCCAAGATCTTGCACAAGGGCAGCCAGTTGTACGAGTCAAGTATGGATCCCTTACACCCTGATTCGCCCTCAACAGATACTGCGAATGTGTCAGACGACTCTCGGGACTCGCACGACTTTGAAAAGGTGGACCTTGACGTCGGAACAACTGCCTCTGGGGTCCTGGTTTCGAGGGAGCGATTTTTGTTTTGGTGTTTTGATCTTTTGTTCTTGATATGCTCTAACGTTACAAGCGGTAAACCAATCCCTCTGCGCGCATTTCCAGCGCTAACTGTTTTCATAGATCAAGAGTCTTCAAGGAAACGAGTTGCTGCCCTTTGTCTACCGACCTTACTTGATCGATGCAAAACTACTATGGTGAGCTACGTTGCTGACGAGGCTCTTCGCGGAAATATGCCTTTCCCGAGGTAAATTGTGATCATGTCGCATTATTTTCTGTCGCTGAACCAACTTTGATAGGGCTCGTGAAGACGAACTGTTGTATGTACTCCGCAAGGTCCTGGATTTATGGCTTTGGTCAGGAACCCTGTGGGCCGCACTGTCAGAGTCGCCATCGAAGTTTAGTGATTCTCAACCCGGTACCTGTTCCTTTGCTCTATAATCTGATTTGCGCTGAACGTCTGCACTCATTGCGGATGTGGTGAAACGGTCGCCAGTCGCTCATATCTTCTATTTTTATTCGGTGTTGTGTGAAATCGCTTCTATCCCTCGGAAGATGCCATCGACATGGGTGATTATGAATTCCTCGCTTTCCGAGACCAACCAGGAGAGAAGAGGCAATGTTCTACGGCATCATATCGGTGCTCTGGAAGAAGGTGGGGATGCAATGGAGATAGATGCGAGAACACTTGCGAGGAAGGCGTTGCAGATTCTCGGGAAGGAGATGGGCACGATTTAGCAATGGATGGTTTGGTCTACTTTGCAAGAGTTATTTTATTTTGATGCCTAATATCTATGAGCTTGCCACGATCGATTTGAATGGGTAGCGCAGGTTATCTATCGCAACATTCAAACTGGCTTAACCGCGATCACTTCTCGGGACGTGCGCTAAGAGGGGTGGGTGAGATTCTTCGTTCCCAGTGTTTCTACCCAATTTCACGACGCAAAGTGGAAGGACGACCAAAGTAAGATTTGCAGCAGCAACTTAGTCATAATTGAGACCCTTGTGTACCTGCTGCTGGTTAACTTGATTGCGTTGCACTGTTGCACTGGCGGCCTGGTTGCTGTTCGTACGTCGCATAGCTGCAACCGCTTCCGCATCAGTTTGAGGGACAACGACAAAGCCATGTCTCTGCAGTGTATCTTAATGGAACGAAATTAGAGGGACGACGGGTCACTCACATCTTCAGCTCGAGCAAGAGGTACATCGACGGTGCGCATGGAATGTCCTCCGGAAAACAACTTGAAGTTGAAATTCCAGTGTGGAAACTGTCGTTCGATTGGTTTGGATGCATTTGCAGGTCGTGTGCCGAAATGTATGGAACTGAGAAAATGACGTACATATGAGAAAAAGTGGGGTTGCTCACGATTGATGGGCGCACAACTCTCGCTTGGGTTGGACATCCCTAGTAAAAAGTGAGATGTAGTATGAAAGAGAAGCAGAGAAGACTTGCCTTGAGCTTTACATTCCCATCATGTGCGCCCTAGATAGCCAAAACCGTTAGGAAGGTGAATTGGACAACAAAGTGTATATGTACCAGAGCGTTTTTGAGCGCCGCCACCAGGTTCCATACATGAATTTGTTTGTCTACTCCAGCGCTGGTAATGTATTTTCCATCGCAGGACATGGCAACAGCGACGACTCTGTCATCATGCAATTGCAAGAGTGGGTCTCCGACTGCCTGGTTGGTTTTGAGATCACAAATGCGAATGGAGCAGTCAATTGATCCGCTAACAATATAGCTTTCGTTGGGGGCAAGACAGAACGATTGGACAGGGTGGGTATAGCCCCGAAAAATGACCAGTTCCTGTCCATCAATCGCCCGCCATTTTCGGATGGTATGATCACCCGGCCCGGAGAAGATATGCGCGCCATCCTTGGACTAACACAATGACGACACCCAGTTTTCATGTCCCTTGATCTGGACCAGCAGCTTGCCGTCCTTTGACAATATGGAGGTCGGACCGTCCACGCCGCCGCTCATGAATTCGTCGCCTTGTGGAGAGAATTTGACGGCCATGACCCATCCGTGGCTGGTCTCTATGGGCGGTGCTATTTGTCGACCAGTATCCGGGTTCCAGCGTCGTATCGTGCCGTCTTCAGATCCACTTGTTATCTCCAGGGAATTGCAAGACTAATCAAGGCACCTCACTGATGAATCAAACTATCATCAGACGTACTCATTATATTGCATGTGCTGCCCAAGTAGGCAAGGCTCCATATGCATTCGGAGTGACCCTCGATGACGCACTCCGGCATGAAGCTTCCTGCCGGACGTTCTGGCTTGGGTTTCTTCCATGACGTGGTCCCAGTGTTGTATGTGCCATTCCCATCCAGGAACAGCAAGATCAGCGGGATCATCTATGTCCAATGGTGAGTCCGTCGCTCCTTGTCGCAATTCCATCCCTCACCTAACCGCACTCCTGGCAAAGGTCTGTTCCGGGAGACCATCGTGAGCGTGTCATGATGACATTGTATTGCACTATCCGACAATGGCATAAACTGTTGCCACATAGGAGGAAGCGCTGCATTCCCGCCTGATTCTAATTGAGTGAGCTGTTGGGTATCACAAGGTAGCTGCTCACCTTCCCAAAGTGCGTCCTGGCGGTGCTGTGCGCCATATGGTGGTGGATCTTTCGCGCTTGTCCGATTCATCGATGAGTGCAATGGCGCTTCTGCTCGTCTCATTGACATGTTTGGCTCGGCTTCTTCGTGTGGCATGACAAGGATGTCACGTTGTACGGACAGATTGGACAGTGAAACATTGCACAAAGTCAGCAATCAAGGGGAGGGAGAGATACGGGTTCAAGGTAATGAAGAGACCTGCTATTTGGGTCAGTTTTGCATGCTGCACTTGCAGGCGCTTTGCTGACACCGCATGTCAATAGCTGTGTTACCATCAGATCAGTACTTACCTTGATCCGGTTCAAATTTCGAAGCAGTTCAATGTACATTGGTCTGTTATATACGTCTCGTCCGACAGCGTGTCGAATGATATGATGTTTGTTTGAGTGAGTACATACACATCAAATCTGGATGCTGCATAGTACGTAGCAGCACTCTCAAGCAAATCACTACCAGTAGATGGCTGACGTGAACGTATACTTACAGAAGTTTCTTGATGTTGGCTGCGCAATATTGTTGTAATCAACACTGGTACCACCTGCAGGGCGTTGATCGTGTCCAAACCAAAGTTTTTTCGTCTCAGTAAGCAGAGAGTTTTGAACGTTCGACATAAGTCAAAGCCGAAGTCATGTTCAGAACTTCAGATGAACTTCACTGGCTTTCCGAACCCGTGTCAGGCGGCTAATGCGATTGATAGCGGGAGTGAATGCATTTACAAGGTGAATAAAGCAGCGCTTAGCAGGAAGTCTCAAAGTACTATCTGTGCTGCGGGAGATTAAAGTTGGTTGGCGGGAGGGTCACGGTCGTCGGTAACGGTAAATTCTCAGTTGTTCAAAGTGGACATTCCCGCCGAGATCTGGACCATATATTTGTTCATCCACTGGCAAAAGAAGTTGATTACTTCAAAACGGAACCTCAAAAAAACGACCACCGAGGTAAGTACTAGGTACTGGAGGGTAATTAAGTCCCTCCGATATTTTCGCCTTTCCAGCGGAGATAATGCACTTAAGGAGCTTCATAAATCGGGGGCAGAACAATAAATGAGCGCACCCGGTGACTCGTGAGTTTCTAAACGTTTCAGTTGATAGATCACAGCATGTCAAGTTTAAACTCAGATCATACTTTGGTCTTCAGTATTTACACGGCCACCTTGATGGGTTCACAGCTCATTCATCATAAGAGCTAAAAAGGCGCATCATGCGTGTGTGCTGAAACACATTCTTGACCTCTATATGGAATATTCGACTGACGATATCGCAGCAGCGAGGAGCTCGCAGTTCGCTACGGTGTGTCTCCTTGTTGATTGAAGGCGAACCATGACTGACAAGTCATTTACCATCAGTACATGTTCAGTGCGTGCTGTCTTAAACCCATATTCTTTGTCCTGACAACAGTTCAGTGTCAATAGCTACAATATGGGTAGGAGCGTTCTGATCTATCCACGTCCGCTGTCAAACTCCCTTATCCAGACCTATGATTATGCATGTTCATTTCATGAGGTAATACACTCGCTCCATGATATACTTCAGTTTTCATACTCACAATATGCTGTGCAAAGTGGACATTTTTGCTTCGATCGCACTGGAGCAAGATGAAAGGCTTGTATATTTTTACGCGATACCTGCCCTTTATCATTCTCGCCGTGGATCTACGCAGTGCGTTCCACTGCAGCACACATCGCCCCGATGATCAATTAACACTCGTTTTTCAGTGAGCCTCACCCCGAGTGAGAATTCAAGTGTATGTACTGCAGCGGAGAGTTCATAAGAACAAACGACTTACTGCACGATTTCGCCAGACATGCGAGATGTTGCAAAATGTTAATTCAGGTCCGTGCGTGGTACATTCATGTCTGAACATCCTTGCTGAATGCTACTACTTTCCTCTGACAGGCCTTGGCATTGTAATAGCAACGTTCTCCGAATGTATATCTCGTTCACCCGTATGATGTGTACTATCTCTGATGTGATTCATCCAGGTTTTTTATCCTCAGAACATATGTGCTCTGGGACAAGAATAGAATCTTGCTCACAGCCATGCTGTCGAACTTATTGGTGAGCTCCTAATCTACTCACTATACCCGAGCTGGTGGCAGATGCATCGGCCAGTCTTTTCTCATAGCATCCTTCATCATTGTCTTTGCCATCAACACCCCTGCAGAATGTACTTGTTTTTACCTTCCCTCCGGCATTCTACGACCACTGAAACATTTGGTTCACTTTCACAGATGCGACTAGCCCGATCCCGGGCATCGCAGGGTGCTACCTGAGTTCGACCATTTTCTTGTATTTTATACCATCTCTTCTTCTTTCCATTTTCCAACTGGGTGGGTAACCAGGAGCATATACAAACACGCGCTGACACCGTTCTTCCCAGGATTCTTGATACTCACGCTCATACGCGCCATACAGGACTGGCCGACAAACACGAGCCGTCTGTACGTTGTCCTGGTAAACCACAACATAGCCTATTATGCATGTGGTTTTCGTGAGTTAACACTCGTACACACCGTTTTTCCGTACTCATCCATGATCATCGTCTTTCGTGAAGCGATCTCCGTAGCAAACATCGATCTTCCAGGTGCGTGAATATATCAAATACCCTTTTTGACCGAGCATTGATGCTCTGCGCCCCAGTATTCTTACCACAACGTGTCGTATGAGTATGTGCATCCACATCCTGCCACGCGTTCCTACTAACAATACTCGACATGTACACCCACTAGTTTTCAGGTCTTGATTCTTGCAAGCCTCGCCACGCGCATGCATCTCCATCTCTGGCAGGTGAATCAACATCCACGCGATGGCGCCCTAGTTTCAATGTCCGATATCTCATTTGATCCCATGGCATGATGTCGTATCCTGTGTCTTATTCGGTGCCGTTCATGGAGCGGATATGGTGGTGGAGGGACTCGCAGATGGGATATCCACGGGAATAGTGGACTAGCACTAGTTGGAGATGGCCACTTCTGTGGATGCGTTAGCGTCGGCGCATACGCCATGCTGCTGTCTCCTGGGAGTTAGGTATGAAGCCGAGTTTGACTTCTGCTACTTCGAGTTCTCGACTTTCTTGGTCTTGCCATCGATATCAGAGGTTGAGTGGGGTTTGGCGTTAACAAGGCTAAGAACTATACCCGTCCAACGCTGCGCACGAGTGTCTTTGTTATGATAGGACGACATCTAGAACCACCTACACTACCAACAAATTTATCTCACTTGACTAGATAAATTATTCACACCTTGTGGCCTGTCTGGTTGTAGGATAGGGAGTCAGGGCATCCTGCCTTGATGTGATACTTTTTGACCCGCTCTATCGCTCATGCCACTCTACAACTGCAAGCACCCCTAAGTTTCACGTGCTTTTAGACATACAACCTAATGCACATCAGTGAACCGGTGAACAAATGAGAATGGTGGAAAACGCACGATGGGCTAAAATAGACGGTGGTGTGTGAATTCACAGATTTGAGGTATGCGAGAGGAGTCACAGCCTTTGTGGCGCTGGCGTATGCCATGTGGCTGTGTCTTGCGAGTTAGATGCCAATCCAATTTTGACCTCTACTAGGGTAAGCCTGTACAATGATGTTTGTTGCCGTCAGGCTGTGCGTTTGGCTCTAACATACTCAAATCGTGGATCCTGAACCCGCTGCCTCTCACAGTGGAAACTACGGGTGTTAAATAGGCCAAGGCCATCCAAATACTCCTCCCACGCCAAGGCAGACATCCTATAAAGTAAACACGTAACGAACTAGATCAAGCCTCGCTCCACGAACAACACGGAATAAGGGATAGGATAAGATATTACGCCGTGGAAGTTGCAAACGACAGATCGGACATTGGAACATGCGTAAAGTCTCCAGAGCCGTGTGTTTGTCGGTTCACCTGCCAGAGATAGAGGTACATGCGCGTGGCGAGGATTGCAAGGATCATGAACTGGAAACCGTATGTGGTGGACATTTCAGGTATCATTAGTTGGAACACATAGCGTTTGTAGAGGTACATACCCATCCAAAATGGTCTGGTAGGCATCCTGAGGAGTGGAACATCAACGGCTCAATCATAAAAGGCATTTAGGAAATAGGCACACATGAAAGAGCAGCGACGTGAATATGTTCGCTGCCGAAAACACTCTAGACAAGAGAATGATCATAGATGAGTACGTGAAAACGGCGGATATAAGTGTTGACTCACAAAGACCGCATGCATAGTAGGATAGATTATGGTTCACCAGGATAGTGTAGAGATGGTTTAGGTTTGTCCGCCAGTTCTGTATGGCACGTATGAACGTGAGGATCATGAGTCCCGGGGAGAACACTATCAACGTGTGTCTGTAGATATATATGCCGGTGACCCACCCAGTTCGAATACAAAAAGGAAAAGAAATGCTGGTAATTGGTCGAACTTCAGCAGTACCCTGTAATTCCTGGGATCCTGCTAGTCGCATCTGTAAAGGTGAACAGAATGTTTCAGTGGTGGTGGAACGTTAGAGGGAAGGCGAGAGCGCGCGCGTGCTGCAAGGACGGTAGTAACGAAGGCAATGCTGAAGGCTGCTACGAGAAAACACTGACTGATTCATCTACCAATAACTTGGGTATAATGTTGGGAACTCACAAAAAAGGTGGACAGCATGGCTGCGAGCAAGAATCCATTGTTGTCCCAGTGCACATATGTTCTAAGGATGAAAAACCCTGGATGGATCGGATCAGGAATATACACATCTCAGGGAGGGATGAAAATACACTCGGAGCAAATGACTAGCTAATAGCATGGCTAACCCTGTAAAATAAAGTAGGTTGCCCTCAATAAGACTGCATAGATGGATGTACCATGCACGTACCTGAGCTAATACTGTCCAACGTCCGACATTTCGGGCGAAGTCATGCAGTAAGTCGTTCGTTCTTATTGACTTTCCACCCCATCACATACACCTGGGTTTTCATCCGGGGTAAAGCTCACTGAAAAACGAGTGTTAATTGATAATCAGCGCGATGTGTGCTGGAGCGGAACGCACGATACAGATCCGTGGCGAGAAGGATAAAGGGGAGGTATCGTGTAACGATATACATGCCTTTCATCCTGCCCCAGTGCGATTGAAGTAAATATGTCCACTTTGTACAGCATGTCAAAATGGAGGTGCATCATGAAACGAGCGTATTACCTCTTCATGAATTGAACACACATAATCATAGGTCTGGATAACCGAGCTTGACAGCAGACGTGAATAGATCAGACTAGCAAGCTTAGTACCCATAATGTAGTATATACTAATGATGGTGCACGACTTGCAATGTCAATTATGATTCGTCCTCGATATCGACAAAGGAGACAAACTGCAAGCTCCTTGCTGCTGCAGCCTGCAATATCATCAGCCGAATACTCCATGTACTAGTAGAATTCAAAAAATGTTTTTCACGCATAGCATCACGCGCCTTCTTGGCTTTTATGATTTTGAATGAGCCTTGTTGTATTTGCATTCGGCGACCTTAGTCATTACCTAATAACGCGAAAAGGCCGCTCGCGGCAGAGCCCGCTACGGTTACATTATTTTCAGTGCAATGCTCATTTGTTCCTAGGATGACCTTATCTTGGCATGCATGCTCTACAAGCTTTTCCACAGTGAAGAGGCACTTGAAGTGAAGTCGAAGGTCCTCGTTGGTTTACATGCAGAGCATCAAGAGGGATCGATAATGGCTTTACAGATGCTCAAAGTAGAGAAAAAAATGTATCAGTTCACGCACTCTTGCTTTGGGCCAGCCAAGATATTCTCGAGATAATCGTCTAAAAAGATAAAGCCGTGCGTTTGGACCTGGTCCTCGAATAATTGCCGACAAGGTGATTCGAGGTGATTCTGGGAGGATGAGGCTGGCTTACATTTGCAAGAATGAGAAGGGGTGCATTAACACGCGGAGTCCAGGAGGCAGCGGGCGATTAGAGTTTGAAGGCGTAGTCGGCCGGGTGGATGTACCGACAGGGCTTTGGAGCACTGATTTCACATGGGAGGACGATTCGAGTGGATTTCGGTTTGTATATGCGCCTGAAGTCGCGGGTCCGCGGTTGACTGACCCTAGCTATTGGATTGCAAACTCATGAGGCAAAACATGGATGAGAAAATGAGAGATAGATGATTCCGGGGTTGGATGAGGCTGTTGCAGCTCTCAAAGGACACGCATGGGCAGTGATTTCTCTTTAAATCCAGGTTATAAAAGGCAGTAGTAGGGTCAATGATAGCGCTTACTTTATTGTGTCTGAATTATGTTTCTGAGATCTTCGAGGATCTTGATGAGTTGAGCAACACCTCTTGCTGAGGAAAGTAGAGCTGACCGAACGTCGCTTTTATCAATCCCCATTCCAAAAGCGATGGTTGCACAAACCTAAGCGATATCTTAGAAGAGACGATTGATGAACGCGGAGAAAATACACCACATCAACACCGCCATCACCATTTCCACCTGCTTCCCATTCGCTCAACTTCCTATCCAACATATGAGAGCTTTACAGTCATAATCACATCAGGGACCTCGCCTTAGAACTCGCTTCAGACGCACCTAATCCCGCGATGATATGGCCTGGCACTGATGCCCTTTGCCCTTAGAAAGGCCGATAGTTCGTCACATGCCAGGCGGGCACGACAGTAGATGATCCCGGAGCTTGGTCGGGCCCGACGACGGTGTAGGATCATTACAAAATCGTATACGGCTGGTATACGAGACAGGGAGTCGAGCGCCGCAGTGTATTTGATGTCATAGAATAAGTTAGCGCGATTAAAGGGGTGCGAAGCGGTAAACAATCTTCATTCAGACATCTTGGGGCTGCGTATAATGTCTGTTTGAACACTGGAGCCATAGCAATATAAGTATGGAATAAATAAAATCCTGATCAAGCAGAGAATAATGCCTGCAGTCTGACAGGCATACCTCGGGGTTGCTGTTGCTGTGAGGGCCATAATGGGCACTCCATGAAATCGTTCCCGAAAAGAGCCCAACTTGCGATATTCCTCACGGAAGTCGTGGCCCCACTCCTGTGGAGACCATTGTTGTTAGTAAGTTCTGAAAGCAAGAAGGGTTATGATACCTACAGAGATGCAGTGGGCCTGCGAAAGAAACAAAGAATGAGCGAGCAGTTTTCACGTTATCCATAGATAGCGCTTACCTCGTCCACAGCCAGTCTGTTGAGTTCGCCCTTCGCATAAACAATTTCAAGAAGGCGCATCATTTCACGCGTGCACAGCTTTTCAGGTGTGGCCGATCGAAAGTGTGATCAGCTCGCTGCATATGCATTCTCGTGCTGAGCAAGCTCACTATATAGAAGACGAGTTTGTGGGCTCCCTGATTCGAGGTCTTCAATAATCTACAGGACATAACTCAGCAAACTCAAATTATACAAAAGCAACTGCAATACCTGGTCTTGTTCACCCTTCGGTGTGTGCGACGTCCAAGAGACGGCAGGGAGTCCTTTGCGACGCAAACTTGATACTTCTGCACAATCCAGTCCAGCCTCGAATGAAAAAAACGAACAGGCATGCAATGTACGGTTTTTCATCAGGGCTGAGGTAATAGGTCAGCTTATTAAACCAACCTTAATTGGTAGGTTTGACAGACCCAGTGGTGGTGAAACTATGATGGAGATGCCGAACTATGATGAAGTCAGCTCCTGTCAAATAATGGTTTCGAAAGCATGATATATCTGCGACTGCTGGAATCTGAAAGCACAGGCTCTGTAGACCGAAAGATGTAATGGACAATATGTTGTTATTCGAGTTCATTTGCAAATACCTTGCCCATCCCCGTCGGCGCTAATACAAAGACATCCAATCCTGTATAACAAATAATTGATTTGTTTGACACAATTATGCCATGATGACTCACCAGAAGTAGCAGCCTCGACAACTTCTTTGTGCTTCCCCTTGTACTCCGTGTGACCGAAAGCTGATCAATAGTCGTTTCAGTGGCACCGGACAATGAGATTGACTGGAAACCTACTTTCCGTCAGGATTCAAACATATGCCTAACGAACCTAGCACAGTTTGCCGCCCTCTCATCTTCATTTTCTGCCGCGAGATTTTGAAGGGTGCCTGGGGCCTGGGATACAAGAGAATCTTCCTCGGTGCCTAGATTGAAATAAGTAGACTCCATTAATTCCTGCCTCAGTTCATACCGAAGATATAATTACAACTCATCGTTGGGATATGTTCATGGCAAGCACGGACACGTTCAAGTTGGAGTCACGGTGCGGGGCAACGCGGTCACGTGCGCGACAATCAGCTTGTCCTTATTTGTGCGAGGCCAATCAATCAATTGTCAACCGTTTCTTTACTAGCCTCAGGTCAACTACTAGCGAAACTCATAAGAGGGAACGATTCAAAGGAGCCTAACTCTGCGTTGCACTCGGCATTCACATCTGCCAAGAGACGTGCCCATCTTCCCCCGTGCAATGTGTGGACCTCTTGGCGTTCTTGTTTGTTCAAGATAGTGTTCGACCAAATCATCCAAGACACCACGACGATATCCACGATCACCGGTTAGTGAGCTCTCACGGTTTAAAGGGTGCACAGTTACGACTTAACCACGCGCCTTCGGTACATTTTTCATAATAGTTTTACATCACCTTTTTGTCTCAAATTTAAACGCTCACAGGGGAGACACCCGGCTTCTGTTAGCCAGCTTCCTTGATCGATCCTTCGGCGACACTCGATATTTGCAATAACACTACAGTGAATGTCAGGGTCTAGACAGGCATGCATAATGCATGCTTACAATACGATTCCGAAGGGGAATCTAGCTATTTCGATGCTCGCCACGTTTTGATGTCGAAGTCCTCATGCGTTCTTTCATCGGACACTCCCGCAGTGCAGCCCTTATAGCGGTACGCGGTGCAACACGTTGGTTCTGGCCAAAAGCGCTCGCCACGGAGCCAATTACTTGAACACCCAGTAGCCGTTATCCATCTTCAATAGATTTACGATCGCACGCGAGGTAAGCTTGTGCCAATCTTTTTTTGCAAAACTAATTGGGTCACTCAGAGAAGATGTCTGATAGACACGACTCCACAGACGCGACAGAGGATAAATATTCACAGCAGGTTCGTAATCTGTTCCATCGGTCAATCCGGTATGCGACTGATGATGGTGCTAGGTTCTTGCAACATCCACAGATCCAGACGACATTACAAGCGCAGCCTCGCTCATTCCCACCATTACATAGCCACCGAACTCAGACATCGCGTCTTACTGTCAGTGACTTCGAGACGCATTTTTAGCCTGTTTCGACACCGAGGGGCGACCCCGGCCCTGAACAGAAGATGGAGCGGTCGCCTGTGGGCGAGCTTTGAACCATTTGTGTCTGAGCGTTCTGCCAATTGGAGATGATTCCAATATCCGAACTGCTTTCCAGCAGTTGAGGATTTGGCATCAGTGGTGCAGCGTCATTCTTCCACGAAGCTTTGACCAGTGCAAGGCTTTTGCTTGCCAGCTGTCGACGTTGTCCGGCCGGGAGAGAGAAAAATGTTGGGCAGATGCACGCACTGCATTGTGCATGATGATTGCTGCTGCTGGGGACGGATTCGTCCGTCCAGATCACGACTCCATTTGGCGTGGCCAATTCACGTGGACCGGCGATCGTCGTACGACAGCTGATTTCGATTGGCTGGTCGACTACCTCGTGTCCTGCTCTTAGGATCACACGGCAATGGGAGATGCCGCTTCTAGAGGCTCTTCTGAGCTTGTCGACAGTCGCGTTTTCGACATGGACATCATGCAGTATGGCATCATGCCTGAACAACTTGCCAGAGTCCGCTGCTTCTATCCTGAACATCATCCTCGCCTGATGAAGACACCCGCGTCTACTGCTGAGAAGCACATCATCGTTCAAGGCTCTATCTCCGAAATCAGTCACCATCGATGTGTCGTCCGTGTCCATGACATCACTCTGGGACCTTCTGCAGGTGTGGTTGAGAAGCGTCGTCATGCTGAAGCTGTTCCTGATGCTCTTGATCCTGAAAGTTTTCCTGGTCAATTCGCTAGTCCCGCAGAGGACGTTTTAACGTTTCTGGACTGCCTGAAGAGCTTTCCGGAGTTCACAGAGGAGGCAGTCGGTAGGTCATTGCGTGCTTTCGAAGTCGATCTCAAGGTGAACTCTTCGGTTGGCTATACCGTGCTTCGTTAACCTGTATTCTTCTGGTATCGGGCTTCATGCCATCAGGAGCACAGAGGTAGCACGTCTGCAAGGGCCTGCATTGAATGATCTTCTCAACCGGTTTAAGGTCAATTTCGGTATCCATCAGTGTGGTGCTGTATCCACAGCTTGATGTCCGAAATTGGGAAGCATGCGGAGGGGGTGGTCCTTGGTCAGGTACGTTCCTTTATCTAAGTCAATCAGAAGTGGTCACAAATATGTTACTCCTAGGCGAAGCTTCCTGCAGCCTGCAGGCGTTCCATCAGGCCCGAATTAGCCAATCTGCGAAACTCGTCGAAGGAATCCGATGTCGGAAGTGCCTGCAGCACTGCAGCACGTGGCTGATGTCTTGATTCCGCAGTCCGGGACTCAACTCATCTTAGGAGAGACGGATGCGGCTCGACTTCGGCCCCAAATCCGTTACCATCCCAACCTGCTTCAAGCAATCCGAATGGATCCGTGCCGTCATCCAAGTACCTTCGGATCGAAGAATGACCATACCTTTGTGTTTCACCCACAAGCGCCATCCTCGGCCTGCTATTCGATTACCTTAAGCCTGCTGTCGATCTACCTGTGCTTGACATTGATGCGATGGGGCGAGTGATAGAGTTTATGAAGGCGTTTAACCTGTCAAGTTGTTCTTGACCCTGGAGCCATGCGGTCGGCTGATCTGAAAACATCACAGCAAAATATTTTGGTAGGTACCGTTCGCTCCCCTTGACACTTAGGAACCGCTGACGTCACCCTTTCAGCGCTGGCGTCGCAGTCCTTGTCCATAATGGTCGCATTCATTACGTACGTAGGAGAAATCTTCCATCGCCACCTGAGTCCAACCCAGGTACTTAATACTAATCGAATTTGATAAACTCAAGAGGGTGTGTCCGGTACCACTCCATCACCGAATCTCACTCGTGTCCTAAATGTAGGACCTCCAATGGCAAGGGCATCGGAGTGAAATTCATTCCAAACTGATTTCTATTACGGACGATCGCACAAGTGCATGTGTCAAATCTTTGCAGGTTTTACGCCTTCTGCCGCTGCGATCTCTCTCAAGCCTAGGGGCTTTGCAAGCTAAACCGAGCGCAAATAGATCGGGTCGGCCCAAGCAGGGAGAAAGTGTCAATGATTACGTGGAATTTGTCATCGAGGAGGCTGTCACGCTTCACAAAGTGCTCTCGAGGTATTTGGCTGCACCAGTAGTGGAGGTTTGTGACACCTATGCTATACGTACCAACCCAAATCACTTACATCTGTGACTTGCTGCACCTCAAAGGCCGTGGCCATGCAACCAACCGCTAGTGCGCCTCTCCATGCGCGGCGTTACTCAGGCTGCAAGAGCCGTGCGATCCTTTTGTCATCACCCTCGGGTGACGAGTGCCATCCACAACTTTATTACATGCGAACGAGGGGTCACCCGTGGTGCCGTCACTCACAGTTTCTAACGGTTAGATAATCAATGGTACCGAGACACGATGGCGAAGGTTTAATATTCAACAGTCACGGTCACGGTCAAGTCTGCCCTGCTCATACCAGGCATTTGCTTCTCGACCGTCATTACCCTTTGAACACACTAGGACACTGAGTGGCTGACTAAGCTACGGTGCTGCCCAGCTGCTCCGCTCCTAGCCCAGGGGTCCCCCACTCCACTGCATCTTCCAATGCCCTGCATGTAGATAATTAACGATGGGTTCAAAGATACTACTACTAGGAATATGTACCTCAAGCTGTCACAATAGCTTTTGTAGCCACCTGAACCTGCGTGATGAGGCTGAGTTGCTCGAAGTAGAAGCGCATTCTAGGGCGCACAAAGCGCCTGGGGTTGAGGCTAAGCCGCCTGTACATGAACTTGAGATTAGGATCTTGTAGCTCCAGGTAGTAGTCCCGGTGCCAATCAAGGACCACAGTGTAGAATGGGGGGATGTCATGATGAAAAATCCAGTCTTGTAAGGCAGGGACTGCAAGATGCTGGTAGGTATCCCCTCTGTCAGAAACCTCAATTGGAGGTTCAGCCAGGTGGTTGTAATTTCCCTCAGCATCCTCACAGAAGGCAGAGCCGGTATGATGTCCTGTGCACATAATCACAAGCCTAGCAACAATGATATGACCGGGGTGAGTCACAATTTCTATCACTCTGGCACGCCCCTCGGTCTTAGTGGAAAATGATCCAATAAACATGGATGATGTAGGAGTTTAATTACACTGCCAGACTTGCTCTGGTATATAAGTTGTTATGCTCACTACATGCGAACCTCATGACTCCCACTCCATCAACCAGAAACAGCCTGCTGCACCTATCTGCTCCATCTGCCCTTCTGACTCTCATATCCACCGTTCGCCCCTCTAGGTGATGAAGGGACCGCATGGATCCCAATTGTCAATCTTCTGGATGTTTGTCCGCAGTATAAGCCGGAGCGCGTTGGAGGAACCCATTTCGTCCATGGCTTGCGGACCGTGAATCCGTGGACCGGAACCAAAGATGCGCCCTTGTGGGTGGTGGTGCAGAAGCAACACTACTATAAGAAGGCGGCGCAGTCGGCGGACATGCTTTGGGCGAGCGGTGCATCGCCACCAGAGCGTGAGACCATCCTTGACGTTCTGGAGGAGGGGAGGCGCCCCTCACCGACTTTTGTATGGCACCTATGAGGGTGAGTATCATGAATCCCAGGAGAACACCTGTCAGCGCGTGCTTGTACATATATATGCTCGTGGTGACCTACCCAGTTCGAACACAGAAAAGAGAATAAATGGTATGAAGAGCTGGTAACTGCTCGAACTCCGGTAGCACCCTGAAACACCTGGGATCGTGCTAGTCGCATCTGTGAAAGTGGACAAAATATTTCAGTAGTCGTGGAACACCGGAGGGAATGTGAGAGTACGTACATACTCCGGGGACGGTGGTGTTGATAGTGATGCTGAAGGATGCTACGAGAAAAGATTGGCTGAGCACCCACCACTAGCTTGGGTATGGTGAGTGGATTGGAAACTCACAAAAAAGGTGGACAGCACAGCCGCGAGCACTGGCATGATTCTATTTTTGTTCCAGAGCATATATGTTCTGAGGATGAAAAAACCTAGATGAATCGGATCAGGAACATAAGTATATCTTAGGGAGGAGGGGGAGATACACTCGGAGCAAACAGCTAATAGCATGCCGAATCCTGAGAGAGAAGGTGTGCTGCCCTCAGCAAGACTGTGATAGATGGACATACCATGCACGTACCTGAGCTAATGTTGTCAAACACCCAGCGTTTCTTGCGTAGTCATATAGTAAGTCGTTAGGTCATTAACTTCACTGGATCATATACATCCGAGTTTTCATCCGGGGTAAAGCTCACTACAAAAACAAGTGTTAATTCATTATCGGGGCGATGTGTATTGTAACGAAACACTATCAAATAGACATTTCACACGGAAGTAACATCCGTGTATCTAGCCTGATTATAGGGTGACCGTGAGGCGACGCTTGCAGGGGCGCGCCCGACGCACCAAAGATGACAAGCTCGGGCTTGAGATCATACAGCTTTGCAACCAGAGTGCAATAGCCTTTCGAACATATGGGTTGTCATCTTGCAAGGCGCGTTGAAGAGGGTCGCAGAGGTAGTCTATAATCTTCTCTGCACGCAGACACCCCATAGTTCTAATTGCCAGTGCGTGTACGAGTGCACGAGCTTCTTCTGTTCGAGGTCATCTGTCAGCATATTCTTGAGAGCATCGGGGAACAAGCCGCTGACGTCTATAAGGATGCGTTAAGCATGTTGAGCAGATCAAGCGAGAAAGTGTAGCACCTTTGCCAACGGTCATAGATACTATGACATGCTTGATCGCATCTTGTCGTTTATTGTGGTACTCGCTATTGAGATCCACGCTGAGCTCATAGTTTTCGCCTTTCCGTGGTGGTCGGCCCATGCTCATTGACAAAGGATACTAGTGTTCACACCGTGGGAATATGAACTTGTGAGACTGACGAAGGTAAGCCAAGGAAAGCTCCCTAACACTGACATCCAGCTTCGTCTATCGCAGGTACATATAGGTCAAGCAAACACTCGACAAGCGGTCTGATTGAATGACCATTATGTGCGTTGAGATACTAAGAGGCTGGTAGAACGGGTATTATGAATGTATTACATAACAGATGAAACAAATATTATGATATGATCTGTGATTAAATCCTGGGAGTGGAGGGTGGGCAAAAATAAGCGAGCGAGCGAGAGTACTGATTAGAAACGAGCGAGCGGATTGTATTATGCGGTGATGGGGATGAAAAACGGGACGGAAGGCTACAAAGCTTGTCGCTCAGCTGGACGTGTGGTGCCGGTTCCTTCCGAGCACTCAGGAACCGGCACCTTTCACATGTCATGGCAGAAGAAATCAAATCTCAGCCTCCCGCAGCACCTATTTACTCTTATCTCACCAACGCTCGGGCAAACTATTCACTTGTATTTGTAGCACTCCCCTCCATCTAGCGATTTGTCTAAATTGATCTGTGCGGTAAGTAATCTTGCTCTCACATATATCGTTTCTGACATGAGAATACACTCAAGTCTCGCAATGGCTGAGTCTGAGCGTGTGAGTACTAGCGACTTTGCAGAACTCCTCAAAAATTTTGATCTCATCGTGACGTCTTCTAGTATCTACCAGTACTCATTGACAAGGTCGAGAAAATCTGTGAGGAGAATGGGCTTCGCAACGATTCCATTGTCATGCGGACGACCGGTTGCCCCAACGGCTGCGCAAGACCATATATCGCTGGTAAGACACCCTCGCTGCGATAAAATCCCCGCTCAATATCTCTACAGAGGCCGCCTTCGTAGGCAAAGCGCCTGGATCTTATTCCATGCTTAGCGGGCTCTGCATCGAGTGGCCTTGCGCATTATTGTGGAACACAATATTATCACTTTTCCAAGGTCGATTTTCCCAAATTTCGCGTTATTGTTTGGTCGTCCCCAACCGCCAAAGGAGGTTAGAAACATACCCGTCTCCATCAAAAAGTTTGTGTGTTTTTATTGCCTTGTTTAGTGGTTCGTGGTTGCCACGCTGCATCGTTGTGTGTTTTTCACTTCTTTGTCTTGTCTCACTTGTTTTTCAGCATTACTGATACGGCTGGGCGGAGTCGTGAACTGGCGGTTAACCGCCGTTACGATATGATATTCCTATGCCTTCCTCAACGTTGATCTACTCATAGAACTAGTTGCAACTGCAGGTCCTAACGCTTCTGTGAGACCTCAACTGCATCTGCGGTCATCAAAAGCTGCGTCTGCATATACCGAAAGCTGCACTTCTGTGAGACTTTAACTGCATCTGCAGATATCTTCAAAAGCTGCGTCTGCAGATATCTTCTAAAGCTGCATCTGCAGATACCGAAAGCTGCGTCTGTAGATATCTTCTAAAGCTGCATCTGCACATATCTTCAAAAGCTGCGTCTGCACATATCTTCTAAAGCTGCGTCTGCAGATACCGAAAGCTGCATCTGCATATATCTTCAAAAGCTGCGTCTGCAGATACTGAAAGCTGCATCTGCAGATATCAAAACCTCCGTCTGCAGATACCGAAAGCTGCGTCTGCAGATATCTTCCAAAACCACCACGGAGTGCACGTATGGACCCCCATATTTGGCAGGTGTTGATCGCTGCCATTATGATCCGCTGTGATGCAGGGATGGTGGAGCAGGCATTTCACAACGCTGAACGTGAAGCGGAGAATTCACTTGCACAACGGTAGTCCCAAACAGTACTAAGTTACCAGTAGGTTGCGGTGTGATGTCTGATGCCCATCATTGCTTGGCTCTACTGTAAAACCTGGTCCTACGCATCAGCCCGCCGCTCACCCAGCACCACAGCTACGTTTTTGCCATTAAATCTGGGGTTGAGCGCTAGGCGGGGGCAATGCCTGGGTTCTCCAGGTGGCAAGAAGGTCCATTCCCTGCCGCCTCTTTTGGTGAACCACATACGGTCGCTGGAGGGGTGGGGTACCCAGTAGAATCCATCGAACCATGTCTGGTGAAGGTTTCGAATATTATCAGCTTCTTGTTCATCTAGCCTCTTCATGAGGGACAGCCATCTTCGATAGTAGGATGCAGATGGAAATTGCTGAAGGTCCTTAACCCTCAAGGCTCCTTTGGCTGGAAAGTAGCGACCGAATACCAAGCTATTCCAATCGCCGTCGCTACTGATTCGATACTGAATTTGACGAAAAGCTCCACCAAGGTCCAGTGAATCAAATACATCCACCCTAGTCCCCTGCCTCTCCACTGCATTGAGCAGTATCCAAGGAGGCTCGGAGGCTGACTTAGGAGATGGTGCCAGCTGGAAGACATCAGATGCAAACTGACGCTGAATGATATCCAGTTCTGCCACATCTTTTTCGACCTGAGAATCTTCCTCATGGTGGACATCTCCTTCAACCTGAGAATCTTCTTCACTGCTGCTTGAGTCATGGAGTGCGTAGGTTGTCTTGCGCCTCCTTGGATGGTGGCTGAGGTGTGTATTTTTGGACCGGCTCGATGAGTGGGAGTCTGAGAATTCCACCTCGATGTCCTCCACAAAATCCCTTTGATATAGGGTCAGCAAGGTTTGAGTGTTAATCGGTCTGACGTTGGGCAGTCGATAAGCTCCAGCGTCCTTCACTAGGTCTGACAGAAAGTATGTTCCTCTATTGTACATGATAGGACGTGTGCCTGGCCCCTTCGTATCGGCTAGCACGTGTTGGCAAGAAGCTTCCAGCAACATGCTCTCTGCTTGACCCTCGGCTGGGCGGTATGTGAGGGCATTGATTTGGTATGAAACTAAAGCGCCCAATGCCAAGGACTCAGGCTGGAGACGGGCAGCTCTGCAGGCGCTTCGTAGGTTCTGAACCACGTGATAGATCGCAGCCATTCTGTAGTACTTGAAATACCTTCAAGTTGGATTTGAGGTTAGGATGCTGTACCATTGACTGTATTGAACGGAAGATTCACCAAAATAATGGGTTTTTGAAGGAGACTATGGTGTCTTGTATTAAACTGTATGGCATTTGGGAGAGCACCCCCTCTGCCTGACTGAGTGGCACTCTAATCTCCAGTCGTGCGTTGCCTTCCAGTCCACCTGCAGTAGGAGAATCACCACAAATGAGAAATTGCTCTGCAATGCGCTCAAGATCCTTGGAGAGCTTTCCTATGCTTGCTGGGAATAGGTGCCATGGCTTACGACGTCTAAATACTCCCTTATGCAGCTGGTAAGTAGCAGATTTGTCGGTGGTATAGGCATTTATATAGTAAATGTGATCTGGCTTTCCGCGAGAGCCTGGAAGGGCTCGAAATCCTCCAAGATCTTCCAGTTGTGCAGAGAGATCTCGATAGTATTGAGATCGAGAGTGCAGGATGGCATCAATTTCTTTGATTGGGACAGAGGGTAAAAGGAAGGCCAATAAACGATGGTGGCCTTTGGTAAGCCACTGGAGTACATGACCTTCATGCCGAATTTCCAATGCGATATCTACAAACCAATCTTGGGGCTGTACCAGTTGCATGTCAAAAAGATGCAGGACATCAGCCAATGCAGTGCCTCTTTTCTCTGCGTCGTGGGGGTCATGGTGAGATATACCTTTGGTCCCTCTTAGCTCATGAACGAAAAATGCATCCTGTAACCCGTCTTGGGTCTGAAACAACTCCAGAAGTTTAAATCCCAGCTGTTGGAGGAGATGCGTCGGAAAATCCAATGTACCAAAGTGGAACTGTCCTTTCTGATCCCGATATAAAGTCATGGCGGCAGAATGGGTAATCGGCCATCGACTCTGATCAACAGGGTTGATACTAACGACCGCAGGCCGAAGGCATTTATCATAGATGAGAGCCATGGTCTCTGGGGGAATGGCAGAACTTTTACTCCGGTCATACAGCCTGGGGAAGAAGATGCGGGTGATGTCACGTCGGCCAACTTTTCCCAGAGGCATGTTGGGAATTTTGTAAAGTGGAACCCCTGCAACATTCTGATGAAGGTGGGTGAGTCTGTCAGAATACCAGATGTTGATAGAAGTCTTCCCACCTGGGGGTAAGATAGGGTGCATTTTAAATGGTTATCTTTTGTGAGGCTATCGCGAAATGATGCCAAGGGGAAAATGGACATGGGCAATCTGAATGGTAGATTGCGTGTGACGCCTATAAGAGAGTCGATGTCTCTGTGCAGTTGATATTGAGATATAGGAGGGGCAAGCACTCCTTGTCTAGCATTTATGAATATACGAGCCGTCATATCATCACGTTTGAGGCGTCCAGCAAGTACAAAACGAAGAAAATCCTCCGTGTCTTCTAGTGTGTACAAATGTTGAGCAACAGAGACAAATTCACTCAGGGAGACCTGAATGCCACATAAATCCTCATCAGGAGGCTGCATGTGGGAGTAGTAACGTATGCTACCCTAAGCTGGTATTGGAGTCAGATGGATGTGGCAATGGTACAAGTAGAAGCTGACTAAGATAACAAAGGATGACGCAAGTAGGGAAACACCGAGCAGACAATATTTGTCAGCATAGCACGGAAGGGGATCAAGACCTTTTCAGATCAGACACATAGATAAGCTATAGGGCCAGCTTAATTGTGGCTGAAGTGTACCAAACATTGACCCCGTGGCAAGCGACCAACCAAATCACAGCCACATTATTGTATTACTACTACTACACCGCATGAAGAGAAACTTTGTTTCATTTTGCAAAACATCATATTGTCCGTGTTTGAGCGCTAGTTTATAGATATAGTACCCACATATGTAGCGGCGGCTCCCAAACTCCGCCTTACCAATCATGTCACGTGCCAACCAATGTTGAGTTTCAGTGGGCTTGCAGTGGGCCATTCATCACCCCTGCACAACAGGTGTCACCTATTCAGATTCGAGTAGAACGGGCCGACCCTGGCCTGATGAAAGCATCTGTCTGGGCAATAGCCTTCTGAACACTCGTTTCGCCTGCACCCATTGATTTGACCTCTTAGCCTTCGACTGCCTATGTCTGCTTATGAAGTCAGATTTTTTGCCGACATCCCAGCTGCCATTCATGTTGATGATGCGAAATCTGAATCGACCATGTCGCTGTCTTTCTGCATACCTGCAATGCGCCGCAAACCGTCGCCAATTGTCGGGGTGTGGCTGCAGAGCCCACCCTTGGGCTGCCTCGCGTTCCCACCGTCGATGGATGGTACAATTCCCGGCAGACCTTTCGACGACTAAGAGGCGCTTCAAGCACCCGTTCAACTTGGCTGATCGTTGCTTTCAGGAATGCTACGTGTTTCTGTTCATAGCATTCAACGCCCTACAGCGACGGAAAATATTAATACGTACCCCTTTGAAGGTGAAGCGAGATACCTTCCCCACTGCAGCTGCCAACCTTGCTGCTGTATCACCATAGGCTGTGCATTGTGCCACAGAATGTGTGGCTCAAGGGGGCATTTTTTCTGCCAGCAACGATGATGAGGGAGGTGCTTTGCGCCTAATGAAGGAGGTGCAAGTGATAACCTCAAATGTGCCAGGTCCTGCCCATGCGAGAGCGAATGTGCCAAATAAAAACCGCGGTTTCATGTGCGACCGAGGCCTACCGAGTTTCCATATCATGATCAATTCAGTAGATGTGTACCTTCTTGTTAAATTCCTCATTGGTGCCGAAATAGATATTGGCCACCTTCTACCAGATCAAGTACCGAATTTCCATGATCAATCCATACATATTGCGCGAAATCCTGCTGTCACAGCGAGGCTTTTCAATACCTATATGAAAGCTTTCATTAAATGTCCTCTATGATTCGAAGGAAAAGGTCTGGACGTACATGAGGGAGTATTGGGAGTCGTCAGTGCATATTACGGATGTGTCGAAGCTCAAGGCTGCATTGCCACATGATGGTATGGTTAGAAGGAGGTCTGAATCCTAATGAAATCAAGGACCGTATATTGCAAAACGACGAGCATAAACATAAACTTGTATTTGTAGCACTCGCTTTCATCTCGCGGCTCGATTTCACCCTATCGATATTTGTAGCACTCACCTCCATCTCACAGCTCGTTCTAGGTTGATCTGTATGATACTTGTACCTTTTTACTATTCTCGCTACTCGTCTGGGTTGACCTGTTTGATATTTGTATCTGTACTAGTAGCAGTTGCGATTGATTCCACTTTACAGCTTGAAAAGCGACTGTAGCGGGCTCTGCCGCGTGCGGCCTTGTGCATTATTGTCCAAGCCGAACATCAATGGATCTCAGATCTGAGTGGCTTCGCAATGACTCAATGCTTTCTTCAAAGCGTCTGCATACCGGTGTTCCTCACATACTACTGGAGGTCGACTGCCCGTTGGCGCTGCTATACCGCCACTTTTGGAGGTTTGGAAACACATGTTTTTACTTGCAGGCAAATATTTCAAAGTAAATCTGGAAGACGTTCTGATATGGCCCACCACTAGTCAGTCTACAACCGAGCTCACAATACAAATTTACAAATATGGGTCGGCAAGTGCGTGATCTTCAGGTGAGTGCTGCCATGACCTGCAGTGGTAAAAAGGCCTGGCAAGCAGCTGTTGTACCCGCTAGCATCACCACTCAGAATAAACGAACTTTGATTGTATAAAACTACTAGCTGTGCATTCACTAGCTTACCCCAAACAGGCTCCCATCTAACTTTGCTTAGAGTTCAAGGGAGCAGGGGCCGCCAGTGCAGCCCCGCTCCACCCTGGAACAAAAGAAGACAGGGTTGGGGCTGGACCCTGGGAGGGTGGATCTGTCGTAGGGTCAGCAAAGGTAGGTGTAAAGTAAAGGAGAGGCGCTTGCCAGATTGAGCTGCCAGGAGGCTGATAATGTCGCCAAAGCCCACTCCCTGGTCCCTCATCCTGGCCAGAAATGCAGCAACGTCGTTCTCCTGTTGCAACTTGGGTACCTTTGGCACCCTGACGTCTGGGCTAGAATCTGCCACTCGCTTGGGAGGCGAAGTGTGCGAATGTGGAAGTGGCTGAGGCCCCTCGCCTACTAAGTCGGGCACCTCTCTCTCCTCCTCCGTTACCCTGCAGGAGGGGGGTACAGAGGTTGAGGAGGCGGCAGGCCCCTGCCAGCATTCTTTTATAAGCTTTATCAAAGGCAGAGCAGAGGAATGGGTCATCACCTGAGCTCCAGCTTCTATGCCTAGGGCGTCTGCAGAATGGCAGAGGGAGATGGGCGACTTCTCTCCCAGGGTGGGGGGGAGGCTTTTGTGCGACTGCTTTTTTGACGCCTTGGTCCACATCCTATGAGTTTTGGCTCATTTCATTCTAGAATAAAACACCAACCTGAGCGCCTGCCTCTAATCCCTTGCCTGTGCTATCCTCCCCGGCATCAGAGGCAACCCTTGGGCCTAGGGGGGTAAAACTGGAAGGGACCACAAACTTCTCTGCTGACAGCTCCTCAACCGCTGAGGCAAGGGCCAACTTCCCAACGGCCTCATTCCGGCCTTTGTCTACTCCCTTGCGGGAGGCCGTCTTCTTGGTCTTACCCTTAGGCTTGGCTTTGGTCTTGGCTGCAGCCTTGGACTCCTTAGGAGGGAGCTCCTCCGTCTCAGAGACCCTGTCATCTACACCTTCATCATGCTGGAAAATAGCCCCTACATAGCGTTTCTTGTCAATTTTTACACCAGCCAAACGTAAAGCTTACTTAAGCTGGGCGTTGCGCCAGTAAAGGCATTCAACACGGCGGCCTTGTCGAAGGAGAGGCTATTTAAAAAAACATCTTGGGTGTCTGCGGCAACAAGTCGGTAAACATGGACGGTCTTCTGCTGGGGGGGGCGATAGATCCGCCCAATCAGCTGGCCTTCATCGGTGGCTGACCAGAGGCAGTCCTACCCGGAATAAAAATGAGAGGGTGAAGGCAGGGGAGGTCAAGAAGAGGCTCACAATGATTATTAATATGTTGGCACAGGGTAAATTTAGGCCAGTTAACCCTACATTGGAGACGATCAATACCCGAGGCCCATCCCGTCCGCTGTTTTTGAATTTAGTGATGATTTCCGTCCTAGCCGGGATGGTTATTTTGCCGTGGATCTGCAACGCCTGGATCTCATGAAGTTGTAGAACCTGAGTTTAAGTAGATCAGCATTGAATGAGGTATAGGGGGAAAATAGAAGTACCTTCATGACCTGGGTGTAACTAGATGGAAAGGCGCAATACACCAGGACTTTGTCACAAGGCGCTCCACCTGCTAGGCTGTTCTCATTGGCTGAATTGGCTGAAATAGCCGAAGGTACAAGGTTGTCCTCCACAACCCTTAGCGGAGCTCGGGCATCCAGTGCGAGATGCCATCGGATAACCTCTACCAGGGTATCTAGTTTTCGAGAGGGGTCCTCATTCCACTCCTCCAAAGTAGAGGGATCTGCCCACAGACGTCCTGGGTTGCAGCTAGGATGTAGCAAAGCCTTACGCACTCGGATGTAAAAATTCTTAAGACTTTATATCAGCAGAGGCTCGCATAAGAAAGATAGACAGGGGTACCGAACCACCGGCAAACTTTGCCGCTGTAGAGAGGCCTCCCTTCCCAACTAGTTCTTCGGCGATTAGCTCGAGGTTCGTCACCTCGTGCTTATATAGCCTTACCAAGAGGGAATGCTCCTGGAATGCAGCCAAGCCGGAAATTCGGACGCCGAGGTTGTCAACTGACCAGACGGAGCGATGAATCACAACACCTGAAAATCGCTGACGAATGATGCTGATCCACTTCAGCATCTGGTTTCGGTAAAGACTAGGAACTTGAACTTGGGCATCGCCCTTGAGGTTTGCCGTGACGATGGTCCTGTCCCTGTCCCCTTGTTTGAAGCGCTGCCGATCTTTGGCTGCAGACTTGCGGAGGTCACGATCCATTTTTTCTGCCTCACCATCATACGGGCTGCCAAAGGCTTCCATACCGAGGCATCTTCCCAGATTCCAAACGTCCTACAGAAATGGAGGGGTGAGCATTGAGATTAAAATTAGAGCAGGACATTGAGAATAAGGCGCTTCACTTACCATCGGTCGATTAGTGATCGGGGTGGCCGTCATGGCAACAATGGATTCGGATCTCTCACGAAGGGAAAATAAGGCCCAATAACTTCTTTTGATGTTTCTGAGGCTTTGGGCCTCGTCTATCCCCACCAGCAAGAAGCGCCGACCGTACACCGTAGTAGAGGCTTCAGTGGGGTAACTAGCCCTCTGTCGAGGACTTTGGGTGGGGGTGAAGTTGCTTGCCTCCAAGACGTGTTCAAAGTCAGACTCCAACGCCTAGGGTACCAAGAAAAACTTTATCAGAGGCCAGCTGAGTAGAAATCAAAATCAACGTTTACTTTAGGAGGGATGATAAGGATCCGTCGTCCTTCAGGCAGCTTGGGCATGGTCCAAATGTTCTTCCACCACAAAGCTCGATCCTTACTCCACATGCCTTTGTAAGGCAGAATATCAAAGCTTCCTCGCCGAAGGTATCGGTGCAACTCCGAAGTAAACTGATGGATTAAAGTTGTTGGCATGACCAAAATGATGGGAAGATCTGGAATGTTGAGGGCGTCGCCCCTCCATTGCTTTCCAGCTATTTTGAAGTAGGTTAGCTTTGGGCCTCAAAGGGTAAGGAGATGGACTTGCCTATTTTTCCTGGAAAGCACCCATTAGCTGTATAATACTCGCGATAAAATGCCAGTATGGCAATTAAAGCCGTGACTTGGATAGTTTTTCCTAATCCCACTTCGTCCATGAGTAAGATAGGCTTTCCAGAAAAAGCGTTCTGGACCATCCTGGTCACCCCAACCAGTTGATGCCAGCGGAGAGCTAGGCGCTCTCCCCTTCCAGAGCTTTTGAACCAGTCCTCTCCCTCCTCGGTCCATGGATCGTGGTTTCCATAGGGATCTTGAAGAGCGTTGAAAAATGGCAAACACTGGTCTGGAATCCCCAGGAGGGTCCAAAGGTGGTCCTCCGACACATCCTTGAATGCCTCCACCCCTTCCGACCACTCAAAGTCACAACTATCCTCGCCGTCAAGGTTGAGTTCAGGTACAGAATCAGAGGCCTCAGCGTCAGGATCGCAGAGCTTAAGCTGTTCCTGAATTGAGGCTGCCAGCAGTGTGATATCTTTCTCCGATGCTAGGAAACGAATGGCGTCCCTCAGTGGCTTGGGTAAACCTATAAAAAAATATTAGAAAGCGGAAGGGGGCTTGGCATCGGGTCGACTTACGCATCTGGTTTTGGCCCTTGTGATCTATACCTAAAACTTGAAGTATGTCGCTAAGGGTTTCCCGCTGCTCTGCTAGGTTCTTGAGGGACTCCTTGTCCCCATAGCGAGTGAGAATCTTAGCGAGTCCCTCTACGCCCTTCAGCCAGGTTCTAATGAGCTCTGTATCAGGACGCTCTCCTCCCTCCACAAGGTCCATGAGCACTAGGCCAAACACAGTAGACGTTAGAAAGTATAAGAGAAAGGAGAATGTAGAAAGGGCACCTTTCCAGGCCTGTTGAACTCGGGCACGGCATGGTTCAAGTTTCCCCCTTTCTCGTTGAATGGACTTCCTGTGACTGGACCAACGGTGTACCATAAGGTTGTCGATGAAGCGTCGAACGGGCTCCTTAAGAGCGATGTGATCCTCCGTGAAGGCGTCCACGCCAAAAAGTGCTTCTCCGATGCTAGGGTAGGCCAAGGTTATTTGAGAAGTAGCAAGTTCTGGAAGCTGATGGAAGAGCGTGAGGTGTGGCAGAGGCATAGGCTGGAGTAAATGAAATCTCACATTCGAGATCCTCATACGTCTCATGATTGAATACGGATCCAGAGCACGCTCTACCAAAATGGCGTCCAAGGTGCTAATGACTTTCCAGTGGCTCCACTGGGCATTGAAGAAGCTCAGCCACAAGTCACGCCCCTTGGCGTCATTGTCAGGTAGGCATCTGATATAATTGACTTGCTCTGCCTCCGAGAGAGCCCAGAAGTTAGAAATAAAAGTTGAGACTGCCTCAGCTGCCTCAGAAGTCCTCCAGGGGCTCGAGGTCTCCGCGGTTACTGCTACTGCTGGAAAGGGAACTGAAGTAAGACCAGTGCGTTCTTGCCACTTAGGCCAACACCAAGGAGGGTGGAGGACCTTGATCTCCCCGTGCTCCCCAGAGGTAGGCACCAAGTCATCATCCGTAGGGTCTCCTTCATTCGGAGAAAGCGCCCCGAGAGCTAGAAGGGCCCCGGCCGTGGTTATGGTGGGCATCTTTCGAGAGGTGAAACAAAGCGAAAGGGTGGTTTTGGTTGGTATGGAGGGAGTGCAGGAATGCCAATAAATACCATTCTAGAGACAAAGCCTAAAGTGACATGGAGCACGGAATTCCATCGGTAATAGTAGAGTCGTAGTAAGTGTTCGTAAGTGTCCGTAAAGCGTGTGAGTTAGTACTAAGCGTGTTTTGCAGATCCGGGCCTACTCAGTGACTGCTCACCGCATACCATCACATCATTCAACAACTTGCTTGTGCTCATGTATCGAGCTGATGGAGAAACGGTTTTTAAAGCTGCAGGTATATCTGCTGCTCCTGCTTGAGCTATGCATCACTAGGCCTTGGCCGGGGGAACATCATGCCCGAGTTCATGCCGGATCACGTCGCGATCTTTTACTAACAGCGGGGAAACTAACATTTTATCATTTGCCGCCAGTAGAATTACGTTCGAAAGGTGGTCCAGAGTGCTCTAGAACGCTCTAGGCTAGGTCTGGAATGCTCTAGCCAGGTCTAGATGGTTGAAATCTTGCAAGAGGTAACTTAGCGAAAATTTAATACTTTGCTCCTCGCTACCACCAATCATGATGCATAGTACCTGGGATGTTATATACAAATGTTTGTACTACTTATACGTACTTGTGTAATCCAACGGAAGTTTTTCTAAGGCGCTTTCTGGAATCTGCGCTCCACCATCCTTCTTAGCCTGGAATGCCTGGAATGCCTGGAGGTCTTGCAATCGCTATCAATGTTGGTGATAAGCCAAGTATCTACATTCAAGAACCACATGAGTCGGCACGTCAGTTCCAACGCATCTCAGCATGTCCTGTCACTAGTGACATCATGTCACCGTAGTCAGCACCATTTATTTTTGTCATTCTTGAGCAGAATTTCACCACATTATTTCAGAGTAAAAATTCAGCGCAATATCACTGAAATTTCAGAGTAAAAATCGGAACTTTCAGCACCTCGATTTCAGCACCTTGTACTGTGAATTTCATTACATTATCAACTGATTTTACCTAATGAATTTCATTGGATTTACTACCCACAGCGTGCTGAAAGTTGAACTCGGTACTGCTAGTACCAGTAGTAACGCCTTCGATGATGAATCAACCATTCTACCAAAGTCACACAATTTGGAACAGAACAATTCACACCACGTAGTAAGCCTGACAAACTAAGAACGAAACGGTATGTTGTACAATGGGAAAAAAAATGCGCTCAGTATGAAAACATGTGATGGTACTAGTACATATCGTGATGAAAACAAACATTGTCACTGAAACTTGAGCGAATCGTGATCAAACGCAATGTAACCAGTATTAGCGGCACCTCCCTCGCTTGTTGGAGCTTCCAGACGGGACATACTCGGCATCATCGACCTCGTCGATGGTGCGCTTTAGGAAGTTCCTGTGCCACCTGCGATATCTCCTGAATCCCGTTTGCTTGGCGGCCGTCTCCAAGCCGTCAACGCAAGCGCCCCAAGCAATTACTGTGGCCGGAAGGGTGTGTCCTCTGAGGCTTTGGATTAAGCCGCTTAAAAAACTGCGTGAATTGCTGAGGTCATTCACGGATTGGTGGTACCTACTTGAGGGGGTCGACACTACTTGGAGGATGCTCACCCTCCAGGTGCCGGACCGTTGAGTCACGAACTCTTTCCAGGGTGCGCTTGAATAGACGCTGGACACGTCGAAGTCCAGCATCATCTTGCTGCGGGAAGAGTGCCTGTTAGCATTGCATTAAATGAGTTAGAACTAGTCGCTGGTATCAAAAACATATACTACGTGCCGCGGTGGCGTAATATTGCGAACGATGGTTGGTTGTCCTCAACCGTCCATTAGGGGGGCGGAGCCAAGTCGTAACGGTTATCTTGAGGGGCTGCAGCCAAGTGTGCGAGCAAAACAAGATCCCGGTACCACCTGCACTCCCACTGATCCCTTTGATGCCCCCAACCTTCCTCCTGTCTAACTCCTGCTCGATCGCCCATTCATCGCTCGGTAAGGTGCGTTTTTCTGCCTCGGCGATGTGGAAATGGGTGGCCCCCTCGATGTGGGGGTTCTTGTCCGCAAAAAGTTGAATCTTCGATTCTGCCGACTCTGAAGATTGGGAGAAAGATACTTCGAAAGGCCATAACGGGTGGAACTCCTCTCTCGTCTCACGTTGAATTAGCATATCGGGGATGCCGAGGTTATCTTTGTCTCCATCGTCCTCATCATCTTCCCCTTTTTCGACCATCGTGTTCATGTGCACGCGGATGGCGGTATGGAGTGCTGGTGGAAGTGGCAAAGATGCCACGACGTTTCCCATTGTAGTGCGCAGAGGCGCTAGAATGGATTCGTGGACTGGAGTCGGCAGGTTGACGGAGAGTTTTTGAAGGCGCGGGGTGTATGATAGTCTGGAGAAGGTGCTGGATCAGCTTAGACGTGGCAGGTGGAGGGAGGGCTTACTTGCGAATAAGATTATCGTCGGATTCAATTGCATTCAGGATGTAATGATGATCTTGCTCTGAAACGTTGGAAAATACCTGGTACGGCAATCAGCCAGAGAAAGATAAGGGATGGTGATGGCTTCTCGTACCTCGTGTTCGGGCCCCTCGCCGCCCTTCCGAACGGCGGCAATAATACGCTGACGAAGATCTGTAGAGCTTAGCAAAGAACCCCCATGATGTTTCAATCAGATACCGCTCACCATCCTTTGGCTCCAAGGCCGGTGGCTTCAGCACCTTTGGCTTTAGCAGGGGGCGAGGTTTCGGCTCCAGGCTTGAAACTGATTCCACTGAGGTGCCAGATTGGCTACTTATCAATAAACTTGCTGGGGATGTGGAGCGTCGCTTGAATCTTCTAGTACTTTGGGAGGGCCCTTTGCCGCTGGCACGTTCGAGTTGTCCAGGGAGTATGCTAATGTTCGGCTGGGAATGCCATGCGGGGCTGTGCTCGCAGAAAAAGCCTTGCCCATTCATTGAGCCTTGCTGTAACAAAGTAAGAGATTCAGAGGGCATAGCCTTGTATGCCTGCTGTGACGTTCTCACCTTATAAGCAAAAGCGGCGGCGTCAACCGGGTTCTTAGCTTGAAACCGGAGTATCCAAGCCGGCGTTTGCCGCCGGAGCCGTGTAGGGGGTAGTAGGGCGAGAGCTCCTCGAACGTGTTTGACGCACTGGGGCTAAATGGGTATATGAGCTTGGATCCATGGGGTCAAGAACGGCAGGCTGGTATGTAGTGGCTACTACTAAAGCCGTAGGCTTGTAGTTGGCCCTCTCAGGAGGAGCTGCTTGTGCATCTGCACCTTTGGCCAGGCCAGGGTCGGCCCGTGCTACTTGGAGCTTCAGCAAGCTGCTGCGAGTCCCGGTGGAGGCGTATAGGAATAGGAACGAAGGGCATGAATTGCTCACCGCTATTGCTGCAGCCTGTCGCTCCTAACGCGTGGGGTGCAGGCAGGTGGTGGTGGGAGCTGTTGAGGTTGAATGGCAGTCGAGGCGCTCGAGTTGCAAACATCATAACATAATGCCAGATGCACTGTCACGCCTACTACGGCATCGGTTTGACTCTCACCATCATATAGATTTGTCTCTTCAAACAAGGGCATCACCGAGTGCTGTTACCACTCCGCCACCATTCGGTTGCCAAGCCGTGGCAAAAACAAGGTACGAGCAAAAACTGATTTCGTCAACTCACAAGACCTCTACCACTGTCGCAAATATACGTTTGGAGGTATTATATCGAGGATATATAAGAACGAAAGAACAAACGAAATAGGCCTTCTCTCGCTCCTGGCCCACTTAACGACATTCGAGAATGCGCTTGTTCAACACGCTCCTCACAAACATTTTCCCACAGCCATCACATACCTCCAACAACTCAATACCGTCGCAATGGCTCACTCCCATACCCATTGACAATTTGACGAGCAAGTCTTGCTGATGTTACGTCGTTGCGCAGCATTTGTTACCGCTTTTTGTGAGTATGTGCCTTGGTAATATATCTACCAAAGTTATTTGCCATATGAAATATGAAAATTAACGCTACTTACGTGAACGTTCGCGACGACATGCATGCTGTGTGACGAATGACCCAGCAACAATTCTAGGTATGTGACGAAGACCACCGCGAAGTTGAGGATAACCAGGAAACGTCGCTTCGTGGAAGCCACGGCATCCAACGAAGGTCAGTGCGATATCCCCTAGTTCAGCTGGGCCTGGTGGAGTGCTGCGAAAGGCAGTGGGTGAGTAAAACGTGAGTTTGTAGAGCACATACACCGGCGCTAACGTTGCCAAATCTCCATAGTGGACTGTTGGCGTTGGGAGGACGTGGTGGCCGAGGATTACTAGAGGCAGAGTTGCCATGGTGGGTTTTTGGCGTTGGGAGGACACGTCGAGTGATTCATAATGTATTTTTGGTGTTGGGAGGACATAGCGAGTGAGGACTGTGAGGACTGCTAGAAGCGGGGTTGCCGTGGTGGATTTTTGGCGCTGGGAGGACACGTCGGACAAGCGAGGATTACTAGAGGCAGGGTTCCCATAATGGATTTTTGGTGTTGGGGGGACATGACGAGTGAGGACGCCCGATGAACTGAAACGACGACCGGCAGCGTATGGGCGTGAAGACAAGAAAGACGTTTGTCTGTGTATCAACGACTTAGAACCAAATTGCTCGTGCCTTTCTCAAACAGTAACAGGTCACACATCACCGATATCTCAGTTCTCCGGAAAGCATATTCCAGAAAATGCGGGATTTGGCCGGTCCGCGTAAGGTCTATGCAGACAAATCACAGACTCCGTGTCACTATGAACTGTCTTGTGCGGTGTGCGAGATAAGGGGGAAAAGGTATGATACAAATAGTAGGGTCTGTTTTGAAGTGTTGATGTTTTCTAACTTGCGTCAACCAGGTCAATGCGAGCTGGTCACCGGTATACAATCGGATGCGATCGAGCAGGCTCACTCAGACAATGAGTCCATCGATGGTAACGATCTTTCAGGAAGGCGATCCTTCTTGTGTTTAACTGGCTGGATGTACGTACAATCATTATTCTCCATAAATCAATCTATTGCGACAGCAAGATCGACAGCGATGTTCATAGACACAATACATACAATGCAATCAATAATATTTTTTTCTAAAATCTCTATTGGCTTTCAAGGCACCATTAGTCCTCTGAGGAGGCGGCGTGCTCCCAATCGGTGCATTCAAGACGCTATCAGTCCTCTAAGGAGGCGATGTGCTCCCAATCGGTGCATTCGCAAGTGCAAGCGCCCGAGGACGGTACTGCAGCAGAAATTTCTGGTACAAATTAATGATGATATCCGCTCCATGGGGCAATTGTGAGTCGGTGATCCTCTTGAGCAGTGAAGGGATATTCTGGATGACAGGAACGGACGCGATATGCTGGAGTAGAGCTTCTACATTCATTTGCAGGATTGCGGGATGCCTGACACGCGAAGCTGGTTAGCACTGTGCTATGCCATGATTAAGAAAAGGCTGACTTGGATGTAAATGATGAAGAAAGTTCTTGGAGAGCACTTCCCGCATCCAAACTACTTCGTATTGCACAGAAAGCTTTGTCGCGAAGGCCGTCGAGTCGAACCTGACAATTGTGCATTAGGATATATGGAGAGCACCAGGCAAATTTACTCGAACCTTGGAGGCTAAGCGATACATCGACTTCGGTGAGCAAGGCCACGAGGTGCTAGAGTTTGGGGTCTCCGCATCAGCCTTGGGCGGTTCCTGCGACTTGAGTGGGGAGAAGGAGATATCGTCCGTATACAGATACGGCAAGAGCGCCTTCAATCTATATATACGAAATTAAAGGCTCGCCACAACTGCGATGACATGTAACTTACGTCCTGAATGCCGCGTCTCGCACGAGTATCTTCCGGTAGTTGAAAACTTGTGGTTTATATTGAATTGGAGTAGGAGCGATAAGCGCTTCTGCTTGTGGTGGGCCAGCCAAGGCATCGCTTTCGCACATAGTATCTGCCACAACCAGTAAGTCGTCGTCTGATTCACTAATGTTTCCTTGCACAAGGTATGAAAATTTACGTTGCTAATATTGTCTTGAATCACTTACCTTTAAGGACGGTAGTCACATCGCTGGGAGGCGTAGGATTAGCTTTGACCTCTTCTTCATCTTCAAGATCGCTGTCAGATCCGTATCCGTAGTCATCAAGTGTTATCCCATCTTCGAATTCTGAACCATCTCCGAAGTCGACAAACGTGGCGTCAGGTGATCCCGTTCTGGACATTACGTTATAAGAATTGCAAATGGTAAACCGGCTTCGAACGCTTCAACTGCGATTCAACCTAACTTGAAATCCTCAACAACCTCCCCCACCTGCTTACACCCCGCATGCTACGAGTGGCGGGCTGGAACAATAGCGGTGAGCAATTCATGTCCCTGCTCCCATCCATATACATCCCCACCGGGACTGGCAGCAGCTTGCTGAAGCCCCAAGTAGCACGGGCCGACCCTGGCCTGGCCAAAGGCGCAGATGCACAAGCGGCTCCTCCCGAGGGGTGCAACTACAAGCCTACGGCTTTCGCATTAGCTACTACATACCTGCCCGTTGCCTTTGACCCCACAGCCCTAAGCTCATGTACTGATTTAGCCCCAGTGCGTCAAACGCGTTCGGGGCGGGAATTCTCGCCCTACTGGCCACTGGCCACTGGGTCCCCCATTAAACCAGCAACTGGCCACAGCTTTCTGCTCATGGATGCCCTATTGGACGAGCAGCCAATTCTGGAAAGCGACGACGGCACCATTTTACAGGAGGATGTCGATCCCCCTGGCTGCAGCATCAGCAAACCAACGGACGGGAGGGTTGTAGCCACCCACATGACATCCGGCTCTGCTGCAGAGCAGCTATCGGAGCAAGGGGGATCCTGCACCAGCCAGCCAGATGGGAAGGCCGACCGCCGCCGTGCTGCCCGTGCAGAGCGGAGGTATAAGGCGAGGCAAAGGCGCGCGCACGCCCCATACAAATCAAACGTCCTTGCCCTTAGAAAGCAGGTTGTGGCTGATGGTGATCGAGTGTATGGATCCCTCAACCGACAGGATTTGGGAGGTGCAGAGGGCGGTTGGAAGGGCTCAAGGGTAGAGCTGGGAGAGCGGAGGGTGTATGAGCTGGATGAGCTCCTTGGAATGGGCTTTAAGCTTGTTCAATGGGATGGCCTGTAAGCCCACCCCTGCGGTAATCTGTAGGGAGCGGTTCAATTTCCAACAGGACTCCGACGCCAGTAATTGACAACGAAGGCCATATCATAGCAATGCTTGCTGGGCAGCCAAAATCCACCCCTGACTCATCTGCTAAGGGGAAAAAGGCCTACAGCGAGGCTATAGAGGAAGTAACGTCCCTATTCGATCGACTTCAAAACCTACTACCTCCCATCCGAAGCGTTCTCACATGGCTTCCTAAAGGGAGGCTTCCTCGAAGAGGCCTCTACCACGCTGCTACAACTGGGATTTCCTACGGCGGAGGGCAGCAGGTGAGTCTGATGCTCAGCTTTGGATTCTATTGAACTCCAGGATGTATCAGAGTCCCCAAAGCCTTGCCATACCAAAAATATATCAACCAGCTGTGAAATCAATTCTGGAAAACGAGGGGATGGGTAGAATAGCAGGCTTTCAGTGGGGTAGGCAGGTTGGCTCTACCACTCTGATAAATTCTAACGGCCTCCCAGCCTCTTTCAAATTATTTTCTCCTAAGATTCATGGAATCTATGAGCACTACTTAGACATGCTCTATGCAGAATACCCGGAGCAAAAAAGGCCGTGGAAAAGTAGTAAAATGCCTGCCTGTACTTTCAATTTGGGTCCAGGCACTGCCACCTACCCCCACAAGGATGCTGCCAACCTTGCCTGGGGCTGGTGCTTTGTCACAGCCCTAGGCCACTTCGATCATGTCAAAGGGGGACACATTGTTCTTTGGGAGCTTGGCCTAGTGATCGAGTTTCCTGCTGGATCTACAGCCCTCATACCTTCTGCAGTTGTCACTCACTCCAATGCAGGCGTCCAGGAGGGGGAGATCAGATATTCATTCACCTCCTATGCAGCTGCTGGGCTGTTCTCTTGGGTATATAACGGCTTTCGCTCTGATGCTGATATTAGTAACGACCCAGCAGTATCCCAGAAGGAGAAGGAGGATCGAGCAGAGGAAAGACGCAGTCGATGGAAAGAGGCTTTGAAGCTATGGCCTCATCTATATAGCCTGTAACAGCTTACCTTACGGCTGACGCAATATATAAAGATGTAGATGTTGTGAAGGAAGTGGAATACAGGAGTAATTATGTTTTGAGAAATATGTGCAGCAAAGTAGTCGGTCAAGGACAACTGACTACAAATTTCAAATCTGATCATCAAGGACAAATAAAAGGAAGGCCTTCGTCGTAAATTACACTCCGGCACATAAATACATCGGTCCTAATTCAATTGAAACCATGAACTCGGTATAAAATTTGTCCGAAGCCCTTCAACTCGAACGGCTGATAGCCATTCCGATACATAAGGTCACTCAGTCATATCTCAGCATACCAAATGCCAGCTCGAATTTGGGAAGTCAGGGTCTGCGTGAGTTTAGAGGCTAAGGCATGATGTGAGAAATTTTGAAGGACATTTTAGCGATTCGCTATTGGCTATCAACTTGCTTGGGAGGCCTATAGGATTTAGCGTGTGGAGAAAGGGATGCGTAGAACAAAGTGGGTTCGCATGGGCTTCAAAACTGCGTAGCCTTCAGGTCAGTTTGATGCTGGCCGCACCATCCACGAGCACAATTATTTGTAGGTTAAATCAAATAGTGAATTAGATCAATTACCAACAAGCGTAGTGAGCGCTGATTCGCTTTGTCATACCACCGGTCAGTACACATGACAACCTGCGCACCCTCCCGCAGGCCATAGGTACCGCAAAGGGCAACAAGGTCTTCTCTCTTTGCGCTGGTTTGAACGAGCGTGCCAACGCCATCGCAACCTGGGGCTGAAATCATCCAAGCAGACGGCGAGCAGGGCACAATCGTCAACAAGGCACAGGCAGGGTGCATCGGTCTTGTCTTGCGTGAGTTCATGTGGAAGGGAAGACCAAGTCCTCCTATTTTCAAACACCCATATCCATACGAGTAACTTATATGAGTCACAGTTAGAGGATACAGATGGGATGCAGTCGGATAGCTCTACAAAGTTTTATTAGTGACATCATTTAGACTTTCAAGTCAACATACTTTAGGAGAAGGTAGGGCGATAGCACGGATGGTGGCTTCTCGAATCATATCGACCGCGTCAGTGAAACCAGTTTGCTGCAGGGACAAGGATGAAATGAGCTGCCCTGCAGGAATGTAAACGTTATGTCGTCATGATGAAAGACGTAAGATTGACAAATTATCGCAAGCCCAGAGCGCTTTGCTGCCCCTCAGGGTCAGTACCCTTGCCGCTTCGATGATGCGAAGGGTTGAGGCCTGCAATAACAACAAATTAACAGAACATCCAACAGAACGCTTACTGCGCAAATCCCAGCATCTCAGCCGTGATCTTGGGCTGTTTGAGGCGTAAGACCAGACCTGTGTGACTTCATGAAGCTTGAAGACGTAAGTAGTAACCTTATGACATCCTTGCGCAGGGCTAGCGGTTTCGAGCCGATCGCTCCCAATCTGTCGCATTCCAAGTTTGTGGACCCTATAATCAAGAGCAGCCTAACAGAGATGAGTCTCATGGGTAGCGACGCTCACATCGAAGTTACTCTCCTCCAACATCGAAATGAGAACGCTCCACTCACCTCTTCCAGAGCCCTTATGCGATGGTCTGGGAAGTAATTGTTTGAATCTCTTGTTACTTGTTAGTAGCAAAGCACTCACGCAATGGTTTTCCAGACGCTTAAATGCTCTTGGGCATGATTTAGAAGCCCATGAAGGACGAATGGGAGTAGCATTATGGCTGATGACTTGTAAGCGATTGAATCTACACAGGGTTCACGGAGTTTCCGTGCTCTTTTCTACTGAAATCCTGCAGTGACATGTCCCTGTCAGCTGGTTTTCTTGATTGAGCCAGCCGGAAAACAATCTGACTGAATTGTTGAACAGGGCCTTTGAAATCTGAGTCACCGCCACTCACTATGTATGAACCCTGCTATTCCCTTCCTTCTGTGTAAGCAACTAACGGAAGGACGCTTTGCCTAAGCAAGACTACGCAACATCCCCCGGCCTTCATTGAGCAGCCTTGGAATGGAAGAAAGCTTGTCCTAAGCACGTGGGCGTGATATGCTCGACAAAGTGCCAGAGTGAGTTGTGCAAATCACTCAATCTCATGCATTAAATGACCCACTTCTTGCATCGATTGCACATTCAACTCCCCGCGTAGCTCGACAATCACTTTATCTGACCACCACGAAGCCCACTCTCTCTTTTGTTTTTGCCACCATCTCTTTGTTACAAATGCAAATGGCGGTGCTAAGCATGCTGACGCCGTCGATGAACGGAAAGCCCCTTGTGCATCTCATCATCTCTCTTATCCGCACCCTGTCTCATGCGTCGTTGGCCCAGGTTTTGTTGCCGATCGCAGCGCAGATGTCGACAGATGCTCTCACAGCCCAGTTGTTGAAGGTGATTCTCTCGTACTAGCGACGCTTTGAATGATATATTGATGTCTGATGTAGCTTATTGATCGTTTCAGCGGAAAGCTAAAGAAATGACCGCCAGTGTTAATAGGTATTATGCCGAGGGTGTCAACACCTTCTTTGTCCCAGCGCAGATAGCTGGAAATAAACCAAAAACAACAAGGCGGGGGGCATACTTGAAGAGAGCACAGCAGCAGGCAGGACTTCAGGGAGCTGTTCGGAGATCAGGCACACCATCGGATCACCATTCAAAGTACCCACCTTAGCCAGGGCACCAACCTCGTGTTTACTGCGGATTTCTGCCTCGTCAACTGATCAGCAGGCAGTCTCGTTACGCTAACAGGTGGGCGTACGGCCTTTCTTTTGGATCCTGTGGTCACGGGCACGACGTTCACGGATTCACCGGTCAAAAGAGCCCTTTTCCACTCCTCCATAAGATTCCCACCACACTGGTGCAAAATTAGTTTGGGGAATGCCTACTTGTGAATATAATCCACGCACCTTGTGAATCATGTTATATTTTGGACGTGTAAGATCCTTGAAGGCTTCTGAATCAAACTCTTCACGGAAGGCACTTGCTTGTAGCTGCAAGCACAGGTCAAGTTCATTATGGCGAATAGCTCGGAAGAAGCTCTAACTGACCGGGGTTATGCTCCATCCTTGACGCATAGCCTGTCAATCCAAACCCGTGCGCCATCCTTTAACTCATCCGGTGCTACATGCGGCAGTTTACCTGAGGTCAGAATCTGATACATCTTGGCATACCTCGGAATGCTTGATCCAGCGGTGCTCCTCTAACATCATCAGCAAATGGCAAAGGGATCAGATGAAACCCTGCAGGTTCGTTCCATCCCCCTTCTTCGCCGCTTTCTATCTAGTCAGGCAGAAGCACAGTTGGTGCATAGTGATTAATAAAATACAGAGCTTACTTGTGGAAGCATTGCGCAGAAAACCGGAGCAGCGTGATGTCTTGTGAGTGCCAGGACAAGACCGATCTTCTTCTTCTCAATCATTTTCTTCAGGAGAGCGGCGAATGTGTGCTTGCCTCTTAAGTATTTCTGTATCACCTAGTCATTTTGGGACGAGCTAAACAGGAAGCAAACGCACTAGTCTGTCGGGATAGATAAACACAGAGCGTTTGACGTTGTCCTCGAAAGCTAGTTCTGTACGATCCTTGAAGCCAAGTGGCTTGAAGCCTATTGGTTTTACGTGAGCAGCGACCTCCAGGCTGATATTCATAACAAATTTGGTTCAATGTCCGACGTGCAGAAAGACCTGATCTCATCTGCGGTATAAAAGGGCTACGCGAGGTTAGCACTAAAGCAAGAAAACCGAGGACGCATACGCTTTTCCCCAATGGAATAGCTCGACAAACGGTACCAAACCCTTCGCCTTCATTGCCACCGGCACCATCGACAGGTGCGGCACCAAGGGCCATCCCATAGACCATCTCGATTTTGTCCACTTCCGCTTGCTGATCCCGTCATGAGATTAGCGCCAGCACACGATACCAAATTAACACATTACCTCGTCAACGTACACCGTACGGCTGTTAGCTACTTCCATACGATCGCCTAGGTTAACAAAGTGCTTGTAGGTCAGGCGCAGCTTTCGGTAGCTGCAGACGCAGCTTTGGAAGATATCTGCAGGCGCAGCTTTGGAAGATATCTGCAGATGCAGCTTTCAGTATCTGCAGACGCAGCTTTAAAAGATATCTGCAGATGCAGCTTTCAGTATCTGCAGACGCAGCTTTAAAAGATATCTGCAGATGCAGCTTTCGGTAGCTGCAGACGCAGCTTTAAAAGATATCTGCAGATGCAGCTTTCAGTATCTGCAGACGCAGCTTTAAAAGATATCTGCAGATGCAGCTTTCAGTATCTGCAGACGCAGCTTTAAAAGATATCTGCAGATGCAGCTTTCAGTATCTGCAGACGCAGCTTTGAATATCTGCAGATGCAGCTTTGGAAGATATCTGCAGATGCAGCTTTCAGTATCTGCAGACGCAGCTTTAGAAGATATCTGCAGATGCAGCTTTCAGTATCTGCAGACGCAGCTTTAGAAGATATCTGCAGGCGCAGCTTTCGGTAGCTGCAGACGCAGCTTTTGAAGATATCTGCAGACGCAGCTTTTAATATCTGCAGATGCAGCTTTCAGTATCTGCAGATGCAGTGAAGGTCTCACAGAAGTGCAGCTTTCTCAACCTCTGCTTTAAATGCGTCCAGTCCCATCCGGTCAATAGTGTATTTCATCGAGCATTTTTGCGACTGAAGACTGATTAGAACGTGTGCAGGTGTAGAACGTTCAAAGGACTTACTCTGCACGATTACCATTGTCGCGCTGTGTAAGCATGATCTTTTCTGCTACGGTAGGACCTTGTTGGACGGTACAGAAACCAACAACATCCGCAACTCGAGGGTATGTTTTCTTATTGCCGTGGGTTACTCCCATGCCACCACCGAATTTGGAGGACTCCAGAATGGGATTCGGCATGCTCCTGACGGAAGTCACAGATTTGCGGAAATCCTCGAGAAGTGAAGCATAGTGGAGGAGTCGAGCCTGGACAGTGTGCAACTCAGTTGTGAGGTTGTTATCATTTGTCGATAGTCCGTTTATTTCCTGAATGATGACATAACTGAATGACTGAAGGACATGAGCGACAAAGAAGCGTACCAGCCAGTTCATGTGAGTGTACAGGTGGTCCAAGGATTCGTCCCAGGCGTAAAGCGCATACCAAAGGATAGCCAAGAGGACTAATGATGGATCCTTAGACCGTTCGAATATCTTCTGCCGATACGCGCTCTCTCCCACTTTCTGGACTAAATTTTTCAATCGCTCTGCGGTTGTCATATTCCACTGAGCACTTGGGTGGTAAGATATGATAGTACTACCACTGGGGTCGGATGATCTTATGATGTGTAGAGCGAGCAGGTCTTCAAGAAGGTACCTTTCCGCCGGCGAGCAAACTGAAACAAACATGAAGATACAGCACCAAAAATGAGGGGGAGGCTCTACCAGAGCGAAGACGAAGCGACTCCTGCGTGTCTATAGCTTTTTCACCGCCTGGACAGCTATTAAGCTATGTTTTCCTGGAGAGCTTAGCAGACGCACAGGAGATGTGCTTGCTTTGCGAGGACATGGCGGGCTTGTCCCATGGCGCCGTGCCAAAGAGCAGTGTTACCGTAATGCCTGCGATACCTTAAAAGCGCCATCGGGTGAACCATGGAGAGCACTTACGATCTCCTTTTTTCTTGACAACTTCTTCTTGGTATCGAGAAGGGATCCAGTTTAAGGAGGATGTGAAAAAGCACGGTTCAATGTTGTACCTAATTGATGTTCAACCCAGAACGCATATATAAAGAAATGAATCTCTAGTACCTTGTTCCCAGCATCTGGAGTACGGGATGTTTCATGTTGTCGACGAGCAACACCCGGAGACGAAGACCTGTTGGCTGTAGGGAAGACAGGTTAACTTGGCCCTCAACAAAGTACGACCATGCTTCACCTCTATCTGCAACTGATCCCAGAGCTGACTTATAGCGCTTTCATCAACCTCAATAGCTGGATCGATGTCCCTAGCCGACTTGAATTTTCCAGATTCAAGTGCATCGACATAATAGATCCTGCATTTTTCTCGAGGGTCCCTGGAACAATTCTCGACCATCTTACACCGTGCAACTCGATCGGCAACCCAGTTCCCGAACAAGTTTTGAGGATATCCCCTCCACTTCCATTGCTCCACTGCTTCTTTGGTTGAGGGAACAAGTTCGGTTTCCGAAACAATGTCCGACTCAAAGTTCATCCATGGCCAAGGTCCAGACGGGGCAGCATGTCTATATCTGGAAAGATACCATCGACTCTGAACTCTACATAGGCTTACAAACATGAAGTGGATTTTGCTCACATTGGTGCGGGTATTGTGGGAGGTTTACTGCTGTGCGTTCCGAACTTCCATGACCAATGAAGGGTGCTCAGTGAGAAACGAGCGCAAGGAAACTGTCGGCTAGTGGTGGATAAAGGTGCGGGAAAGACTCAGTCTCAGTTCATCTAGATGTGAGAATGTAGGTCTTTATTACTATATATAATAGTTTTGCAAAGATGGTGGTGCCGTCAGCTGAGATCAAAGAATGCTTCGTGCAGGCTTTGTTGACGTGGGGCACGGGGGTATGGCAGGGAACGCTTACTAAGCGCGTGCCCCGGGGCACGATGGCTGTGAGAAAGACCCTGCGGTCCAGAAAAGGGAGGTGCCGAGATTCCGTGCCGGCGGCAAGGACGAATTGGGCGTGTTTGGGTGGTCTTGGCGTCACGCGCAGCGTGTGTCGTCGAACCAAACTTGAACGTCGTCGAACTCGTCGCGGTTTCTCGCCGTGTGGCTTCTCCGTCTGTACAACTGAAAATAAAACTTGTTCCCACCTCCATCGTGACGTGCTAGGCTGCTCCTGACACCTTTTTTTGCCCTCTTCTTTGGCTCCCAATGGAGAACATCTGTGAGCTGCCTGATGGCTTGACTGCAGCTTCGCTCGCGAGTTGCGAAGTAGACTCATTACCAGGCTAGCGGCCCGTCCGACCGATCACCGAATAAACACCGTGGATCGATCGATCAGTACTCCGACGAGCGGTACCTCTCTTTTACAACCTTCCTTGTTCTAATTGCTCTCTGCCGGGGTCTGCCCTGTCATATCACTCTACAGCACCAACCGATCTAGAAGCTCATCGTCTCCATCATGATTAGCTCTCTACTACGGTTTCCCATTCCACGGATCCTCCCCGCGGAACATCGAGCGCTGATACCGAGGCTATGAACGTACACGCCGGCATGCCTCCGCACGGCACAAAGCTCGACCCCAAGTACGCTCCAAACCTAACATCTGTGTCGTTATCACTTAAAATATCTTCAGTTACATATTCTACAAGATCTTCACCGGGGAAGTACCGTGTTTCAAAGTATACGAAACAAAATACAGGTACGCCACCCCATCACCGTTCAACGTTCAATCACCAATGACCACACTTAAAAGTCTCGCCTTTCTCGCGAAGCCTCCTGTTTCTCATGGGCACACGCTCATCATACCCAAATGTGCGTACCTCGTTCGATCTAGCCAGATCTGCGTTAAACAGTTGTGTCAGACCACTCTCGTACATTAACGGATCCCGGACTCCCAGACGAGTTCCTCGCAGATGTCGGTCCCATAATGAAGAAGATAGCAGCGATGAATGGCGAGGATTCATACAATGTCATCCAGGTACATCTCTCCCCTCCTGCTCTCTCCGTCTGCGTGCTATATCAACACGATAATCAGAACAACGGCAGGACTGCCGGGCAAAGTGTCGACCATGTGCATTTCCACGCCGTGACGAAGCCAGCGAACCAACCTAATCAGGGACTCATCCTGACACCCCAGAGCTGGTCTTCGTACCTACGATCGATGAAGAATACACTCAGGACGCTGATAAGATGAAGCAAATCGGTAGGAGCCATGGATTCCCGGGCGTTTCGGCTTAGAACCTGGGGTTTGAAACATGTATCGTAGCCAGTGTTTGATGGGATGGAGATGTGCAGAAGTAATGATGGATCAAAGAGGCCAGTGCACTTGTATGCGAACCTGGACCTCCAGTAGCACGCGAACAGTCAACGAATCAAACGTCTGTCGCTTTCACAGGCATGCCCATACCATCAATAAGATACTGTACATGAATGGTGATAGGGTCCACACAAGTGAGTCATGGCTCAGGTCGTATAAAAGTTGTCTGAGACTGACAGACTACGTCCGTCATTTACAGACTTCTGGTGTATGTCTACCGTATTGTGCTTTTGCCTGCGTGGAATGTATCTCATCTGAGTGCCTTGCGTTCTCAGCATCCCAGGACCGATTGAGTTCACGGATGAGGTGCGTATACCCTTGCGTCGTTTCTGCATGAATTGTAACGCTCGTAAAAATGTTTATAGGTCCTCTTTGCCAATGCACATCCGTCGATGTCGCATATGTCACCCGACTTTGCAAGAGTCTTTGGTGACTGCATTCGCATGACTAGGCAAGGGCACGCGGTTCACGGCGACTTAGCGGCCGAACAATAAACTCACGTGTTTGTCAGACAACTTCTTTACTCAGAGGACGCGCAGCCGTTCCTGATCGCTGGGTCAGGCACATTGGGACAGGATCAGGTATGAGTCTGATGTTAATTTCAGGGTGCAAAATGTGTTTGTTTATGGCGCTAGGTCTCTGCAAATCTCGTAGAACCGGGCGAAAATGCGCTCGTTCTGCATAGTGGTTGTTTTGCCGATAGTTTTGCAGACTGGTAGGGGCAATGATGGGGCAAGTGTCGTAGCGTTTGCTCATTCTTCATGGCTCTCCAGTTTGCAGACCTATGGTGCCAATGTCGACCAGATCAAGGCTGAGATTGGTGGTGCTGTTAAGGAGGCTGATATTGAGAACGCACTTCAAGCGAAGAAGTACAAGATCGTTACAGTAACTCACGTCGACACCTCGTCAGGTTAGTGATATTTTTCAGGGTGCCTGATATTATATAGGTTCCTGATATTATATAGGTTCCTGATATCGGACCGATCTATCTTACGTAGCCGTTTTGTCCGACATCAAAGCTATTCCAAACGTCGTGAAGAGAGTTTCTCCAGACACACTTGTAATTCCCCAAAAGACTTCTCAGCTCACGTGTACTCATTATAGATTGATACTAGGTCGTTGTTGATGCTGTCTGCTCTGTGGCGAGCGAAGAAATCCAAATGGGTGCCTGGGGCATTGACGTCGTATTGACAGCCAGCCAGAAAGGTTTGGGCACGCCACCGGGTCTCAGCATCCTCGTTGCTTCTCAGAAAGCCGTCCAGGTTTGCCTTTCCCCGATGCCGTGACGTGCAGCTACTGATACAAACTTCTCAAGGTATTCGAGAACCGTTCAACGCCAGTCACAACCTACTACGGCAGCTGGAAGAAGTGCGTTCAGTCCATGCTTTCTATCCTAACATAGATTTATTCTCAAATAGATGGCTACCCGTAACGAAAGCCTACGAGAACAACTCTGCCGCCTACTTCGCCACGCCACCCGTCAACCTCATCTATGCGTTTCACGCGTCCCTCACCCAGATCATGCAGGGCTCTGTTTCGCTCGAGCAACGATTCAAGCTCCACCAGGAGGTCAGCAGACGCGTCAAGAAGGCAGCAGAGGAAATCGGATTCAAGGGCGTGCCTCTCAGTGAGGATGTCCAGGCGAATGGCATGTCTGCAGTGCGTACAGTATTTTGATTTCTTTGCGACCGAGACGTTGATACCGTACACAGCTTTACCTCCCCGACGGTTTCACAGTGAGCGATATTGTTCCTCGTCTGTTGAAGAAAGGCGTCGTTGTCGCTGGCAGATTACATGCTAGCATCAAAGGTCAGTAAAGTTTTCTGCGAGGAGTATTTGTTACTGAAAATCATCCACATCGACCTCACTGATATTGCATTACATCGCACGTTGTTTCATTTTTCATCATTTGCTATTTGTAGATGGAGCATAGTACTGATGACGCTCCTGTGCAGAGTGCCTCCTTCCTTGGTGTACCCACTGATGACGATGAGATATCCATCTTTGTCAAAGATATTGGTGCGCGGAAGCCACTTGATGCTCAACGTCAACCTTCTCCCGCGTCTACACAGGGCCGACCTGCTACCCCATCACACACCAAATCCGACTCCATAGGTTCCGCGGGTCCGATGTTGACACGAGAAGAAAAAGTCGACGAACGTTTACGCCACATGAATGAGACGTTCCTTGCGGGCTTGGAGGGGCTTGGTGGTAGCCGGAGAAGAGGCAGTATAGGTGGAGAAGAGGCAGGCGCAAGCCCTATTTTGAGCGTGAGTGGACATGGTGAAGGAGGGAACAGAGGTTCGCGGCCCACGGGGATCTGGCGAGAAACGTCAAGACCGAGACTTGGCTCGTTACGCAGCATAGGTGCCAATGACGTGGCTTCGAGTGGCGGGTCTGCAGAAGTGATGGGGAAGTTGGAGCTCGATGAAGAACCTCAGGCACGAAGATAAGGTTCCATCGTCCTCGTTATATATTTTTCACGCATTTTATAGCCATTTACTTCATTATCTATCGTCATGCATACCCGAACTCTCGTCTTTATCATATGCATAAGTTCTATACGCAAGGTTGATTGGGTCTACAAATGACACGTATTCATGAGTATGTGGTCTTAGACAACACATCAATTTTTCGGACCTACTAGACGGTCTAGATGGTAAACGCACAGAGTACAAATAATCTTGCTGCTCAAGGCTACTTGACTTTGAGCTACTTCTGTTCATCTTTGCATTCGATGATGGCTTGGAATTGGTCGCAGAAATTCCGTTCCTCTTGTCCATTGGGCGCGCATCACCAAATCTAGAATAGTTAGCACTGTTCTAGTTTTTCTGGACCCAATCCCAATGTGTTTGATTGAAGCATGGAAATAGAAATCGAGCTAGTGGCGTACGAATGATGAGAAGTTGCAACGATCATTTTCACAATCGCCTACCTTCGCCCACTCAATTTTACCGGGCACGTAGCCGGGCATCAAATCTCCTTTCCTTTGACATATCATGATCTCAACGGTATGATAGATACACCGGGTACTTGAAAAATGCATTGCTATGTTCGGTCAAAGACAAAACGGAAGCAAATGCACTTCGAACACATGGGAAAGTACTCTCAGGGCCAAGCGCGGCCTGGGGGCTGTAGATGCTGAGTCCGATCAGTGAAGCACAGAATGACGTAGGGATTTCGCGAGTGTTGCTTCTTTGAGCACGAACTGGCGAAGGATATAAAGTTAACGGAACGTTGGTGAGATGAGGAACACGATAAGTGGGTATGCCACGCTGCAGCCACAGCGAGGTAAAGATGAACAGGGTGTCATGTATTCCTGCATAATGGGCTCAACAGCAGATAAAGCAAATCTTAGTTCTACCCCGATCAGTGAATTAGCTTCGCTGACAATCCGTGCCTCTGTTAGATTGCACGTTTCAAACAAGTGGATTGTCGAAGTACACAAACCTCTACGGAATTGCAGTTAGCTGGAGGTGCTTCCTAGATGTAACAATGACTTACAGCACCTTAAATTCGTCGTCGAACTCTATATTTTACTTTGTCCGATAGTAGCTGCATTGATACGAGCCGGCTATGATAGTCAAAGCATGAATAATCACCAGATGCTTTTTGATACTACTTTAACAGCGAGAGTCCTCAGGCCTAGGATGTCGTGGCAGACAAAAAATTGTGCTGCAACACAGCACAGTACTAGTTATTAGATTCGTTACCGTTTGTCCAAAAATCTAGATGTGAGCTCGACACACCTTCTTGCTGCAACCGTCGGCTTGATGCCAACGTCCTCTACAAACGACCAGAATTTACGATTTGAACGAGTGCGTGCTTGTGAGAGTTACATCAACATCCTCGCCGTTCGTAGTGGCCCGTCCAAGGCATATTGATTAAGAAAATTAAAGGAATGTGCTGAGTAGGGCCCGAACTTCTGAATCACGAACCACATCGGTACCAATAGGCAATAATAGCCCGATGGGGCCCAGGTTATTTCCTGATCTTATTCTAATGACTTGACGCTGCCTCAATGTACTCTGATCAGGGCCGGATGCACCGTTCGTTTGAATGACCGTCCACCAAGCTGCATCAATCATCAACCGAGAAACTAGTATGGCCTCGTCATCCAGAAAAGCTCGAAGCTTGTCGCCCTTATGGACCCGGAGGTCTCTCGGTCTTTGAAACCTACCGTACTCTCAAAAAATGCGCTACCCTCCTAGCAAATTTTACTACCATCGGCGAGTCAGGTCATTAATTCTCTTGTTGAAACAAATCATTCAAGTGTCAATCTACAATAGTACTTAATACTTGAAGCAAGTCGGTGCGCCAAGCCCTATTGTTTGATGCCACAGAACATTTTTCCGGCTATAGACGCGCTCAAATACATACAAGAGAACTTAATCAGCATCATCTTCGGCATGAACACTGTTATCCCAGATATATATCTGTCTCACTTTGGCTACTGCTGATGTCGGACAACTTGTGGATTACACCATGTTGTAGCCGGACTTGCCAGGCTGTCGTGGGCACATTTTGTACAGCGAGAAAAAGCCCGTTTCTTGTGTAACGTGGTCACTGTTTTAGATCGTTAGACATATGCATCGGCGATTTAAAGATACGACTTTCCGTTGCCCTCTAACGGCGCAGGCTCAACGGGTTTTGATCACAGTGCTATTTCATGGAGGAGCTGTACGTCATCAAAGCATCTTGCCACAAGTCCGAAGTCCTGACGAGGTATGTTTGGCAAGGGAATTCGGTACCGGTTATCATAACACATTCGTTTTGATTGATATGCTTGATTGACCGGTCACTCAAGTCACTCACTTGGTGATTGCGCTGATGGGCAGTCAAGGGTCCAGGACTAGGACCTTTGTCGGCGCCGGCTTTTACTCAAACGCCTTGATCTTCTATATTATATGCAATGACTCGTCCCAGCTTTTTCTCTCGGTGTTGTTGAAGATAAGAGCTGATTTGTAAACCCTGGACTATGGCGTGTTCGCCATAGAGATGGTCCCGAATTTTCTCTTGCGATGGGGCTGTGAGTCGGACGTAGAGTGCTGCCGTGTTATTATAACAAATAGACAACGTAGTCGACAACGAAAGAAAAATCGACACAGGCAGAGACCACGCATACCTTGTGAGGTGAATATTTGAATGCCTATGATCAAAAATTCCATTATGTTACAGTTTATATCTGCTGAGCGGTGTTGGGTGGTGTCTAAGGCTTCTGAAGTTATAGATAGATTCATCAAGACAGCCGTTACAATGTAGATAATAAAATGTGGCAGAAGTTGGACAGGTGTGCCAGTCAGCTAAACATGCGCTGGCGTGCAAGGCTCGACCGTCACAGACATTAGCCAGCCAGACCCAGGTGCGTAGCGGCCCTTCTGGCTTTGAGAATAGAGGATGATTTCCGACCCCTCAGGCCTCGTATATGTGAGGGTGCGCCTACAGCTCTCGTTCCGGCAGATGAAGCTGCTTTGGTTTGGCGCGCTGGGGGGGCGGGAGACAACATGCTTCCATGAGCGCACACACATGCAGTTTGAGCATTGGTAGGGCAGGTTGTTCCCGAACGGGCGGGTGAAGTCTTGGAAGAACGTATATGTTGAAGTGGTCATCGAGGCGGTAGCGGTTGGGACATGCTTCACTCCCTGATGGTACTCCACCATGGTAGGCTGACGCCGGCGGAAGGCAGTTGGGCTGTGCATGTGTATAATGGATGAATGCATTGCGAGGCGAGGGCATGCCTTAAGGAGGTCGAAAATGACTTCCTGCACCTCGAATCCTTCAATGAGTACGCGTCGGACGTAGGTGGTGACAAGCGGTATGGTCAGGCATGCGTGAAACAACTTAGCTCCAAAAGCGAACGCATGCTCCACCTGATACCTGTAAAAAATACCGTTATCGAGGGGTAACGCCAGCACGGCACAGGAAAGTTACTCACTGCTTCACACAGGTTTTCAAAAGCTGGAATGAGTCCGGCACCCGTACGGTGTGCCCACAAATCAACATCCAAAGGGTAGCTCCCCTAACATAATCCTCAATCCCACCGACAAAAAGTCCTGCAAAGAACTGCAAAGGATTACACGCCATAAAGAAGGGGAGGTATCCAACTCACATCGTCCACGGAGTATGCGACGGGATCTCCTGGTATTGCGAGTCTATTCTTCCCTTTTCCCACAAACTCATCATCCTCAAATCCACCCCATATGTCGCCCCGGTCGGTCTCCGAATGAGTGTAGATGAAAATTTCAACACGCTCGTATTCCAGGTGTTTCAGGCGGTCTACGAGTGCTTTCATGGACTCAACGTGCCGGTCAGCTTTTGCATCTGTCCCAATATCAAATATAATCTCATGAAATTGCAAGGCATCGCTGGGCCTATACGGTCGTAGCTTATGTTGCATTGCGGCCGCAGGTGATCCGGCAGGGTCGAGGGTGGTGAGGATGAAGTGCAGGACAAGGATGGGGTTGCTACATATCTGCGACCGACTGGCCATTTCTATATGACCATGAATAGTAGCGGGGACCTTCAGCACCGGGGCTCCATCACCGCCCTCAAATCCCTAATTAAAGTCAAATAGATATATCTTCAAGAAATAAAGAAAAAGCTTACAAAATATGGCATCATGGGACCACCCCTGGAACCCTTTCCACGCATCTCATGGCATCCAGGGCACACGAAGTGAACATCGGGGTCTTTGATACGCTCTTGGAACTCCGCTGGAACAACGACACACTTTATACAGACTGCGCGTGGGCATATGGAGCATTCATACAGAGAGCCTCCATCCCAGCAAAAAACGCAGAACTTATCCAATTTTGTGAGCTGCACATTAAGAAGAGGACCGAGGTTTGTAAACTTACGATGTTATGGTACAAAGGCTTCAGCACGGCCTTCTCACCCAATGGTAAAGCTCCCTTAGATTGTACGGTTTTGAGAACCTGAATACCACCGTGGCCCGTAAGCTTCTTGAACTTTGGTAGTACACCACGCTTGGCAGACCCTCCTGTTGTCTTTTTGCAAGTCTGCTTTGTCCGTGCCATAGCGATGGGTGAACAAAGGGTAAAGTGAAAGCCGGAGAAGACTCAGAATTTACATAACATCGATTCGACGTCCGCTCTCCAATACATGAGGCTACAAGTTCCAAATAAGAACATTTGGCGCCCACACACTCCCACCATGATATCGATAAGCCTCAAGTGACCGTAATCAAGTTTATATTTCAAAAGCCACATTTAGACCTTGTCTAGACGTCTGACATATTACTGCAGTGGCGCGGTGGCTAATACATCCATGTTCCATATCTCTAGGGGTTGACGTCATGTTGCGCTGCCGTGCTACCTAGGCTGCCGTTCAGGCGTGCGTAGGCATGCAGATGTCCACAATGCCACACAGCACTACTCTGCAATGAGCAAAGTTCCATAGTAAACGAATGACTTACCCTGTGTGATGGGTCAGTACTAAGCATCTTGAGCGCCTCAACAGCATTTAGCTTGGGAGGACGATGAAGGAATGAAAATCTTGTAAGTGTAAGGCTGCTGCATGATGCGACATGCGCGAGTATCAACATTCGGACAACCGGTGGTGAGTTCTTTGAGGAGCAGGGTTGCCTCGTTATGTCGATGTGCATCGAAAAGGGCAGCAGATGGCATGCGAGGCGGCAGTAAGGTGCCTTGATTAAGAGCAGAAAATGAGTGGTTTGCGAATCTTGTCGGCGTACATCGATGCAACATCAAATGCTGCCCTCGCATCCGGAATATCGCCTTTCCCGCAGAGGGCATTCCCTTGGAGACATAGCCTGAGAAGTGATACCAGTGAGAACGTTCCTTTCACCGCTGTAGGCCAGGAGTAGGTCGCGCCGCTGATGGGCGATGTTTAGAAATTTCATCTAGACGGCGACGGGGCTCACGTTCCGAATATGCGAGGACATGTAGGAAATGGCCAGTCTGTGTGAAGTCCGCACAGACTCCGCACCAAAGTGTTTGGGTGCAGGGTGGGGGACGGGTGTGGGGGTGTTTGGTCGGCAATGGCGCCAGAGTCCTGTTGGAAATTGAACCGCTCCCTACAGATTACCGCAGGGGTGGGCTTACAGGCCATCCCATTGAACAAGCTTAAAGCCCATTCCAAGGAGCTCATCCAGCTCATACACCCTCCGCTCTCCCAGCTCTACCCTTGAGCCCTTCCAACCGCCCTCTGCACCTCCCAAATCCTGTCGGTTGAGGGATCCATACACTCGATCACCATCAGCCACAACCTGCTTTCTAAGGGCAAGGACGTTTGATTTGTATGGGGCGTGCGCGCGCCTTTGCCTCGCCTTATACCTCCGCTCTGCACGGGCAGCACGGCGGCGGTCGGCCTTCCCATCTGGCTGGCTGGTGCAGGATCCCCCTTGCTCCGATAGCTGCTCTGCAGCAGAGCCGGATGTCATGTGGGTGGCTACAACCCTCCCGTCCGTTGGTTTGCTGATGCTGCAGCCAGGGGGATCGACATCCTCCTGTAAAATGGTGCCGTCGTCGCTTTCCAGAATTGGCTGCTCGTCCAATAGGGCATCCATGAGCAGAAAGCTGTGGCCAGTTGCTGGTTTAATGGGGGACCCAGTGGCCAGTGGCCAGTAGGGCGAGAATTCCCGCCCCGAACGCGTTTGACGCACTGGGGCTAAATCAGTACATGAGCTTAGGGCTGTGGGGTCAAAGGCAACGGGCAGGTATGTAGTAGCTAATGCGAAAGCCGTAGGCTTGTAGTTGCACCCCTCGGGAGGAGCCGCTTGTGCATCTGCGCCTTTGGCCAGGCCAGGGTCGGCCCGTGCTACTTGGGGCTTCAGCAAGCTGCTGCCAGTCCCGGTGGGGATGTATATGGATGGGAGCAGGGACATGAATTGCTCACCGCTATTGTTCCAGCCCGCCACTCGTAGCATGCGGGGTGTAAGCAGGTGGGGGAGGTTGTTGAGGATTTCAAGTTAGGTTGAATCGCAGTTGAAGCGTTCGAAGCCGGTTTACCATTTGCAATTCTTATAACGTAATGTCCAGAACGGGATCACCTGACGCCACGTTTGTCGACTTCGGAGATGGTTCAGAATTCGAAGATGGGATAACACTTGATGACTACGGATACGGATCTGACAGCGATCTTGAAGATGAAGAAGAGGTCAAAGCTAATCCTACGCCTCCCAGCGATGTGACTACCGTCCTTAAAGGTAAGTGATTCAAGACAATATTAGCAACGTAAATTTTCATACCTTGTGCAAGGAAACATTAGTGAATCAGACGACGACTTACTGGTTGTGGCAGATACTATGTGCGAAAGCGATGCCTTGGCTGGCCCACCACAAGCAGAAGCGCTTATCGCTCCTACTCCAATTCAATATAAACCACAAGTTTTCAACTACCGGAAGATACTCGTGCGAGACGCGGCATTCAGGACGTAAGTTACATGTCATCGCAGTTGTGGCGAGCCTTTAATTTCGTATATATAGATTGAAGGCGCTCTTGCCGTATCTGTATACGGACGATATCTCCTTCTCCCCACTCAAGTCGCAGGAACCGCCCAAGGCTGATGCGGAGACCCCAAACTCTAGCACCTCGTGGCCTTGCTCACCGAAGTCGATGTATCGCTTAGCCTCCAAGGTTCGAGTAAATTTGCCTGGTGCTCTCCATATATCCTAATGCACAATTGTCAGGTTCGACTCGACGGCCTTCGCGACAAAGCTTTCTGTGCAATACGAAGTAGTTTGGATGCGGGAAGTGCTCTCCAAGAACTTTCTTCATCATTTACATCCAAGTCAGCCTTTTCTTAATCATGGCATAGCACAGTGCTAACCAGCTTCGCGTGTCAGGCATCCCGCAATCCTGCAAATGAATGTAGAAGCTCTACTCCAGCATATCGCGTCCGTTCCTGTCATCCAGAATATCCCTTCACTGCTCAAGAGGATCACCGACTCACAATTGCCCCATGGAGCGGATATCATCATTAATTTGTACCAGAAATTTCTGCTGCAGTACCGTCCTCGGGCGCTTGCACTTGCGAATGCACCGATTGGGAGCACATCGCCTCCTTAGAGGACTGATAGCGTCTTGAATGCACCGATTGGGAGCACGCCGCCTCCTCAGAGGACTAATGGTGCCTTGAAAGCCAATAGAGATTTTAGAAAAAAATATTATTGATTGCATTGTATGTATTGTGTCTATGAACATCGCTGTCGATCTTGCTGTCGCAATAGATTGATTTATGGAGAATAATGATTGTACGTACATCCAGCCAGTTAAACACAAGAAGGATCGCCTTCCTGAAAGATCGTTACCATCGATGGACTCATTGTCTGAGTGAGCCTGCTCGATCGCATCCGATTGTATACCGGTGACCAGCTCGCATTGACCTGGTTGACGCAAGTTAGAAAACATCAACACTTCAAAACAGACCCTACTATTTGTATCATACCTTTTCCCCCTTATCTCGCACACCGCACAAGACAGTTCATAGTGACACGGAGTCTGTGATTTGTCTGCATAGACCTTACGCGGACCGGCCAAATCCCGCATTTTCTGGCTTAATGCCAAGTGCGCTGTCACACGCCTACTGCGGTGTCAGAAAAATTGGCCATGGCAAGGGGTAAAGCGGTCCCCCCTGCCTACTTTCAAATCACGTGACCGATTCACATGGTTCAACGCATTAACAATAAACTCAAGTAGATATACACATCAATCGCGGAAGCACATCCCTCACCTTCCACCCAGCAGTAAGTGCACTCGTGACATCCAACGCAAGCCTGCAACTTTGTTCCCAATCCATTGTCTGGTGCACATCTTCTGTATCCTCATCCGATGGCTCACGACGGCATTTCGCAGGACAATTTAGAAGTGCCATTCCCGCGACTTGTTTCGACAACGAAAGGGAAGGCAGGCGGGATGCAAGGTGGAGCTCTCGGTAGACCGTAGTCGGCGACGGACCCTTGGTCTGCGCAGAGATGGAGTGAGGCGGAGACAAGCCAATTGCACTCGAAGCCATATCCTGCACGACGGATGCCGACTGCTCTTTAAGCTGAGACAGCCACCTTGATGATTTTGGTACATAGGAGGGATCAACTAAATCTGGACGAGTTAGACGCGGTTTCTCAGCTATTTCTCGTCATTTGTGTCATTCTGCTGAGCGCAGGTTGAGGGATTTTTCTGATCTGACGAAGGAAGGCCGTGGAGTCTTGGAGAGCGAGGCGAGGCTAATAGTTGAAGCGTTACCCGACAGCAGAGGTATCGTTGGAGCAGGTGCGATGGTATGGGACGAAGTTAAAGCAGCGAGGATGGAGGTAGAGGATGTTGCAAGGGGTTCATGGCCTCTGGGGTGAGGATTGACCTCTAGCTGAGGAGGGGATGCAAGCAGCGGGGCTGGCTGACTGGGTGCGAGGTTTCCAGGTAGGATTGCAGAGGGACGCTGCACATGCTCGTGAGGTGGTGGCATCGCTTGTCGGTCGTATCAAGAAATAGATCTGGCGATGGAGCCCTAGACAGCCTGCGGTACAGATGTGCCGCGTCATGAGGGCCATTAATGAATTCCTGTCTTTCTACACCCGAAGTCAGAGGCGAGAGAGGTGACTTGAACTATGCCGCTACCCTCTGCCTCACGAACGTCACTGATATGTTCCCCAATCTGCGGCATTTTCCTCTATGGCCGTCACTATGCTGGCTCTGAACCAGAGGGAGAGATGGATGAGGAAAAAACTTTTGACTGGAAAGGCTCTTGAATGGCTGAGAGCGCTGAGGTGGTGGGGCATCTGATGATGCTTAGGAAAACACGTCTTTCCGGGATGTTTCAACACCCTGTTGATTGTACTCTGGACCTGCATCTTCGCACATCCAAATCGAAACGCTCGGCACTTCAGAGGGCTTCAAGGGATTACCATCGAGTGGTTCAGGTGGCGATAACGGCTCCACCTCGACCATGGCTATATCATCTAGCGATACGAATGGAGTTTGGCCAAATGGGCCGATATCTATGAAAAAGGAACGGGCGAGGAGCTCCTGTGGAGTCTGGGCATCAGCCTCCAACGTTGCAGCCCCAATGGCCTGTTCTTGCACAGGATCCAGCTTTTCGGCACCGATGATCTGCGCCTCGCCTCCTCATATATGCGACGGACTCGACGACAGCCAGCTCTTAATTGACTCTTCGGTGTTGTAACCACCAGAAAATAGCAGACGCGCAGTCCTGACACGTGCATCAGACCCATTGTCTCGAGTCATCCCAGTCTTCCACGTAGTGCTTCACCTGCATGTGGGCTCTGGTCGTCCTTTTGGCTGTCTCTGGCGCAGAATCGTTCTGGAACGATAGCGGGGATGAGCCTTCTTGCTCAGAACGTAAATTTGGTAGATGCCCGAGCGCTCGATCAACGTTTCCCTTCTCTTTTGGCCCTAATCACCCTTGAAGCACCTTCAACCGTCGTCTCATACCCCCATCGTCTACCCACTTCTGTGCTTCGAGTTCAGCAGAATCGCCCACAAGACTTTTCATTGCCGGATATGTACAGACGAGATAGGGGAGGCGAGATCGAGGATGCTGGGATGCTCAATTCCTAACGAGCCGAGTGTGTTTGGGATTGGATCGCCAGTTATAAATGGGCGGTTCCATGCACTCCTTAAGGATGGCGCTCATCGCAGTCCAATCGAGACTGCTGAGAGCGGGCACGAGGGTATTGGGAATCACCTGACGTGGGCGGAAGAGGGAAACAAGGTTGAGCAGTTCTGGTAGGGGAGGATGTCGGTCGAGAGGTACGAACTATAGGAATGCAAACATCAGTGTCTTGATAATGGAGAGGAGCGGACGAATGAGGAGAAGTTGCGTGATACTGACCAGGCGATCAACGTCCTTCCCCATCGCAAGACATCTTCGTACATCCGCACAGTAGCCCTCCCACTATGCGCATCCCATGGTCGCAGGATTGACGCACACGACTTTCTTTCCCTCGATGCTCCGTGGCGCTCAGCCAATATTCTTGAAGTCGAAGCTGGTTCGAGTGACAGGTTTTTTGCACATACGTAAACCATCACAGATAAGTTAATGAACGTAAATCACAATACGCCATTGGTGAGCGAAGTCGATTAATAGAAGATGGAATACATACCTAGGTACTTGTACGAAGCTGCACCGCTCATACCGTTCGCAAGCATGAAAGCAGGTACTCGTCGCGTCGTGTGTGATGGGAGTACGGAGAAATGGGTCTGATATATGCGTGTAGACTGCGACGTCTCGTTTATCGGATTACCGGACACCGGCGATCAGTACGGCGATCATCTATTGCAAACCAGACGCTTACCATTTCAAACTCCGCGTGAAGGAAAACCCTACTCTGCTTCATTCAACGACGTCGAAAGGTTAGATTCCTTGAGCAGCTTCGCTCTGATACACAGCAATATCTGTCATCATACTCCCTCGTTGCTGGGCTTGACTCTTGAGAATCTCGTTGAGTGTCTCTCGTTCTATCGCGTGAGTGTCGGGTGGAAGCGAGAGGGTATACTCGTATATTAAGTGGGTCTGAACCCAATGACGCATCAGTGTCAACTCCATTCGGCCGCCGTCATGTCCGTTGTGATTGACACGTTCCAGCATCCCGTTGAAGCGCTCGAACGCGAACAACCACCATGAATACACAGGTCCATAAGCCTTGATCACGTCCGCGATATGCATTGATGCATGGTGATTGATCGTGAGATGGATGTTGAGCTCGAGGCAACGAAGGCAGTACTGGGACAAAAAAGACTGTCCAATGCGTGCTTGGGACATCGATATTGATCGAGTTGCGAGAAGACGGACGGCTGCACATAGAAGGAACACGGCATCATAGATGCGCCGGCAGTTGCGTGAAAATTCCGGTGCTTGAGTATTGGGTGGCTGAGGGGGCTCCGTGTCCGGAATATCGTCGTTCTCATCCTTCCAGGACCACCATAGTAGTACGGGTGTGATTGTCAGTAGTCTTCTCCACTCGTCTGCTTTCTTTAGCGATTGGTTCTCGCCGAGCTGCCAAAAAATGTACTTAGTGCCAATCCAATTTGAGGAACGTAAACCAACATACATTCTTGGGAAGACGTGTGATATGACTCGGCCATTTAAAGCTGTTGATAAGGTTCTCGAAGCGCTGCTTCGGCGAGTTTCTACCTCCAGCACCGGAGAACATATAACCTGCAAATAAAACACGCATGAATAGATGGGCAATGATGCCTTGTATCTTCGTCAGCTTTGCTCGTCAACAAGTTAACATCACGTACCCAGAAATATGCAATGCATGAAGTCGAGCGCGGTCTTCTTTGAGGGAAACCAGCCAGCGATGAGGTTAAGTGTGCTCCAGCGAACTCCGTGATCATCGAGAATAGCCTTCTGCCGGATAGGATTGGCATGTCGTGAATAGAATGATTGTCGGAGAAGATGATCATTATCTGTCGCTGTCCAGCCTGCAATGACATCGATACCTGTGAATCCCGCATGAAAAAGGTACTACTGTAGTCATAGCCTTCCCGTGTGTTGATTTTCGTGATGTCGGTATCACAATAGAGACATGGGTGCATGTCGTGCGAGTGGCCTGCTGTTCCCGACAACTTGTGGGCAGCTGGCATGTCACAATCAAGGATCTGATTGTCTGCGTAGACGTTAGCTGGTTCATCCTCGTCAATAATGTCCATTTTGACGCCTGGAGTTATATGGCTGATAAAAAATAAATAAATAAGCGAAATCTATCGAAGTTACCGTTTTGAAGGAGCATCATCCTCCTTCGTTGATGGTTCAAGGCAGTGATTGATCTGCTGGACGTTAGGCTCTTTCGGTCCTGGTAAAACGGCAGCGCAGATGACGTTTATCTGAAGGAAGCGCTGGTCCCGAGGCAGATCATTGATCGCAAAGTATATTGCTCCGGTTGAATGTGGTCGGTTCTCGAGGATTCCCATCCTGATGATGAACATATTAGCCGAGTATATGCGCATAATCGAAGCCTACCAGTCCGTATTCATAGTCAGATGTAAGCCATAACGACGCTCCGTAAGTTTCTTCACCATCCTTCCCTCCATTGCTCGGTCTCGCACAGCTCCGAACTCACCAACCTCACGTAGGATGTTAGTCTCGAGGTCATGCCGCTGTGTCCCATGATGGATGTCCGTCATAACGAAATCTTCATCGGTGTTCTGTCCAGGTTGATCCTGCCGACTGTCGCGGATCGACTGTGCGAATCCTGGACGCATGAACATGCGCCGTAAACTGCCAATGACGGACACCTGCGGATTGATTTTTGTAGCGGTGCGGACCATCTTACCTTTTGCATCTCTGCGCTCAGTGTAGATGACACCATTACAGGCTGGAACGGAGCATTCCGCAGAAAGAAGCTGCTTGAGTTGTGAAGGCGAGTGATGTTTCCAACACTCAGGGCATATCGCATACTGAGTAATCCATTGGTCGGGGTCAATTCCAAGGTGCCGTTTTGCGCTGGCCAATGCTCGAACAGGTCGTGGAGATGTGGGGAGTACATTCGCGATCAGGAGCATGTTGAGACTATGATTCAGTTGATTTGTCGCCTGAATCCACGAGAGGTGGCCATAAATGTTGGCCATGACAGCTGTAAGGTATGCATATCGAATTTCGCCGTTTTCCTTGAATGCAACAGGCACGAGGGATGGCGCATCAGCCTCGTCCTGATCGACTCCGGGCTCGCGAACATCAGGCAGTGCAGCCGGCCGAAAATTCTGATCAGGTGGATGCGGCTGAAGTTGTCGACGTCGAAGGAGGGGTAATTCTTGGTTAATATCCGGTAGGGGGTCCTGCAGCTCCTGCTCAGGGTGATACTCATGATCAAAATCAAAGTTAGCATTGTCTTGAGGCTGTGAGTTCATTCGAGCTAGGGGAAGCGTGTTTCTGGCTTGCTCGCGCAAGTCTCTGTTCTGAGTTCTTCGCATAGATACATCCTGCGAGTTTGACTGTAGCGGCTGCACGGAAGGACCTGGTATGGCATTTGTCTGCAAACCGAGAGGTTGGCGACTCGGAGTCGAAGTAGTTGGCTTTGGTGCATGTCCTTGAATTTTCGATCCTGGATTGTACTTCTTCGTGTGCTTGGCAATTACCTGCCGAGTCTGATATACAAATCTGTTTCGATGGTGCGCGCATTGACTACAAGCACACGGAAAGCGCAGTTCGTCTGGCATGATGGTCGTCGTGCTTGTCGACAGGGCTGGAGGTGACCAGTTAGCTGGGAGATGGGACGTAGGACTTAGCAAAAATCTGATCAGTCGACGTCATTGCAAGTCGCGTGCACCGTATAACATTACTTCGAATTCCACGTGTATGGAAAGTCAGGCCTAGGCGCAAAGTCGTCTATCATATAGATTGCAATCTGACGATGGGTAGCACAGCGTAGTTTGACACTCCGATAAACTATCACAACGGGTAATTTAGGTTCGGGGGAATGCGTGGAAATCTATGGAAATTGTGAAATTTCACCGAATTTCACCTCAGTAGTAATGCGCTGTTTTACGCTGTGAATGAGAAGGGTGAGATCTTGAGATATGAGGCACACAGAACACAGTAAGGAGTAGAACATGCTCGTGACTGGACCGGGTTCGCAGGTTTACTTCATACGTTATTCCAAACACTTTACCAAAGCAAAGCATACCTTACTGAACCTCGACCCACGTCGCTTCCAGCCTTTGGTCAATTGGATATTATCCCTCCATCTTAACTTTCAGGGCGACTCTGCATTTTCCAGCAAGTTTCTTTCTTGTCATCAGCCCTGTTGTGCTCATTGTCTTGCAGTGACGAAAGCTCTTAACGCTATCGTTGTGTTTATCGACTCTGTCTGTGTCTGGTTCGATGGCGTATTTGAGAAATATGCTTCGATTGTCTTCGACAACGCGGACTCCAACCATGCGGAGGCATTTGCTTGATACGGAGATGCCACATTTGTGCGTCTCATCTTTTGATAGGGATAAAGACTTCGATATACAATGCCCTGTGTCTGATAGCCAAGTATCAATGGAGACCCATATCCCTCTGTGAATGCTCTCCTCGCGGCATGCGCAGAGAGTCCAGATTCAGGTATTTCCCCTCAAGTCGTCTTTCCGATATGGCGCTCAGTTTCTATTCCTTTTCAGACAAGAGTTTTCTCGTACAATCGATCATCGATAATCTGCCCAAATGGAAGAATGAACGATTTTCTCCACCTAGAGCTTCACAGTCCCGGGCGTGTAATAACACATTACCGGAATTCTCTTTCTTACGTTCATCTTCAGTATGACAAATTTAAAGTCGGCTTGACCAGTAGGCTTCGCAATTTATATATATCTGAAGTTTAAACTGAGACCTGACAGTGCTGCTCTGGTTATGGGTGTCTATTTATAGCCCTGAAGCTTGTCCTGTTCGTCCTCATGCCATGGCTCTGCTGTTTGTGACCCATTCATTTCACTCTTGAGCATGTCAGAATTGAGCGACAATCCGGAGCTTCAAAAGCTGTGCTTCGTCTGCTTTCCTCGGTTCATCTGCCGCCTTCGCTTACGCATATCGTCCTGGAGAAGCTGGTTTCGGCCATTCGATCATCTGAGGTATATTCATTTACCTAAATAAATAAGGTATTTATCTGGAATTTTTCTAGTCATGGCGAATTCGATTGCATGCATTGCCTGCCTTGGTCATTTTCTTCTATCGGAAGCTCTTGACGATTTCATCTAACGGCGTGCTCAAAATCATGGATGTATTACTCGATTGTATGGTGGATCTTTGGTGACGGTTCGATTCGCCGTCATGCCGCATACATGTTTCATAGTCCGCTGTATTTATCGTTGTATATACCAGACCGCACACAACAATAATATGAATCATGTGTCACAGTGGGTGTCCAGGTTTGTCCGAGTTGATCACGCACGTTGCCGAAACCTTCGTGCTCGCTGTGAGCAACAGGGAGCTCGACTACTGCGGTATTTGACCAATTGGTCTCGTTGTTTTTTCAATGTTCTATGATACTTACGTCCTGTTTATTTGTTTGCAAAACTTTCTTGTCTAAAACTCATGTCCGCTCGCTATAACTCTCTTACTACTTTCTATCATCTTCGTCAATACAGTCCTGGCGAGACACGCAACAGATCCGCCGCCCATCTCGACAACGATTTGTGAGAAGCATCGAGAGGAAGACTTGATGGAGGGATATCAACAGACATGATAGTCATGCTCAGAAGACGAGAAGGTAGAGAGGATGGTCGGTGCTTGAAGAAGGGGTCCAAGAGTGTCGATCCACGAGGGAAGAATTCGAGACCTCCCTAGCAGACGGTATGAATGATTAACGCATCCCTGACGGTAAATAATCGTCGTACCTCAATGTCGCAACTGATGTCGCCGACTACTCCAAAACGTGCTCGCCCTACTTCGGCCGCATGGGTGAGAGCAGTGGCTAGTTGTTCGTTCATCATAAGTCGTGGGAAAGACGGGAGCCAGCCAACGTCATTCAGGAAGAGCATGAGGTATGATGCAACCTACTGAGGGGGAAATATGGGAGAAAAGATACTAAACCACTACAAGAAGCTTGCCTTGGTATCGAAGTCCGAGTGGTACATGGCTAGGTTCTTGTGATAATCATCACGGGAATATTGACCACCATCGGAGCGAGTGAGGTAGTCTTTAAAGAGCGCGTGTACGAGATATATCTACCAAAATATTAATGATCTTACTATCGTATGTGGCAGGAAATAACGCCTTATGAAGGTCAGTACCTAGTTGGGTGCGACTTGAGCTTACATCTAGACAGAGAAAGACAATCCATACCAGGATTACTGACGAGTGCAGGCAGGTCCTTCACATCCACATCCACAATCGGGAGCTCGTCTAGAATGGAAAGACATCCTTGTGTCACATTCCCGCTTCTATCAACGCGGGTCGTCAATACATGATCAGGGTCTTGAACAAGTACGTACCTTGTGAGCTCGATGAAAAACGGTCCTAATGCCTTAGGCATCCTATTGTCTGTGATGTTCTGGCCAATGCTTCAGAGTGCAGAGCGAAGCGATGGAATCGATTGGAATCGATGGATATGTGTGTGGACGAGGCGCGTACTACCAGTGGCGATTGAGGTTTAGGGTTAACGATGCTAGGGTTAGGATTACACGAAGCAGCGGTCGTATAACAGCACTCACAAGGAAAGGAGAAGCAACTCCAAGTTCGAGATGCACATGAGCAAGTACAGACAAAGATTCGAGAACACCAGCAACTATTTGATGGTGAGCCGTTGCCAATAGTTTTGAGCCGCTGCTTACCTCCTGCGAACCACCCAAACCCAACTGTTCTTTTGCCGTCATTGCCCACAAGAAGTTCATAACCAATCAACCGAGGCAAAGATGGATTCTCATGTGAACCAAGGAAGCGGGAGAGCAATTCCATATTGTAGGGCTGACCCTTCGTGGTATGAGAAAAAATTAGATGGGTGCGGGGTGTGGAAGGACCTGAACGCAAACCCGGCGCAGAAACAGGAGATGTGACCAGCTCATTGAGTGGTGTCTCCTTGATTCCTAGCACAATATGTACCGGTTCCAGCGTCAGGTATAATTTAGTGCCAGCCTGAAATAGAACATTGTCAATCACCGCCCAGCTCGATGTACGAATGGTGATATCCTACCTTGATAATATTGGTCAACGGGAAACACTCGACGGTCGCAGTCCTGAATGAGAACGTTGACGTCGAGGTGCTGAACAAGTTGGGCAACTTCATCAGGCGTAACGGGGCAGCGACACTCCCATATCCTTGATGGATCTTCTTGTCATATGCCCACTGTGACTTTTGCATGTTCAGACGACGCCGTAGCAGGTGTCCTGCGAGCTGGCAGAGAGTAAGTACGCTTGGCAAGTGGCCTGGGCAGATACTGTGGCGAGCGTCAGAGGCTCGCGATGATCATGGCGTCAGTGAGTGAGATGGGACACCGCTCGATGGGGAAGATGGATGAGAAAACAACGAAGGAGATAAGGAAACGGAGAGATATGCAGTGAGTTAGTGCAGGGTTTCTAAGATCCACCCGTGCAGAGCCGAGTAGGCGTCTCGGATTCCGATCGTAATTGAGGGACGTTTTTTTTTTAACCCAATAATCCCGAAGCATTGATGATCGGAAAACTCGCAAACCTCAAGGAATTCTGTTCTCATCGTAGAATATATCATGTTCATACCAGGCCACAGTAGAGCAACTCGGCGTCTGCCAAGCAGCATACGTCAGTACCTGCAACCAAAGGGGGGTCAATAAACAAGAGGGGCCCGCGCCCCCTGCATGCTAAGGGCGTGGGTGTGGAGGAAGGGGCGGTGAAACCACGCTCACTCAGCCTGGGGCAGGGACGGGCCATACCAAGCGTCGTGGGTGGGGGGGGGGGGGGGCGGATGGTGCAGGGGAAGCTCAAGCTAAAAAAAGAGCTGCTCACCGTCGCAGCACCCATCCTGCGCGTCCATTCGAATCAACTGGGGCTTTGGGGCTTGAGGATGCCGACGTGGGAGATGTGAGGTCTAATGGGCGCTCAACAAGTGGGGGGCGTGGGCCATGAGAGAGAGGGCCAGGAGCCACATGTAAGTATCTGCCCGAACGAGCTGGTCCGTGCGTGATGGATTACATCTAAGTTATAGATGTCTCAATTCACAAGAGTCACAAGACCGGTTTGAGTCAAAGCGTGTGATCTCACAGGAACCACGTCACATAATGTCACATTCGCACACGTCCTTAGTATTTGTAGGCAACGTTCTCTACCCATTGCTACCTTGCCACCAACGCTCATCATCGCATGTTCGAGTGCGCGACTCTGAGCTGACATTATCACCCGTGCTTTGAGTCAAGGTTGACCGGCATTTGAGAACAATGTGTTTATTGACTGAGGTGTGAGACGGTGAGCTCCGACAAAATCCACTTTTGACTGCTTGAAGCGGAACAATAGTGTGGGACCCTAACAGGACAAACATCGATCAACATGATGGATTCCCTTGTTGAACCTCCAAAATCAAGTGCGCCATCCTCAACCACATGCCTGCTACACGGTAGGTTTCCCTTCGGGCCATCGTCTATAACCACGACTAACTGGCGTTAGTAAATCAACTCCCACCCCGTACAGACGTCCCAATGGCGTGCCTCGTTGGGGTCCCCATCGCTACACAGACTTGACAGTAAGTTGTATAGACACCCAAATATCACCAAATGCCCACTAGCCCATAGAACCCCTTACCAGATAACGATTCCGCCACAAAGTTCTCCATATCCTCTGACATAACTGGCAGAATCATGGAATTACCTGGGCACCGCATCCACACCTTGGAGTTCCTGCACTGCAACGGATCTCGTGCCATGGGTGGTGATATAAAACTACTGGAAAGGAGAAATGATGGATCCTTAGCACCTCTACGTGGCGCCCAGCTGTTCCCTTCTTCCAGTCACCTTTACTTTATTTCTCCAGATGACCGCATTTACGAGGTACATGTTGCTCATGAAATTGTTTACACCCTCACCTTTCCTCGTCAAATTAATCTAGTTAGGCGCGAAGCCATCACGAATTGAAGTATCTACGAATGGAGGTCGTTTTCTTAGCATATGCTCAAATCCACTCGTAATAAGCGAGCGATACTATACCATAGGGCAGATCGGGTCTGTATTACATAAGCATGACGTTGATGCGCTCAAAAAAAGATTTGATGTGCGGGTTCAGATTTAGACTCGTGACCAGTCCGTCTATGAGGCAAGCCATCGATAGACGTAGTCTCGAACCAGACTCAACTGACATCCCAAATTGGGAACCCTGTCAGTAGAGTCTGGGATCCAACCGGAGGCAATAAGGGGGTTTGGTAGTTAGTAGTCAAATGTGTCACGTCACACTCTTAACGCACGTCCAACGTCTGCCTCGTCGGCGTCGAGCAACCCGTTTTCTCTCTTCATTTGTCTCAAAGCAATACAAATAGGCTGCTGCAATATGTACCCACTTCGTTCACGCCTGGATTCTCTCGACGACATTGAAGCAATCAGTTCTGTTGGGTCCGAGTCCTCCCCTATAACACCTCGTGTCGACTTTCATGACCTCCCACAAGTGCCGTTTCTGGATCTCGAGCTTTCACAGTCCGATGACGACGACTTTTCATATATACCAACTGATGGCCATGATAGACCTCAACGACTCAATGCAGACCAAAAATGCCTCGAGGTGCTTGCATTCATGACTCGTCAACTCTCCCGATTTTCACTCCGCACTCTATTGGAAACATTGTTTTCCTCCGAAGACAGCACAATTAAACATCACGCGAACATATTTCTAGCTGGTGGTGGACCTCATCGATTGATGAATCTATGGTGGGAAAGGATAGGTGCACGAGACAGCCAGTTTCAAGAGTGGGTAGTCGAGAAGGCAGCCGAAATATGTTCGCAGGAATGTAGTTGGCTCACGGACAAGGCGTCTGAAGGCCCATACTACGCAGATGCTCTGTCGCTTCGTGTATCCCCAAAAAATGTGACTGTTGACTTGGTCAAAAAGTTCCGCCTCGATGATCTCAGGATGAAGTACGAGTGTGTCACTCCACGATTGCAAACATTTTTGAGAACCATCATCGGGAAACCTCACGCTAGTAGTACTACCAGTGTTCGTTCCCCTCAAGACGTGAGTACCATAAAATAACCTTGCTCGATGTTGGCTAACAAACATATCAGGGACGGACAATGATTACTAGTATGGTGCTCAACCTACGAAGCCGCCGTGTCAATCTTCACCCAGCAATAACCTGCCTTATAATGTGGGACAGCGGATTCCGAGAGCACAGTGCCTGTAAATCACCATAAAGCTCATGTCAATTGAAAAAAAAAGCAGAAACTCACCTATCTCGGCCCTCCGAACCTAAGCTCGTATAAGGCGTGATGACAAGAGAAACACCCAATTTCTGAACAAGCAGCGGGAGAACCCAGAGCAAAGACTTGCCCTGGCCAGTCGGTGCAATGACACAGACATCCTTCGAGCGTCCGATTACGATGTTGCTGCATTGAATCTGGAAGTCGCGTGGGCAGCAGTCTGCTGGAATGATGGCAGCACCAGTAGCGAGAGCACTCCACTCATCAGGAGTGAGCGGAGAATGGGGGTTTATCGAGACTTCAACCGAAAAGTCGAAAGCACGCTGCCGTTTTTGCCCACGAGAGGACAGGGCATATGCATATGGCTTGTAGGAGGGTGTTTGCGGCTTGACCTCATATCCATTGCGGAAGCGTGGGGTAAGGTTGATAGCATCGATGAGTGGAGAACGTGAATTGAGGGTGCGGACATGTGTATTGACGGAACGGATGGGTGTGGTTGGATTGGCCTCGTCACTGGTGCGAGCGCTTGACGAAGGGCTGCGCGCGCGTTTACGAACAGGAGGCCAGCAGGGTGTCAAATTTTCGTCCATTATGTGTATATGATTGACCTAAAATGAAGGATAGTGGTTGGTTATGAAGAAAAAATAGGTTTGAGCAGAATAAATAAGAGAAATACGTGTCTAACAGGTTGCTCGACGCTGACGAGGCAGACGTTGGACGTGCGTTAAGAGTGTGACGTGACACATTTGACTACTAACTACCAAACCCCCTTATTGCCTCCGGTTGGATCCCAGACTCTACTGACAGGGTTCCCAATTTGGGATGTCAGTTGAGTCTGGTTCGAGACTACGATAGACGGACTGGTAAATCTGGGTTTGAATTTGGATAGTGCGCGCTTTGGAGTCGTCACATGATCTTTAGCCAATCAAATAATGATACTTTTGAAAAACAAATTGACACAACAAATGAAATGACGAAATAATCAATTCTTCATTTTGATGCATCGGCGCAGCTGCACTTATGTATCTGCTCTACAACTTCAATGGATATGAGTACCACATACTTTGGTGACCGACAGTCAATTCGTGATGGCCGCTTCAACCACTTGATTGTTTTGCCGGAGCAATTGTTTATTGTTAATGGTCATCTGCCTTGACAGTTACAACCACTAACAAAGTACAAAAGATTAATAGGCAGAATTCATAAATAGAGCACGTCTCGCAATGCTAGGATGCCCTGCAGCAGTTGGAACGAAAGCTGATCACTGCCAGAGATGATGAGCGATGTTACATAGAACACATGTACGATTGAATAACTTAGCAGACTTATTTAAGCAGTGTCTAAGTCCTAAACGGGGTTTTCCGTCATGTGACGACTCCAAAGCGCGCACTATCCAAATTCAAACCCAGATTTACCAGTCCGTCTATCGATGGCTTGCCTCATAGACGGACTGGTCACGAGTCTAGTTCAGATTATGGAAAACATCTTCAGTGTTGAGGTACTTATACGCCGGTTGTCAGAAACTGGTAGAGAAGCTGAGCAGTGGAGGTGGTATGCCAAGAGCTTAACTCTTGATGGGCACACATTGAAATTGAAGCTGAAGCAGAGCAAAAGACGCAGTAGAACTTGGAAGCCCAAACACACATCACTGAAAATCAAGATGTGCTATAAACCATTGTATCTGCCTTATAATGGTCATGATACCCGCAATCTGGTAAAATATGGCAAGTGGTTAGATAATGTCATATATACCTTTAAACACCTAGCCTCCTTGACCAATTTAAATAATGATCATACATATTTGTTGGACTACCAAGTATGGCTTGTAAGTGAAGAGATTAACATCCTTGTTGCCCAATACACTACCTTATAAATGCACAACAGGGAGTCAGACGTTAAGCAACAGCAACTGAAATATGCAGAAGGTGATTAGCTACTAGCCAATGCTAGCTAATATTGGTAATATATATAACAGAATCTTTGATTCTGCGGAACAAATTTGTGTCTACCCCACATGCATGCTCATCATATAGCTTTAAATACATAGCATTTGTGGCTGATCTACATAATGATTATATGTATATACCAGGACTCTGAGTATGGTACTCTACACATGTATCCCATAGCTCAATGGTATATTGGCACTAGCCTCTATCCTGGTAGCTCATTTGCAATACGACAGTAACAAATGGTTGGCCATGACATCAGGCAAATGACCTGAAAATGATAATTCTTTAGAAAGCTTTATCTGATCTAAAATATCCACAATATGTATCAAAATTGTACCCAAAATGAGAAAGCTTTGAATACCCAGACTTAGTTCGATGGATCGGCCAAATGCAAAGTTGTGACATCTAACTGCAACTGCCTGCCAGTTATCACCGAGATGGTATATATTACAACATCTACCTACCATTGCAAAGGAAGGTTAGGTTGTTGAGAGCGACCATTGCTGCATAGTTGAGGACCAGTGGCAAATTGGCAATGCACTATCATCCCTGGTTGTGATATATAACCTTTGATTGTTTTTGCAATATCTGAATAAATGCTGGTGTCACATAAAAATTTATATGGCCGGACTGCATTGGACCAAAACCACCTAGAGCTCAAGGTTGTCACATCAGGCATTTGACCCAAGTATGACAAAGATTTAGCTAGCTTTATTTTATGTACAATGTTGAAAATATATATCACAATTGCAGATCACATGATAAAGCCATAGATAGGTAGACTACACAGGTGAGATCTCCCAATGCTACAATGTTGACAGTTCTGTGGTGGTACATTGTGATCTACTAGCATACTGGTATACTGTTGTCAAATGTATCTACTCTTACATAGCCAGCTTCCAATGGCAGAATTCATAATCACTAACTTCATGCCAAGATATGATATCACCACAGCAACAACTAGCAAGTTGCTTATTTTCTGGAAAATATATCCAACCTTAGATAGGTAGCTTTTGATGATGGAATCTGGAAACCACTAACAGTATGTCAGGGTTTGATATTGCCACAGCAACTATAACAAGATGCTCATTTTCTACAAAACATGTTGGGTTTTAGATAAACAGTTTTCAATGATGAGATATATAATCACCAGCAGTATGTTGAAGGTATGATCATGCCCCAACAAAATGCTGATGTTCAACTGAATATATCTGACTTTATATACCTAGCTTCTGATGGCAGAACATATAATAGTTGACATGATTGTAGGGTACACTATTGAATTGTTGAGCATTGTCAAGATGATGAACTTTGACCAAACATATCTGTGCAGCTTTCAGTAGTAATCACCAGCAGTAAGACAAGGTGTGATCATGCCCCAACAAAATGCTGATGTTCAACTGAATGTATCTGACTTTATATACCTAGCTTCCGATGGCAGAACATATAATAGCTGACATGATTGTAGGGTACACTATTGAATTGTCAGGCATTGTGAAGATGATGAACTTTGGCCAAACACATCTATGCAGCTTCCAATGGTAGGTTCTATAATCACTGACAGTGTGGCAGGGTATGGTATTGAATCATCACGCTCCATCAAGATGGCAATTTTGTGACTGATCACGTCCAAGCAGTTGATAATGGCAGGACTTATCACGGATACCAAAGCAAGTAACATTTCATAGCATAGATGGAGCATTCATCAACTACATTAGGTTTCTATCATCAACAATAAATGGTTATGAAACACGATCAATGGTTAAGGAAAAATGAATATTATGGAGTGCCAGCGCTGGCTCATGCTCACAAGGCAGCACATTTCGCACGAATTTTCGACAGTGCACTGTTTGCACTGATATCTCGTTGCAAAGAACATGAATTGGGAAAAATTCAACTTTGTAAAGTGTCAACTTAAAGAGCTTCTTGAGTTTGAAGAGATGCATTATGCACTGTGTCCACCATGTCATCAGATCAGCTACTTCTTGACTTTCATCAGGATCCTCCAGCAGGTCAAGAATACTAATATAGAAATTTTTGGAGTCTGTGACCATGTCGGTCCATGAAAATACGGATGACGAACACAATGAAAACTGAACCTGAAGGATCAATCAGGTGGAGGCATACACGGAAAGGAAATTTCTGCATGCCTGTGTGACAATATAGGCTACAGATCCTTTTGTTACCGACTTCATGCCATGAAGGTAAGCATTGCCGGAGCGCGTAGCCTTCGGCTCCTTATCTACTGAACTTGGAGAAGTAAACACATGTTTAACACCCTACCAAGGGATATTGTATTGAGTGAGAACTTGATCGCCGACAAGTGAGCTTACATAGATGAGTATTTCACTCTTCAGCAAACCCTTCCATGGATCTTCGGGGTCGTAATGATACCCAGCATATAAGAACATGGGCCATTGATCCCCATGAACTGCGGTCTCACCGCTCTTGAGACTCTGCTTGGTTCTGGGTAATGTTATGAAAACTAGTTGATTGGATGATAGAATGACTTACTCTGCATTTGACCAGTCAAGGCCTGCGGGACAGAGCAAAGCACCAGTGACTTCATGATTGAACCCATGATCAGACTTGATATTCTGGAAGAGGGGCGGTATGACTGCCTGTCCTCTGGGCACAAGCCATTCAAGGATGGCAGATTTGAGGGTCTTGGTATCGTCACCTCGTGCACCAGAGGCTTCTTTACCAAGCTGCAAACATTGAGTATGATGGTATTTAGATTTTTGGAAAGCGTACTAATTCTCCCACATGAATAACGTCTTCCTCTTCGCCATTTGTCAGACGATCTAAAAGACTAGAATAGGAGTCTATTAGCTCGATGAACACCCTGTGTTCCCGTCGAATGCTGCCATTGAATCTAGTCGTAAGTCATGGCAGCATGTAATCATCACAATTGAACTCACTCAGCTGGAAAGTCCTCTATGGGAGAATCTTGCAATTCTTCAAGTCACAGTATACCCGCAGTCAGAAGAGGAGGATAGTTACAAAAGGCAAAAACAGTGCAACCAAAATGCTGACCATGAAGTACCAGAGGATTTGAGGAAGACCTGATGATGGGGACAATAAGGATGACAGCAGTTCACCATACAAAGAACACCCGCACTTTTTTGCGTGGGGCCAGACAAAGCGCTGAACCACCGCGCTTGCGTGAAGAACCAGGATTATTTTTGTCGCCATCCATAATAATAAGTAGGATGAGGCGGCTCTGATAGAACCAGTGATAAAAGAGACACTTTATATACCCAATGGCATGCAAAGAAAACCTTGCTATTCTGTACCATAGCTGTTGTAAAGGGAAATGAGCCCCACCATCTGAGTGGCACAGATATTGTAACCGAAAAAAAAATCGCCATCTTAGAGTCATTAATATTGGATGGCATATTACCTCACCTCACGGTATAGTCACATGGCATGCAAATACAGCACTGTCTCAGCAACTATTGCACCATTTGTACCTCAGATGGCAGACTCACCCTCTCGAAAGTGCTTGCGACAATGTGTCCACATTGGAAGCAGTGTTACACTAAAGTAAGCTCTTGAGCAATGCTGGCATGCAATATCAAATTCATGAGTTACCTTGAGCTTCCAACTTTCCTCGGTGCACAGAAGCTCTGATGTAGATGAACTACGCGGTAGTGATTGCAAGTGAGTAATCAAGTGTTAC